ATTTTAAGGCTTTAACGTGACTCTTGTTGATAATTCTTTATTTCCAATTTGAAGTTCTAATTCACTGTATGTGACTGACATTTATTCACTTTTAATTGCTTGATTTGCCAATAAAATTGTGCGTTTCTGTTGAATAAAATAATTTTCAAATCATTGCCTGAATTTTTAATCACATCCAAAAATTCTAATTCCATTAGGTAAGATACACAGGCTTTCGTGATCGACCACAAGAAGAACGAAAAATTCGCTTCCAGAATGGATGTCGTGAAGGTCATACAGAAATTTCATTTTTCTCCAATGGAATCAACATCCAGCTTATGTTTAATCCGAATCCAATGATGTATCATCATCACCATCATCATCATCATATGATGAATTTTGAGAGGGAACTGGACTTTGACAAAGAACACGGAAAGGTAAGCATTGAATGACTGAAATTGATATTGATTGACAGCTACAATTGAGCATAAGACAAGCCAAACGGAAACTTTTTTTGCATCACCGACCGTGAAATTTTGTGGAACCCTACACTTTTTTAAAGTAGTTCCACATTGCGAAAAATAAAATTTAAATTCGTTTCGTTTTGAGGATTATTGATTTTTTACTCTTGACAGCATTAAAGCTCAGCCATCTTTTATCGTTAGTGAAAATTATTCTTTTACTCTCAAAACATTCTGAGATCATGCGCGTTTATTAGGTCAGTAAACGTTGAACTGTACAACATGTGTGGAGCGTAAAAACATTTTCTACGAGACACGTCCAAGTGCAATCGCGTGCCTTAAATTGCTACAATCATCAGTCGTGCAGGCTTTTTTGTTTAAGTGAAATCGAGACATGGAAGTCAAGTAGCATGAAAATGCATTCAAAAGGTATCCATATGATTAAGATGCTCACATCGTAGGCGCAATTTACCAATTGACCTTAACAGCAAACAGAAGAGAGAACAGAAAAAAATATTGAGTTACATAAAATTGCTATTTTCGATCCTTTTTTTGTGTCTAAATTTGTATTTTTGTGCCTACATAATTGGACGGGCAATTACTGCTAAATTCTTTCAACTTCTTTTTGTCTTTGTTCGTTCCAAATCGTCTCTTGTTTGCACTACACATGTTGTCTGTTGTGTAGAGAATTTTCATACAAAAGCGAAAAATTCCAAAAATGCCAATGAAAACAGCAAGACATCCATGACAACGTAATTTGATGGATTAATGTTCACATGAACTATCTATTGGGGGTGCCTCATCCTGCCAGGCCTTCCATCAATGGTGATACAACATTAATTATCACACCCTAATAGAACTGAGCAGATACAAATTCATACTGATCAAGTAGTGAAAATATTTACAGTTAAATTGAATTCATTTTGCGCAATTGAATTTTCTGCTTGATCAAATTACAATTGGAATTGAAAGAGAGCGCGTTTGTGTACGGTTAAAAAGGCCAGCATGAACATCTTGTTGAAATTCTCTGAACTGAAAAATGCAACTATTCTTATAGTTGATGCTGCTTTTGAACCCTTGCTGATGTATTTTAATCAATAAACAGTACACAAAAACAGTAAGGGGTTGAGCACGGCGATTAATTGAAAATTTGAATTTTTTCAAAGGCACTGAAGTTGCGAATATGCTTGCATATTTTGAATATTTTCATGATTTTAAGGACCACTTTCTGCACTTCATGTCCAATTTGTCTGATTTTAAATTTTTTTAAAATTTCTAAATTTAATGAAAAAATTCCTAAATCATCGTAGGTGTACAAATTCTGTTTATTACTCTAATTCTGACTCTTAACATCCCTTCTGCCTTTATTCATCTTTTTATGTTCCCCTCTTTATTTCAAAATAGGAATTTAAATATGTTTTGATCCTTTTAAATAAATTTTAAATCCAGTTTCAAATAACATACAACAGCATTACATTCACAATATTTTTATAGAGGGGTGATGAAGCAATGCGAGATTGAATTTAAAATGTGAAAAAAGAGTGTATTTAAAACAATTAAATAGTCTCGGAGATTTAGACCTATTTGTGCATTAACCCTTTGAATATCTTTTTATAAAAATTAAATTCAATTAATTAATTTTCTGTTTCATTTGACAAATTTTTGCTTTCTTTTGTGATTAGGCTTGACATGAATATAGAAAGGCTTATGTGTTCTTGCATATTATAGTCATTTGGTAGTTCTTATGATGCAATAACTTAAAAGAGCATTGAAAAACATCAAAAAATCCACAAATTGTGTCATTATTATTTTTAAATCACAATAAAATCCAGAATTCGTGATTTTTCATTGAATCAACAATTTTCGCATGTGCCGTGTGTGTCGCATCCACTTTTGATCAAAAGAAAAACATTTTCATTCCCTTTCTATTCACGGAAAATTTATTGACTCAATTTTAAAAGATTTTGTCCTTATTTTTATCGAAATTCGATAAATTTTTAAATTATTGAGCATGACAATTTTTTACAACATAATCTTCGAAAGATTTCTACAGAACAAGAAGAATCCCTTATGTCTACTGACTGTCAGTTGATGATATTTATGTAATTTATGATTTTCGGTACAATAAGGCATGTTTGTTTGCTTTTCCCAGTTCTCAATTCTGTTTCAATTTGCAGGTAATTTTCAATTGTTGTAATTCCTTCCTTCGATCCTTTTTTAATGATTTTTCTTTTATATTGAGTATCATTTACCTGCTCATACTTAACAGATACTCAGTTTATTTTAAATTGCAACATGAAACTTTTCAGTGCCGATAATTTCACTTAAAATGATTTTAAAATGTGGCAAAAGTGATAAGAGAAATGCGTTAGATGAAATGTTCAGCTATTAACAGCTCATAATTTGTTAAAGGATTAATGAGTCAGCACAAAACCTGTTTCATGCCATCTTGCATAAATTTAGTATTTCAAACAAAAGGAACTTTGTCCATTTAATATAATTTTGTTTGGTACCACGCCCTTGAAAGGGTTAAAACATTGCATTTGCCGTTTGTCATAGCTGCAAATCATTCAGATGAGAAATATAAATTGAAATTGCCGTTTTCAGATGTTCAAGTCCATAAATTTTATTTTTTATACAGTTTGTCATCAGCATTTGGCACCAGTCAGCTCATTGCACCCCTTTTGCACTAAAATTTTTCCCATCAGACTCGACTAGTGACTTGATGACATAATTTTGTCGATCAATATTCGATTATGTCGCATTAACTTTTTTATTATATCCATTATATCCAAAAAATATTTTTTGGGATGGAAAAAAAAATCACAGATTTTTGGAAATTGCTAAAAAAATTATTTCGAGGGTGTTGAGTAAGTCACATTAAAAGTCGATAATCCACAGAACTTCAATGTGATAATCCATCAATGAAAAAAGAGTCAATTCATGAGAATCTCTGCAGAACTAGAATCAAATATCATTAATAATGCAACACATGGATGATCAGCAACTCTTTCCAATTTCCTTATAACAAGACATGATAACAAGCATGATGATGCAACTTATTGCAACCCTATCCTATATCCATATCCAGTTAATTCAATTTAAAAGACCATGAAACTGTAGAAAATTGTTTGTTCCTTAATCAAAAGCAGTTGCTCAATTTTTTCTATACCTGAAAATCACAAAAAAATTTTGTTTCAGTTGTCGATGAGCCTTCAACAGTTGAACATCATGAAATTTCTTCTTCTTACTGCTGTTGTATCAATTTTGATTTTGAGTCAAGAAATAAAGGCAAAACCATTCGAATTTGATCCAGAATCACTTCCATTACATCTTGAATTTCCAAATCCGATCAATGAAATTGAAATTTTCTTCGACTGCGATGACAACAAATTCATAAGTAAGGAACTGATTTGTGATAAACATAAAGATTGTACAAATGGAGCTGATGAAGAAAATTGCAAAGATGAATTTGAATTCAGTGAATGAATGACTCAAACAGATGTTGGAACTGAATTATGAATAAAATAAAGATTTTTAAATAAAAACGCAAAGTGAATTTTTTAATTAATTTTGGCGTGAAAAATTTGAAATTTATTGAAATTCAGCACCCTTTTGGCTTGTTAACTTCCTCACTATTTCCATATTCTCATTATTAGTTATTTAATAAGTTCATGTATACACCCTCATTGATGTCACTTTTTATGATTTTTATTACACAATTCACAACTTGTCAACCTGCATTAATGGAACAAAACATTCATCAGCTGCAAATTGGTTCCGCTTTGATCTTCTTCTTCTTTTCTCATCCATTGAAGCTGAAGTTAAGGTGAGCTGCTGTTGCAGTAACTATGTCATCAATGGATAATCCAAAATTATTAAAAATAGGCGAACTCTGCATTCATGTTGATCCTAAGCTCTAATACACAATATGAAAATAAAGCAGGTAATTGGAATGAGGGAATGAGTTTTGGATTGAATGAATTGCGCAATATAATTTTTTGGAAGGATTAATAAAGGCTTTAATCCCGGGATTATCTTAAATTTATTTTCATGTGAAGGTGGATCAGGATTTAAATTTTAAAATTAAAAAAAAAAGTTTGAGTTTCAATTTAATGCATTACAAGAAAAATTCATTACATCTACCTGGCTTTGGTCTCACATTCTCAGCTAATTAAATTATTTCTGGATCATTGGAATGGAAATTAAAATGCCACCCAAGTATAAAATGACATGTTTTGGCATAAATTATGCTTTTTTATGTGCAATAGTTGATATTGAGATTTATTTTGGTAAAATTTCATGCAATTGATATTGTAATCTGTATTATTTGTGGTTTTATAGATTTCATCCTTTGACTTTAAGGTTTTATACCAAAACATCCGTTTTAAAACTATATTTTGAACAACGATACTTATATCTTGAAGTATTCACTTATTCCATAAAACAATTTTTTATCAAATTACATTGATTTGCCGATTGATATCATGTTCTACTTGTGCGTTTCACGTGAATAGTCTCGTTTTGATAACATTTATTTATAAGGTATTTATTTAAAGTATTTATAGCCTTACATACTTGACATAAGCTTGATATATCAAAGATTATTTTGAAGTGTTTTAACATTTTTAGGAAATCTTAATTACTTCAGCCAATCATGTACTTTGAAATAATTTTGGCGCAACCAAGTTAATTGGTGCTACATGACAAAATATCACAATTTGCATTAATAAAACGGCTGTATCGGTCCACAATATGACTTACTTTGCATATACCATTTGATTGACAACCTGGAATGACCAATGGACTCTCATTCATTATGAATTGTACATCATCTCCACCAGTAGCACAATTATACCGAATCACAGCAATATTTGTTGCCATTGGAGCCATTCTCGATGTGATCCACAATCGATTAGCTTGTTCAGCAAAATTATCAGCAGTTATTGGAACTGAATCTCTAAAAATTCCAAGAGATACTAAGAATAATTGGAAAGCAGTTTGATGTGTGCTATAAATTTTAACAGTTTCCTCATTTGGATCATTTGATGTCAAAAAATTCAACAAATCTTGCATGAGTGGACAATTCATATTTTCAGCTAACCTTACTGGATTCAATCCATATCCAGCTGTATAATATGCATCAATATCCTCAAAATATTCAAGCCTTAAGTTATCATAAGGGCTAAATGCACCGCAAAAGGGTGCTTGAATATGAGGTTCCCATAATTGATGAAATTGACAAAGCTCCCACATTGTTCGGGCTTGTCGAGCTGTTAATCGTTGTAGATCAACTAGTCCTAATTTATCATTGATTCTTGTAAGCATAGCTTGAAATTCCGCTGAGTTTTGCCATCTGTCACGTTCCACTTCTGTGTTACTAGCATCATCGTATAGTGGACAATTATCATGAGGCCTTAATAGAGAATCTGGAAATGGTGGTTCAGGAAAGAAAACATTTCTATAAGCACCTTCGCCAAATAGACCATCAGCAAATGCTCTGAGAGTGGCTTGAGTTCTCTGTCGATCTGTGTATCTGAACATAAATCGATTTCTGTCATAAGTTCGTGGCAAAATTGTTGGAAATGCTGCTTGATAACGACTCGCAATATTTCTAGCAATATTCCATCCAGAAACAGTCAGAAACTGTTCATGTTCAACTGTTATGTTAGGATCGAATGTCCAGTGATTTATGGTGTTAAAATCTGGATGACAGAGATTGCTTCTTCCTTCAATGTAGGCGTTGATAATATTTATTGTTTGCTAAAAAGAGTAATGAATGGTTGTAATCTCGTGGATTATCTTTATTTTACAAAAAGTTACTTACTTCATTGGAAAATGGTCTCATTCTATTCATGTCATTTATACTTGGTAATCTATCTGCATGCCTCATATAAAACCAAAATCTTGCTGGTGTACATGAAGAAACTTGTAACTCGGCTAAACTTCCTCTAACATTCTCATTTGATGTTCTATCTGACCATCTTTGCTGCTGTGGTCTCAAAGAATCAAGTGCGTAGCAATAATTTGGATCATGAGTATTTTGAGCACTAGAAAGTTTTGTAAATGCAAATATAAGCACGATGCACAAAAGTTTCATTTTCACCATGAGAATTGAAACATTACTGACATCCAAAAGGTGGAAAGAAAGCTTTTATAGACTCCTTATTTACTTCTAATCGCCTTATTTACTTAAGATTACTTTTGATCAATCTTTTGAAGTTGTTTACTCAACTTGCGTTAATTTAATCATTCAATTTAAAATATTTATACTTTTTATTTATATCTTTGCATTGATAATCAGCTTTCAAGTATGTAGTACTCAATTGAATCCATTTATGGTAGGTTCAAAAACGAAAAACATATAAGTATTTATAAATAGTTAAATTATCTTTTATTAGGTATTTCAATTCACAGTCTTAATAAATATTTTAATTGGCGCTGCATGATAAAGTATCACAGTTTGCATTAATGAATCTGCTGTAAAGTGTTACAACATGACTAACTTTGCATAAACCATTTGATTGACATCCTGGAAGGACTAATGGTCTTTCGTTCATAAGGAATAAGACATCATCTCCACCTGATGCACAATTATACCGAACTACAGCAATGTTTGTGGCCATTGGTGATATAACTGATGTTCTCCACAATCGGTTAGCTTGTTGAGCAAAATTATCAGCTGTGATTGGAGTTGTATCTCTAAAGACTCCAAGTGATACTAAGAACAATTGGAAAGCTGTTTGATGTGTACTGTAAATTTTAACTGTTTCATCATTTGGATCATTTGATGTCAAGAAAGTCAACAAGTCTTGCATTAATGGACAGTTCAAATTTTCAGCTAGTCTAACTGGATTTAATCCATAGCCTGATGTGTAGTATTCATCAATATCCTCAAAATATTCAAGCCTTAAATTATTGAAAGGGCTGATTGCACCACAGAAGGGTGCATCAATATGAGGTTCCCAAAGTTGATGGAATTGACAAAGTTCCCACATAGTACGGGTTTGACGAGCTGTCAATCGTTGACCTCCAGTTAATCCTAATTTATCGTTGATTTGAGTTAAAGTTGTCTGAAATTCTGCTGTGTTTTGCCATCTTGCACGTTCTACTTCTGTGTTACTAGCTGTATCATACAATGGACAGTTATCATGAGGTCTCAAAAGTGGATCTGGTGTTGGTGGTTCGGTGAAAACAACATTTCTGTAAGCATTCTCGCCAAAAAGTCCATCAGAAAAGGCACGAACAGTTGCTTGAGTTCTTTGACGATCTGTATGACGGAAGATGAAGCGACTTCTGTCATAAGTTCTTGGTAAAATAGTTGGAAATGCTGCTTGATAACGACTTGCAATATTTCGAACCATATTCCATCCAGACACAGTCAAAAATTGTTCTATTGAAACTGTAATATTTGGATCCCATGACCATGTATTAGTAGTAACAAAATCTGGATGACAGAGGAAACTTCTTCCTTGGTTATAGGCATTGATAATATTGTTGTATTGCTGTGGATGAAAATTTTTTAACATAAATCTTATATGAATTTTTGTGATTACTCTTGACTACTTACAGTAGTTGAGAATGGAATCATTCTATTGATGTCATTAGTACTTGGCAATCGATCACCATGTCTCATGTATAGCCAAAATCTTGCTGGCGTGCATGATGAAACATTTGGATTAACTGAATCGCCACGAGCATCATTATTTGATGTTCTGTCTGCCCATCTTGCCTGTTGAGATCTTACAGAATCAAATGAGTAGCAATAATTTGGATCGTGTGTTGTCTGAGCAGCAACAATTGCTGTTAATCCAAGAACCAAGGCAATGATTAGATTGTTCATTTTTAGTCTTTAGCTTGAACTTTACTGATGTTTGAAATGCAAAAAAATTAGTTTATATAGTCGAAAATTATCTCAAATCAGTAAGATTTGAAAATGTGCCACTGCTACTGATAAATTTATAAAACGTGAAAAGCAAGTGATAGGTATTTTAAGAGGCTCAACTACTTGTGATTTTTAATTATAGTAAAGTATATATCTTGATAAAAATTATTGTAATCAAACACTAATTGACGTTTTGGTACTTAAGTCTCTCGTTTTTCATGTGAGTATCACACTGTTTAAGAAAGATTTGGATTATTGATAAGGCAACATCACGTGAAGTGTATTTTTTATTGATAACAATTGAAATTTTGAAGGCGGGTTTAAATTCATTTCTTGTAATTTAATCGTTTTGCGTACGCAATTTTTATTGAATGTTGCTAACAGCTACTGAGTGAATGTTCAGTATTATTGAGTATTTAGACAGATTGGGATATAAATAGTCTAAAGTTTGGGAAAAAATTAATTGATCAACTTCAAAAATAACCTTCCTAGATATTAAATTAAAGTATGCAGAACATCTGATTTGAATTCTATTTGAAGGGTCGATAAATATTCAAATTTGACATCAATACAATTATTGAGAGACATTTTTGACCCAAAAATCCACTCGATCATGAGATTTGCATCATGTAAGTACAAACAACAACCCTAGAGTTGTCTCGTTTCCTCTCAGTCGTCTAGTGGAACTGAAGTGAGAGAGATGCTCATGAATATTTTGTGAGGCATTCAAGTAAATTGTTTAAATACAAAAAAGTGTCAAACAATGAAATTCTCGTTTTAATGATTCACAAATAAGGAAAAACAAGCAAGCAGCAGTTGATTGTGCAATTTTTCGTTCCTTTCTGCTTTAATGAACGTTAGTAATAATCATCATTGCAATAGTCAAAGCTGTTATTGTTAATGTAGAATACTTAACTTAACACAGGGGTTCAAAAAGGTAGCATTGACACTCACAAAATCATTTCAGCATTTACCCTCTGAATTTATTTCCAATTCCTGAATACAAAAAGTGTTCTTTTTTTTTGTTCTGTAGAGGAACTGAATTGCATTTCAGTTTATTGTGTGCCGTGTCTATAAACAAGAAAATTCTCTCTCTATTCTTTCTAATTGTCCATTCAGTTCTGTTTACTTTTAACATTGCATGAAATTTTTCTATTCAACATGATGATTATTAGAAGGCAGCAGCTTGAGGCAGGTTCAATATCAATAAAATAATACGAGATGCCAATTAATCATCAAATAAACAAGCAGTGCTGATGGAAAAAAAATTCATTTCCGGTATTTTCTTGTCAATTTTTGTGATTGAGATTTAATCAAAAATCTTGTGGAATTGCTGATTATAAATTTTAATCAATATGAACTAGTTCTACTTTAAAAAAAAAATTTTAAAATTTTCATTAATTAAGCTTTAAAATGTGTCACCTCAACCCTTTCAGTTCCATTGCCTTGTCAAATGTTTGCAAATGGAATTAACAAAATCAGTCCATAGACAGCATTCCTTACTTTGATTCTATATTCAATCATGAAGTATAAATTTCAATTAAGAAGGATTAAGGAACAACAGAAATGAAATGCAATGGGAATAATTTATTTTGCCTTTTTGCTGATCATTTTTATCGGATTTGTCACTATTTGTGATATGAAGGCTGGCTTATACATTGATATTTTGATATTTCAATCATCTCCTTAATGTGTGAACTTCTTGTCATTTACAGACGACTTGATGAAGGTCATGCAAGATGAATTGACAGTTATTTGATATTTTTTTGCAAGCCTTAAAATGAGCAATCATCAGTTCCGATTTGTCTTTCTTGTTTGCACATCGAATTAAAAAATTTAAATTTTCATCCTCAATCTATTTAAATAAAATATTCAGCAGTGTCATGCATGTAATTTTGGGACATGAAAAATGTCTTGCATAAGTCGATGTGCAAACAAATTTATTTAAAAATAGTTTCAGACTGAAAGGGTTGCTGATCAGCATTTGATGTCTCAATTTAATGAACGATGAAATTATGAATGTCGTTGCTTAACATAACACAACATCCTCATTTGCTCGCACCTCTTTGAGTATTTGCATAAAATTCACCATAACTGATCGACTAGAAGCATGGATAATCGAACAGCAGAGATTTGTTTTAATGGAAAGGGTTAGATGGCAATAAATTTTCCAGCATTATAATCCGTAACACGTTTAGGACATTAAGAAAAGGATTTAATCACTGAAATTACATCAATGTAAGTTAAAATCAATTTTGGATGTTCCATAAAATTCGATCCAGTTAAATATTTATTGGCCTTGTTTCTGAGAATTTTTCACACCATAAATTGGACAATTTTTATGGTTCAACTTAGTTTTCGATTGTGTCATGGGTTCATAAAATATTTGAAAATCCTCAATTTTTTTTTTCGAGTAAAGATCTGCAAAAAAAACTATCAAAGGTTGAAATAGATTCAATTAAAAAAGTCATGATTATTATGAAGACATTCCATTCAACATTAATGACATTTTATTTAAAAAATAATTTTTTCTATTTCAATTGTTTGGCATTTCTAAGACTTCACGTGATGTCTGACGGCAACGTATGTTTAAAAATAAAGAATTGAAAGGCCAGCATCAGAAAGAAAAAAATATTTTCATCTTTCTGCTTTTTTTGAAAAATTAAACTTCTTTTATGTTACATGCAAACAATAACAACAAGAGTTATGTCTCATTTTTCACATCACAACATCTTACTAGTAAATATTTAGTAAAAATGACTAAAAGACATAAAAATTGTTACAAACAGCGGCAACAGATCTTTCAAATGTTCTCATCTTACAAACTTTTAGAGATGTAGAAAAATAGAAGCTGCTTCATTTCTTTTTTTTCTTCTTGAATGGATATATTGGAGGCTACTGCTAAGATATTAAATAACAATTTACCAGATCCCAGCATTCAGAAGCAATCAAATCAAATCATTATTTTTTTCGGTTGTTACATCGAAGCATGTGAAGTGTGCAGCATATGATGAAAATTTGTAGTAATTTTATTTTGCAATGAGTTACATGGAATTTCACTTTTTTGTGGCTTTTTGGGTCTTTATATGGCAGCTTAATATGAAAGTAATGAGGATTGGTAAACAGAGTTGATTGTTAGACTTTTGAATGATCCTAGTCAGTATCACTTTGAAAACAACCTTAAAGCAAATTTTTTAAGGTTAAGTAAATGTAGATGTTGCTATAAATGAAGCTAGAAAATAACGCTTTATCTGAAAAACCATATAATTTAATCTAGTAAGTTGCAGCCAAATTCTCAGATCATCTGAATCCAAACAAAGACAATCTTATTCCATATTTTTAGCTTTACAAAAAGTTTCTCTTTCAAACCTTTTTTTTTTATTTTAAACAAAATAAATAATTTCTTCTTTTCGACACATCAAAAACGAAACAAAAAACATTCTGTGGCTTGTGGCTTCGTCTGGCCTAACAAATGACGAGAATATTTTTCACATTTTCTCATTTCATTCAAATCTCAATGCGATTATAAAATTTCCTGTATTGCATTATTTTATATTCTGTGTAAAAATGGGAATATTAAGAAAAATACTCATTCTGTGGTTTTCTACATGTTCCGTTGTTCTGCTGACTTTACATTCACTCTTTTTTGGTAGTTTCTCATCTCATGTTTAACAGATTTTTGATGATTGCTTTCGCGGTTTCCGTTTCATTAACTGTGCATGCAATATGAATGTGTAAAATGCAGTGTGATTCATGAAATTTAAGGAAATGTTTTCGGATGTTCTCTTTTGTGATTTGAGCGCCATCTTTAAGCAGACACTAAAGGGAAATTTATTTGAATGTGAAATATTCGTTGATTTGATGTTGGTGATATGGATTATTGTGTGAAATATGTCAAGGTCACCAATGAGTTTAAGTCAGACCTTTCATTCTTTTCTTTCTTGATTGAAAGAAAGATGTTTGAATTTTCTCGACAACTTTTATGTTTACATGATTGTATTAAGGAACCTTCAACATAATCCCATTGAAATAAAATAATAAAAATCCATTGATTAAGTTTCTATCTAAAACTTTATTTCAACTCAAATACATTCTGAATTATTCATTTTAATACATAATTAATTATCTCTAAATATAAATTCATTTAAATATTTCAGATCATTTATTAATTTCTCATCTATACAGAATAATTATTGCATTCTTTCATAATAAAGAATATTTCGTGTAATTAAATATATCTATAAAAATCCAAAGGAATTTAAAGCCTTTGTCATTATTTCTTGTAAAATATATCAAATTTCTTTTCAGTCTTTTCATTTTTTAAAAAATGTCGAAATTCCTATCTCCTTATTATACAGCAATTGTTTGGATGTATTTGTTCTTCAGTGAGTTTGCATCAAATACATCTAATGGGGTCAGCACATGCTTTCGATAAATTTGCAGTTGATCATGATCAAGTTCAATATTAATCGCAACCGAATCTGACTTTGGGTATGGTTTATCAACATCAAATGATGAAAGTGATCTCCCAAAATATTTAAACATCAAGTTAGATTTTTGTAAGGCTGGTGAATGTAAATTGGATGATGATGTTGTGAATATAATATCTCCACTTGCTGATTCAATAATTTTGTTATCTTCGTCTTTAAACTTTTTCTTGTGTTTAATCAATGATATTAAAATTATAAGAATTATCACTGCTAATGTTGCTCCACTTCCAATAGCGACAAGCAGCATCTCACCATGTGATCTTCCATCTATAGAAACTGAAATTAGAATAACGAAATATACTCATTAACTTCCTTTCGTGATTTAAATTTAATTCATTAAACGTAATTTACGAGGCAGAACGTAAAGAAAGAAAAGAAGATGTTTATGCAGTCTGTTTGCATATTGATTGTTTTCGCACATCTAAGTCTCTTTGAATGACATGTCTTTTTTTTTCGTTTGTGCTAAAATGCATCGCAATTCTGTTTACAAATTCACTAGTTGTGATGTAATGTTATTATCGAACTAGACTGAATGTCCGTCAAGCGTGAAGTGAAAAAATTTAGAAATAAGCCTGGCATTTTGAGAACTGATAATCATGCTGTAATATCACGAAAAGCAAGTTAGCAGTAAAAACCTAGAAAATGACTTTTCAGAGTTTATCGTGAAATCTATAAAACTGGAAAAGTCCCAAACGTAATTGGCTCCAAACTTTTTTTTTATTCTAGAACTTTTAAAATTTATTAATTTAAAGCATGTAGATTTTTATCTTCCCTTGTCGCTATTACGAATTCGCTTAGCATTCCAGAAATATCTCACAATCAAATTCCCATATTCCCGACTGTAAAAAGCTAATTTATTAGCAATTATCCATCATAATTTAAATTACAGCAATTAAAGTTTATCCCTATTGTTATTATTGTATCGTGCATGTTCACGATCGTCATGGCTATCGTCCCATGAAAACTGTTAAAAGAACCTTTTTCTTTACTGAATGGAAAGTGTGTCGTTGTTGTCAATTGCTTTAAGGTTCTGTGAATGCATCAGTTTGAAATTGAAATCAAAAACGTGAATCTTTAGTTGTTGTAATTCTGAAAAATATTCAGAATTCAAGAGATGAAAAAGTTGTTTGACTGAAGCTGGTTATTCACCTCTGGATATAAAATACGAAGTATCAACAAAAGCTATTGATTTATTGAATTTGATTAAAAATGTTATTGCATAATGTGATGTACATCTTCTAATTATTACTTAACTGTCTGGATTCAGAGATAGAATTAAGATTAAAATTATTCTTAAAACGTCATAGAAATGAAACTCTAAAACGACAAAATTGCTTTACGGCATCGTGTGACATAAGCAGTTCGATTATACAAATATTCCTACTAAAGCCAACTTGTAATTACTGTAAAAACTGTTGCAATAATTAATCTTAAACCGGCAACATAGAACTGAATAATCAGGAAGCATTTGCTTATTTTGATATTCACCCACATAATAACGGATAACTTAGCTGCTTCTTGTTAAATTTACGACAAATATTTTTTAAATTTAAACTTTAATTGATTAATCAAATAAACCGATGTCTGTTAATCCGACCCAATAAAACACACACGAGGAATGAATCATCGCAATTCGTCACCTTTCAGTAGTAAATAAATGAAATTGTTTTGAAAACATTTCAATTTTTAAATGAGAACAAGGAGCTTTTGTTCTAAATGCTCTATTTTACCAGAGTATCACCCAATTATCAGCCTCTACGTCAAACATTAATTAACTCTCACAAATAATTCTAAATATTTTTAAGGTGTGAAAATCTCGGTCAATGTCAATCAGTTAAATGAACAGTTAAGGTAAAGAGAAAATGAAAATTTAACTTGTAGTTTTTTAATTCACAAAGGTTGACGGCCTTTAATGAAGTTTGCGAGAAAATGTGTTTCAATCTGACTAGTTTTTGTCATAATGATTACCAACATGTGCCATAAATTGAAATTAGTTTGAAAGCTTCTTCTTAATTTTTGGCCTAAAATTCGAGTAGAATATTGATTTTAACATTATTTATCCAAAACTTTCTCTCTTTTCAAAATTTGCATATTTCTCTGCAAGTCGATAACTTATACGCATGTCCTTGACTCTCGACAAATAAAATGAATTTCCTGACATGATATTGACAAACGATCACTTCCTAATTGAGATTAATCTTTTAATATTCATTGCATATTTATGCCTACACACCTTTTTCTCACTTACGTCTACCTCGAGTCTACACAAAATTCAATGATCTTAATGTTTATGAAACGAGACTCACCCGTGTGATACAAGTAATTTTCTGTTACTTTCTGTTGATTCTCCATGCTTTGCGGGTTTATTTAAAAATTGTTTTAATTGTTCCGATTACTTCCAAAAAACTTTAATTCTTGTAAGATTTTGCAGTAATTGCTTGTAATTTAACAGTGAAACTGATCATAAAATAATTATTTTTTTGACAATGAAATAATTTTTCAATGAAAATTTATTGCAGTTTTCACACGACAACAAACAAACTTTCGATTTTCTGTTTCTTTATTTTTTTTGGCAAATTTTCAAGATGAAATTCTTCGTGTGTAAACAAGAGCACGAGCTGAACAGATTGAACTATAGAAAACAAATGTTTGTATAAAAAATGAACAGACGTAATAGAAAATTTTAATTCTTTTTTCACTTGATTATCTTTAAGATTTTTCAATTTTCTCCAATTTCACAATTGATTTTCAGGTTTTAAAGTCTGTTCCAAAATAAAAATTCTTTGTCACTTGAAAATTCTATTAAAATAATTCACAATTGTCTCTTGCGACTGATCAACATCGAATGAGAAAGGAAAAATAAAAAAAAAATCGTCATGTAAAATTTTCTAAGAGTAGAGAAAAAAATTGTCAAAACACACAAGGCAAGTCGTTGAAACCGATCGTTTTCTGTTCGTTTTGTTTATAATTTCTTCCTCGCATGCCGGCACGACAAGAAAATTTTTCGAACAAAAAAAAAATAAAAACGTGAATGCATTTAGCTAGATCAGTGCTTTAATTGAATGTATGGAAAATTGGGGGAGCCGGCAACAGTATCAGTTCAAAAATCTGTCAGTCATCATCGTGATAAATTAAATTTCATACATAATGTCAAGTTCAATGTCGCATTCTGACGTTTCCCACACAAAGAGTGAAAATAATTCATTTTGAAAACAAAACAAAAAAATTCTCGTTCTATGTTTATTTAAACTTTGCACGCAAACATGAGCTCTAATTTGATAAAAATGAATATGATGAATATTTGAGTGAGTTTAAAAACATGAGGAAATGTTTTGAGTAAGGAAATCAATTAAGTAATCGATTTAAACGATAATGCTGTGCTGATTAAGTTAAATGGAGAAAATAAATATTTTGAATTTCATCGCATTTAATCGTCGTGTAATTGAATTTTGCTTATGTTTTTATGTGCTTATATCCAGTGCTGGAGAGCATAATAAGAATTTTTTAAAAAGGTTTGAAAAAAGTCAACGATATTGTCAAAGCTAGCAAATTTCAATAGGTTTTGTGAAAAAAGAATCTATGAACATTTTAACATCATATTTGACAGCAGCTTAGCCAGGATCTTTGAACAAATTTTTCACTCAGTCAATTCCACTTATTTGTCCAAGGTAGGCGCCTACTTAATGCTGATCGTGCTTGTTTAAATGACGTAGAACTACAGAAATCAGAATTTATTTATAGAAAATGAAAACAAAATAGGAAACAGAAAGATAGTTGCCAAATTTCTGTTTTAGTGAAATTATGAATATTAAATTTCCTTCTATTAAGTAAATTGAACTTTTAAATGAATCAAATTCCAACAGAACCAGTTAAAACCTGAAAAGACTTGTTAAATAACAATCAAAATTAATTTCATTGATTTTAAAATTGAATTTAAATTAATTCAAACGATTCAGATGAATTTTTCATGATTGAGTTAAAATTTAAAATTGAACAATTTTTATAAAATTTTATCAAAACTCTGTCCACAAAATTGAAATATTTCTTTATGATATTTCTTTTTCTATACGTTGATCATCTGTTTTTCGCAAACACAAATGAAAATGATTATTGCTTCCTAGAATTTATTTTTGCTGAAATTTGCCTCATCTTTATTGTCGTTTACGTGATTAACATCTCGTTGAAATAAAAAAATTAAAGCGCAAATTATAAAGTCATTAAGTAGTAATTTTACTAGCGATAAAGTAAGTTTAATTGATTTACTTTACAGCTATTATATGAATTTATTTTCTCTAATAATTTTTCATAGCTTAAGTTATTATAATTGGAGTTTTGCAGCGTAATCAGGTTGCATAACGTGAAAAACTGCGTGAGTTTGATAAGCATCGAACTTTTTGAGTGAATTATGCGCATTTAATAGAATTCATTTGACAAATTTTATTCAACTTAACGACTTTAAAGCTATAATAATTTAACAAACAAAACTACAAAAGTTTTAATTTGAAATAAGTTTTATTGTTTCTTAAATTCAAATTTAAATCATATTCAAAAGTTCAAAAAAAAAATCAAATAGTATAAAATTGTATATAAGAAGTCTGGAATGGGAAAATGTCTCAATAGTTTCTTTTAAGGTAAAGTATCCAATTCTATGGAAAATGGCAATCTTTTTAGTCTTTTCGTCTCAATCAATCGGTAGGAATGGAAAATAAAGAAATATATTTCTTATAAGTTAAGTATAAAAAAATTAAGTTGTTATAAAAATTCAATCTTAAAGTTAAAATATTGCAAGAAAAATGATTAAATCAAAATATATTCGATTTCTTAAAAATCTTGATTACTTTTTAATTATTTTGCTGTAAAATCCTTCAAATCCAAGAACCATGGCAAGAATACTCATTCTGACATACATTCCATATTCAGCTTGTCTAAAGTATGCAGCACGTTTGTCATTGTCGAAAGCCTTATCAATTTCATCATTTCTAGGTAATGGATGCATGACAATCATTTTTGTTTTTGCACGTGCCATCAACTTTGGCGTGACTACATATGAGCCGCAAATGCTTTTGTATTCCTCCTCGCTAGTAAAGCGCTCTTTTTGAATTCGAGTCATGTATAGAACGTCTGTTTCCGGGAGGATTTCTTCAATTGAATTATAATAATGCTGAGATATTCCTTTTTTAGCAACATATTTGATTACTTTTTCTGGCATTGCTAATGATGCTGGGCTCACATAATTGATGGTAACATCATATAATGTCAACAATCGAGCAAGAGAGTGTACTGTACGACCATGTTTCAAGTCACCAACCATTGTGATTGTCAATCCTTTAACGGTACCGAATTCTTCACGAATTGTGAAAACGTCAAGCAATGCTTGAGTTGGATGTTCTCCAATTCCATCACCAGCATTGATTACTGGTTTTTGAGAGACATCAGCTGCACGTGCCATTGCACCAACTTCTGGATGACGAAGAACGACAACATCAGAATAACCAGACATAACAGAAATTGAATCTTCTAATGATTCTCCCTTCTTAACTGAGGAGCTTGTTTCATCCATATAAATGACTCTTCCGCCAAGTCTTTGCATTGCAGCAGCAAAGCTACAACATGTTCTTGTAGATACTTCATAGAAACATGAGGCCATAACTTTTCCACGTAAAACTTCGTCCAGTACTGATTTTTTTAGAATTGTAGCCTTAAACTGTTTGGCTAAGTCAAAAATGTCTCTTAATTGATCCTTCTCTGTAAACATTTCGACACTTAAAATATGCTTTCCAGCTAAATTCTTCGAAAAACCACGACCTTGAGGTTCTGCATAATTCTCTCGATAAAATTGACTTCCAGCTGAGTCAAGACGTGTTCTTGGAAGTGGTGACAATGCCGAATAGAAGTTGGGCATCTTCAACATATTCGATTCTGGAATTTTAACATTTAGTTCTTCATCCATTTCGAGAGATGTATTTATTTTTTCAATTGATCCTGTTGATGTTCTATCCATATCATCCATTTGCATTCTACGACTCCATTGACGTACATTTTGTCCAAATCCAGGTTCAGCAAGAACTTCGCCATCGACGAAAGCAACTTCACCGCGTAAAACTACTCGAGAAACGCATCCTTTAACCTTCATTCCAGCAAATGGTGTCCAACGAGCTTTAGAATGTTTTAACTCATTAGGAATTGTCCATTCCTCATCCATGTCCACTTCAACATATGTATTTTGCTGTTCAGGCAAGTTGAAAATCTTACGTGGATTTTTATAGAACTTTTTAATCAAGTCATCCATAGTCAGACGTCCATCATTAACGGCTGTTAATAATAACGGCAATATGGTTTCTAAGCCTGGGAATCCTGGTGGTGGCTTATCGGAATCTTTTTCTTCAGTTGTGTGTGGAGCATGATCAGTTGCGAAGCAATCAATGATATCCATATTATCCCACAAAGCTTGTTGATCCTCAGGTGAGCATAAAACTGGACGAACTTCTCCTCGACCACCGCCAATACGATTCAAGTCTTTTGTAGACAAGAATAAGTGATGAGGACATACTTCACATGTAACCTTCATTCCACGTTCCTTTGCTGTTTTAATAATAGAAATTTCTTCTTTTCTTGCGACGTGACAAACATGAATTGGACGATCAATTAAATTCGCCAAAAGAATAATAGCAGCAGTAGCTTGCTTTTCAGCATGTACACACAATGGAGCATTTTTGGGCCAATTAGACAAGTGTTTTTCCCAAACTGTCATGTCATTGAGTTTTAATGTTGTGAATGTCTCATTTAAATACATTTTCAATGCTGCTGCTTCAGGTGCCAGTTCAAAGATTTGATTGTAATTATCAGATGATGCACCGACAAACAATGCATAATCACAACGTGCTCCACTCTTGGCAAGATCTTTAAACAGTGTAAAGTTTTGTTGATTGACAATTGCTGGATTTGTGTTTGGCATAGCACAAACTAATGTTATTCCGCCAGCCAATGCAGCTGCAGTTCCGGATGCAAAATCTTCTTTGTGAGTTGCTCCAGGTTCTCTCAAATGTACATGAACGTCAATAAATCCTGGTAATTTTATCATTGTACGACTTGTCATGCAATCAGTGTGAGTTTTCATCGGTGGTGCACGTCCAGATAATCGCATTGCTTCGACAAGTAATTTCGTACATTTGACGTCAGTAACTAGAGGAATAGAATAGTCAACTGCCAAACGACGTGTTCGATATCCATGAGTCATGAATGACGAAACTCTGTTGAAGGAAAAAACGACATTTAAGTTAGTAATAAAGCCTTCGATTCATAATTACAAGGAATCTTACCTTCGAGCACCGCCACCACGCATTGGAAGGTTGATAACCATGTCAATTTTTTTGTCAGCTAAGAATGCAGCTAAATGATGTAATTCACTATCGGTTTCACTATCGATATTATCAAATGTCCATTGAACAGCCTCAACCTATAGAGAAAAATTATTGAATTAGTTGTGTACATGCTAGATAGGAATGAATTTTGCGAAAATGTTTTCTAATTTTTCAGCTCTAAAAAATTTTTTCTTTGGTATTCCAATTGCTTATTAATAGTTTCAAAGAACATGCCGATATCAGTGGTACATATGTTTAATGATAAGATTCAGCTGGTGGAAGACATTAAAGTTAGGTCACATCTGTACTTGGAGTCATTTTTTCACAACAATTTTCCGGTATTTTTACATTACTTGCGGATGTTTCAATTAACAACAGGAATTGCCTCTTGATTGGTCTTTCAATTGCTTACAAACATCTTCAATTAATTGCTTTTTAGTCAGTTCTTTCAGTTCTTTTCGCGAGACAAGTGGAGTAAAATCGAATAGGAGTTATTGATTGAACCTTATGATAGTTTGTGAATATTCTTGAATATTTTGGTGATAGTTCATATGAGAATTGCCTTTGTATGACAATATTGTGCAGTTTAAGAAATGGGAACTTTACAGAATTAATGGTTTAAGGAATTTTTTTGTACCGTGTCGCCATTTTCAATTTCTTTCATCTTTGCCGCTTATCATTTAACAAAAAATGGGCCATTTACCTTCGAAATTGACAAAAAAGAATGCAAAACCAAAAATCAAAAAGAAAGGAAAGGTTAAAAAGTCACCAAGCTTTAACAATAAAGCTCCAAACTTTTCACCAATTAATGCCTTTTCTTTTGAAAATAATGACGATATTGATGCAAGAAGGAAAATGCAGGATCAACTGGCATTCGATAGTGACATATTCGTATTAAATCAAATGATGATGTGCGTGCAGTTTTTCGGAAATTTTGAAAGGTAAGTCACAGACAAGAGTTGAATAAAATTTTAATTGTGTACAGAAAAGGAAATTTTTATCAGAAAATTGAGAAATCAAAGAATTTACACGTGTTGAACTTGTACTTTGATAACAATTGGCAACTTTTTTTTTCTCGAAGTTCCTTTAAGTGTGAATTTTAGGTCTTTTATCGGCACAATTAAGCTTAGTTGAAAAAAGTATTAATTACTTTTAGGACTGGTTTTTAGAGTGAATTCTAAAACAAATTTAAAATTTAAAGCTATAGCAAGGAGTCCTTCAATTACGTTCTAAAGATTAATTTTAATTCCATTTGAAGCTTCTCAGACTCAAACAAGTTTTCGACCACTTCAAGATTCCTCGAAAATGCCCAAAGATCCTAAGAATGCCAAAAAATTCTTATCTCAATATAAACAACATCAAAGTTCTGTTTATTTCTACACTATCAAAATTCATAATTAGTAGTGACAAAATAATTATGTTGCTGATAGAACTATTATTACACAATACACATACCCGACTACTGAACCTATTATCTAATTTTGTAACAAAGTTTAATTGATTTCTCAATTACATGTCAATAATTTAGAGACCTTTGGGAGGCAATAGAACTAAACAGTCGAAAAGAGAATCAAAAGACAAAATGTCTAACAAAACATTGTAAGACAGTCATGTTACCCGACAGACTAGCTGAGGCAATTGATCGACGTGTAAAGTATGTGGAGAAGTAAGTATCAAAAGAATTTTTATACATTTTTTGAAGGTAGCCGCATAAATGTATGTGAGCAAAATCTTATCAATTGCTGCTTGTTGAAAAATTGTTCATTGAATTATTTTGACAAATTATTTTTCATTGATATATATATTACTTTTGCTACAAGCTGCATTGATATCAGTTAACAGGAAATTCTATAATATTAATGAGAAACTTTACAGGCACGGTAAAATGAAAAATCAACTTCAACCATTGCACACGCAGGCACTTTATATAATACATGATAATATTGAAATTCTTAATCCTGGCGACACTACAATGTATGCAATTGCTGACGATGCACCAATTTATAAATTCCAAATTGAAAATCCTTACGAAAGTGCTAGAAGGAAGAAGGTCATTCATCATGCTGGCTATATTAAGCTGAAAAGTTCTGATAAGATCACGAAAAATGACTTTGTTATTTATAATTCATCATCAGATAGTCAATATGTTAGTGGATCAATCAAAAATGAAACAGAAGACGACGGAACATATGGCGATAATGAGGAAGACGAATTTGATGAAGACCAAAAGCTTGAAAATGTCAAAATACGCAACAGTTTAAATTATGCTCGAAATGTCAACAATATTTTTGAACAAAAAATGGGATACTATACAGCATCAATGAACTCTATAACACCAAGCAGCAGTGAATATGATTACACATACATTAAAGCTCTTAATACCCCAAAACCTTTGAATATTGTATATGAAGATGAATCAACCATTAAGCCATTATCTACAGTCATGCTACCAGATTCATGTGTAACTACTGTTAGTCGATTTATGATTCATAGTAGACAACAGGATCAATTTTATAGGAATTCAACTGAAGATGAAGACATTCATAGCTCTGATGAAAAATTACAACATGACAGGAAGACTGATGCTAGTGAACATCCTAAAGAATCCTTTTACTACGAAGACAAGCAATATTTAAATTCAAGAGGCTTCCTTACACATTTTATACATCTTTTTAGGCAGACATTAGCAAATGAATTGGGAATTTCTGAGGAAGTGTTAAAAAATGCAACATGGAAGGGATCATCAGTATATTGTGATCCATGGGAAATTATTCCTGCTATTTCATCTCCTTGGCCACGCGAGGCAAATGAGTGGATTTATCGAAGACGTGAAATTCGAATTGATCCAATAACTAACCTTCCATATCAGTGGCCATCACTAGAAATGATTGAGAAAATTACTAATTTTGGATGCTATGTCATTCCACAAGGTTTTGCGCCAAAAGTTGGATCTAATCCGCAACGTGAATTGGAATGGAAAATTGTATTTCCTGAAGCTGAAAAGTTTTTGGAAAGTCGCTTGACATTTGCTCAGATAAAAATTTACATGATAACTAAAGCTTTAATTAAAGCATTTATTGAGCCTGGTATAGAGCGTGGCGTTAATATGTTTACAGCAGAGCACATACGAAGTCATTTATTTTGGCAATGTGAGCATAATTATACAGCATGGAGTGAAGATCTTTTGGGAGAAGGACTTTTGAAGTTTCTATCTTCACTTCTTCAATGCATTAAGACGCATCGACTTCCTGATTATTTCATCCCGAAGAGAAATTTGCTTGAAACTATTCCAGAGAAGATCTTGGTTGATCTCCATAAAAAGATTTATAGAATCATTGAGAATCCAGTTCCTTATGTATTGATTGCCATAAGAAACTTGAGATATCAACGGAACTTCTACCCAAAACTTAAATGTAAGAGACTATATTCGAGACTATTGATCGATGATCCATCAAAAATGTTATATCCAAGTCAAGAAATGACTATAAATGATTATGTACCAGATCAACATTCTGAAGAGGATGAAAATGACGGAATTTCTTTAGCAACAATTCCTTATTTTGATCAGAAAGAGAGGAAATCAAGAAAAAAACGAACAAGATGTGTAAGATTTGTTCTTGATGATAAGTACGTTGCTGCTTATTCAAAAAAGAAGGAAATTGAAGAAAAAGGAAGGAAGGTATCGATTGAATCAATTGATACAAAGGTAAAGGTAATTTCATCAGCATTTTAAACTAGAAAATTTAATTAATTTACGTCTTTTAAGGTTGTCTTTCTTAAACACATGGAAATATTGAGACGAAAATTAATCTACAAATTGTTTATAGAACAATTCATTGATATGACAAAATTATCATTGACAAAATATCAAGCATATCAACAAGCAATGTCTCAGCTCAATCAAGCTGAAAGGCTTTGTTATCTCTTAGCAGATGATAAGTTTTATCAAGATGCACAAGTTTATATGGAAACTATTGAAACATTGCGAGACAGCATTCAAAAATTAAAAATGGAAAATTTACATGGACCAGAACTACCTCGTCGAAAGAGTCTGGCAAATGAAATAACGATTGGTAATGAACCAATTTATGAAGATCAAATCGACACAAATAATAATAGTGAGGGAATTCCATCAGATGATGATAACGATGAAATTTACAGTTATCATAAATCAGTTGTAGCTCAGATACACGCCACAACATCTGAAAATTTAGCACGTTTTCAACACACGGACGAGTGTGATGATGAAATTGAAGGTGTTACACGAACTGTCGAAAGATTAAATCTTAGCAGAAGTAACGAAAACGTGGATGATGTAACAGCTTTATGAAAAGCTTTTTTTTTCATGGATTTTTTCTCTCTGTGATAAGTTCTAAGTAGGATATATTGCATGCTTAGTTTATAAAGGACGAGCCACCAGAATTCACTTTTGATATTATTAAGGATCAAATTTTTGATGCAGTTTTATATTGTTAAGAATTTCTACATTTCTAGAGCTTAATTTGTTTCTTATTCAAACTCTTTAAAAAATTTGCAATAAAGTAATTAAAAATTAAGAATCGATTGCTTACTTGAATCCCATGTTCTGTGTAGAAATCAGCTGTTCCTAATGACGCATACAACTTGTATCCCATACGAGTCAGATCACGCATTGATTGCAGCAATTCATTTTTGTGCTGTAAAATTATTTTCATTAATTTTTGTCGATTGAAACTTGTTATGTCTTTCAACTTACTCGAATACTTCCAATACTAATCAAAATAGACTTTTTAGGCATTTGAAAACCCGTTGACATCATTCCTTTCAAATAAGCTTCATAACGGTTGTCTCCAAAGCATGCGACTTCTCCGGTTGATGACATTTCTACACCAAGTGTGACTTCAGCTCCTGCTAATCTCGAGAAACTGAATTGTGGAACTTTAACGCCTACTTTTGAACTATCACCGAAGAGAACATCAACAGGCTCAACAGGTTCACCAATAATTACACGTGTTGCCATTGCCACAAAGTCATGATTTAATGTTTTAGAAACAAATGGGAATGAGCGTGAAACACGAACGTTGCATTCAATAACTTTCAGTTCATTATTCTTGGCAATCAATTGCATGTTAAATGGACCAGTTATATCAAGAAGCATTGCAATGTCCTTAGCGATTCCTTTGATCTTTTCAAGAGTTTCTTTATTGATATCCTGAGGTGGAGTGACTGTTAAAAGAATAATATGTATATTAGAATTCATCAATATTGTAGCTTAATTGCATCCTTACCTAATGTTGCATCACCACTGTGAACTCCAGCATTTTCTACATGTTCACAAACAGCAAGACATAAGATTTCTCCATCAGCAGCAACAGCATCAACATCGATTTCTTTAGCCTCTGTTATGAATTTTGAAATGACAACTGGATGATCTTTACTGACAATAGATGCAGCATGAAGATAAGTTTCAAGATCTGTATTCGAATATGCAACATTCATTGCAGCTCCAGATAGAACATATGATGGACGAACTAAGCATGGATAGCCAACTTCTTCACAGAAATCAATAGCTGATTCCAAGTTTGTTAGTTCCTTCCATCTTGGCTGTAAAATTCCTTTTCTGTCGAGCAAACGTGAGAATTTGAAACGATTTTCAGCTGAATCAACAGATTCTGGTGAAGTTCCCAAAATTCTTGCATGCTGTCGATGCAAATCCATAGCAATAATATTAGGCAACTGACCACCCATACTTAAAATTATTCCTTCAGGATCTTCAAGCGAATAAATATCCATAACAGTTTCAAATGATATTTCTTCAAAATACAATCGATCGCACATGTCGTAGTCAGTAGATACAGTTTCAGGATTATAATTGACCATGATTGTTCTTTTTCCAATATTTCTCAATTCACGTAAGCATCCAACAGCACACCAGTCAAACTCAACTGAACTTCCAATTCTATAAACACCAGATCCAATTACCATCATCATTTGTTCGTTAAACTCAATATCATGTGTTGTAGCGTTATATGTCAAATATAAATAATTTGTTGAGGCAGGCCATTCACCAGCAACTGTATCAATTTGTTTCACAAATGGCACAATGTTGCTTTCACGTCGCTGTTTACGAACTGCCAATTCTGATCCTTTGATATATTTCGCGATTTGTTTATCTGAAAATCCATAATTCTTTGCATGACGAAGGAGGCTCTCTGGTAGATCAACATTTAACTTCTCAAGTTCCATAGTTATGTCAATGATGTTCTTCATCTTTTCCAAAAACCATTTGTCAATTTTTGTTAAATCATAAATTTTATCGACGGAATATCCTGCCTTTAATGCAGCTGCCAGTACAAACATACGTTTATCTGTTGGTGATTTCAACTCTTCTTCACTGACTGCCTTTAAATTTGGATCAAATCCATTAACACTATCATCAACCATACGCAGTGCTTTTTGAAAAGCTTCTTCGAATTTTCTTCCAATTGCCATAACTTCACCAACACTCTTCATAGAGCTGCCAATATTCTTGCTGACTCGAACGAATTTTGCCAAATCCCATCTTGGAATTTTTACAACACAGTAATCTAATGAAGGTTCAAAGCATGCAGTAGTGAGTCCTGTAACCGAATTTCTTATCTCAGGTAATGGAATACCAAGTGATAATTTAGCAGCAACGTAAGCTAATGGATATCCTGTAGCTTTACTTGCTAATGCAGAACTTCTTGACAATCTTGCATTTACTTCAATGATGAAGTATTCTTCAGAATTTGGATTCAATGCATACTGAATGTTACATTCACCGACGATTCCAAAATGACGAATAACTTTAATAGCTGTTGTACGTAACATGTTATATTCACGATTTGATAGAGTTTGTGATGGTGCAACAACAATGGATTCTCCTGTATGAATTCCAAGTGGATCAACATTCTCCATATTACAAACAGTAATACAGTTATCATAAGCATCACGAACAACCTCATACTCAACTTCTTTCCATCCTTTCAATGACTTATCAATTATCAATTGATTAGAATATGCTAAAGCTTGAGTAGCAAGTGTTTTTAATTCCTCTTGATTACATGCAAACCCTGAACCAAGACCTCCAAGAGAAAATGCAGCTCGAGCCATTACAGGGTAGCCAATTTTTTCAGCAGCACGAATTGCTTCTTCAACTGAATAAACTGCTGCTGATGGTGCAACTTTTTCGCCTAAAATATTTTATATTTAATAATAAATTAATTTGATTCTATGCTCATCATCTTACCAATTTCATTGACTCGTTCAGCAAAAATTTTTCTGTCTTCTGTTTCAACGATTGAGCTTATTTGTGTACCGAGCACATTAATATTGTATTTCTTAAGAACTCCATTCTTTTCTAATTCAACGCCACAATTTAAAGCAGTTTGTCCACCGAATGTAAGCAAAATTCCTGATGGTCGTTCAGCTTTTATGACTTGTTCCACGTAAGATGAAGTAAGTGGAAGGAAATAGACCTTATCAGCTAGACCTTTTGATGTTTGAACAGTAGCGATATTTGGATTGATTAAAACGGTTTGAATTTTTTCTTCTTGCATAGCCTTAATAGCTTGTGAACCAGAGTAATCGAATTCACCTGCTTGTCCGATTGACAAGCCACCTGATCCAAGAATCAACACCTTTTTTGGACGTGTTGTATCAACTGGAACTTTTGGTACGTAAATCAATTTCTTCTGCAACCTATTTTTTATAGACAATCCACTGACACCTTTCATGTTGTCTTTAACCGCATCCAAGAAGATATCAAATAAGCATTCAAGATCTTCAGGACCAGCAGTATGTTCAGGATGGAATTGAACACTGAAGTATGGTTTGTCTTTATGAACAATTCCTTCATTTGAATCATCATTCAAGTTTGTAAAAAGTGGCTCAAAATTCGTTTGATCAATCAGTGTAACATCAACTGCGAATCCGTGATTTTGTGAAGTCATAAAGCATCTATTTGAGCCATGATGAAGTGCAGGTAAGTTATGTCCTCTGTTACCATACTTTAGTTTGTAAGTTTTACAGCCAACTGCTGTTGCTAATAATTGATGTCCCAAACAAATACCGAAAATTGGTTTTTCATTTTCAGAGACAAGTACCTGCTGAATGTTCTTGACGGTTTTATGGCATGTAGCAGGATCACCTGTTTTACGTGACAAATTTCAAATGTTATTAAAATGTTGTGTGAAGTTCAGATAATAATTTCGTACCTGGTCCGTTACTCAAGAATAATCCATCAAAGTTCTTAGGATTCAATTCATAATCCCATGGTACGACATCAACACGAGCTCCACGATTTATAAAGCAACGAATTTGATTCAATTTCAATCCACAATCGACAGCACAAATTTTTGGACTTCCATTGGGATTGTATGTGACAACTTTTTTCGTCGAAACTTCAGCAACTAAATTTCTCTCATTTTGATCATTAAATGAAAGACCAAGAAATGGACCAGAAGGTTGCTGAACAATTTTTCCCAAGATGGTTCCATTTTCTCGAATATTCTTTGTAAGTGCTCTCGTATCAATTCCACTGATACCTGCAATGTTATGCTTTTCCATCCATTCAGAAAGTTTATATTTAAGACGCCAATGCGATGGAACATCACAAAGTTCTCCAACAATCAATCCAGATACCCAAATTTTATTATTTGACTCAAAATTCTTTATAATATCATTTTCATCAAATTCTTCCTCAGTTGGCACACCATAATTACCAATAAGTGGATACGTAAGTACTAATATTTGTCCATGATATGAAGGATCAGTCATTGACTCAACATATCCAACCATACCAGTTTGAAAAACCACTTCACCACTGACATCTTTATTAGCACCGAATTTTTGACCCGATAAGATTGTTCCATCTTCCAGTACTAAGCACACGTTATTTGCCATGCTTAAAAGTCTTTTTAACAGGTTTCAGTCTTTAATTTTTTCAATTTATTGTTACCAAGACAACTTTTATGTGCGTCGTGTTAAGCACGCGACTTTGGAGTAAATAAACAATATCAACAGCTGATTGTTAATAATCAAGCGTGAGATATTGACCTTGAAGTGTGAGAAAAAAATGAGAGTAAGGCAGAGAGAGAAGAGAAAAGATTAAAATTTTAAAAAATAAGAAGAAGGAAAGTTTAATGTTTATGCGGCGTCATTTAACGTGACAACAATTGCACTTCATGCAAAGTAAAATGAAATCTAATATTTTCAAACAAAAACTGTATATTGTTAGATAAGTTTGCCTTAAATTCAACAATATCGTCTTGCATTGCAGTCATAATTCGCGTAAATCAACAAGGTTAACAAATTTTTATGACTACGTCAGCACTATGACGTTTAATCATTATCAACATGTTTATAATCATGTTAATTAATTTATAAAATATTGTAAATGCATTAATTAAAATCAAAAGCATGTAAAGATTATAATTACAACAAACCTTTGCTATCTACCGAACTTTTTTTTCTGATAAACTTCAAAACCACGTTTTAACCTCAAAACTAAATTAACTGATCGTGACAAATTAAACAAGTGACTTCGACGACGAGCAGTCAGCGACTGAGTGCAAAATATTGATGTAGGTAAATTATATGCTCCCGAAACTCCATTGAGAGTTTTATTCTTTCCAAATTTTTGAGAGATGGCACTGCTTAGCTGAACATGTGTTTGTAATGATAAGAGCCGGTGTTTTTTTAAAGCTTTTATTTACAAACTATAAAAAATTGTCATCTGCAGGAGGTCTGATAAACAAAAACTTTAATTTATTAAAATGATACAGCTGTTTTTAATTACTGACCTTGAAAAGAGAGATTCGATATATGTGAAGATGTAAACAGAGAGTCAGGAAGAGAGAAAGGGTTGGAGAGTGCAAAGTTTCCCAATCTTTCTTCGTCTGAAACTTTTATCCCAGATGATTATATCTTTAAGTGAAAACTAGATTGGGAAACTGATACTTTAAGAGCTATAATAGATTTTTAAGAAAACGGCATTAAATGATGATTATTAATAACTAGCAATTTCTGAGATTTGGAATATTTTGCTTCACTTTTTTCTCTATTTTTATGCTTGATATCATCGATGACAAACATGACTTGACTTGTTATAAACCAAACCCTTACCGGCCTGTTTCACTAAAGTGGATTATCCTCGATTCCGGATTATCCACTTCAGTTTTTTGCAAATATCTTCAACTTTATGGGAGGTGTGTTATTTCTAATTTTCGATTGTAATAGAGTGAACTATGCCTGACATTTCTGTACACTTTTAACTTTTACTTTTCGTTAAGAAGTTTTAATTATTTAATTTTCTAGCCAAATCTAGTAGATTAACTGCGATTTTTGCTATAATTCTCAAACGAATGAAGATATAAAAATTCTAAGTATATGTTAATTTAAGTAGCAAAGTACTCTAAGTAGATCACACATTAGATCTCTTAATAACCTTAAGCGTCTGTAGATATTTCCAAAAAACTGAAGTGGATAATCCGAAATCGAGGATAATCCACTTTAGTGAAACAGGCCGTACAAGCCTGACCCCAAAATAAAATTAATTTCCTTCTATTCATTAATTTTCCGATTATGTTGTCTTCCCGTACCATAAAACTATGTTAACTACATACAATCATTTTATTATAATCGCAACTTGTTGCACGCGCTTTGTTATTTGCTATAAAATGTTTTATCGATAGCATAAAAAATTAATTTTCGTTTCTTCTTCAAGTTCAATTCGTGCAAAAAAGCAATTGTCAATAAAAACTATTTAAATACATTTTTTTTTCAAGTTCATGAAACAAAAGTGGATAGGTAGCATGAAATAAGGATGAGGAACCGTAAAATTATGCTTAACTTAATTTCTGATTGTGTTCATTATGCATTATTCGTGATTTTTGTTCATTAAACATGACATAATTTGTGGAATTGTGAATCGATTCTATTTACAATTTGGTATCATGACTATTTGAAAGTTTTATGCTCCCTCAAATTTCAGTTTGTGTATTGGATATGAAAATTATTCAAATTTTTAGTAGTTCATGCGTTTATGAAATAACATATGTTTGGAACTAGCACAATATGAAATAAATTGAGTCTATAATTTGCCCGATTTCATTCTATAAATGACGTAAAATATTGACAAATCAAATATATTGAGCCATGAGCCGCAAATAGCTCCCGAAAAAGAAAAAAAAACTCACGATGAGTTTGCATGATGTTAAAATTAGCAACTCGACTTTTTTATATAGTTCACTATGTTATTTTGCAATAAAAAGGATCAGTCTGTTCTAAGCTTTTGCATATAAAGCATAAACAAAAATCTCGTTCTGAGTTTATTTATATTTAAAAGCTTTCATTTTATGAGCTAGAGTTTATTGATTATGCATAGTCAAAATTTATCATATGCATTCTTGAAAGAGGAAATTGAAAAACAGAATCGTAAAAGTAACTTTTTACATTTTGAGACATTCCGGACGAATATAAAACGTGTGCCAATCACAAATAAATTTTGGAGTAAATATGAGTCAAAAGTGGAAATATTGGATGAGAAAAAGCATCAGGATTATTTGCATAAAATCGAAAAATCTATAACTGAGACACCAAAGGATAAATATAGTGAACCGATTGTAGAAAGTCATGTTTATGGATGGATTAAGCCTTTTATTGATTACGATGCTCGTGATTATGAGTTGATGAATCATCCTAGGATTAGTGGTGACATAACAAGAGTTGGGGAGAAAATTGCTGCCGAAAAGAGCACAGAACGACCAAAATATTCAGGAGTTCCATTTAAACTTACATAAACGAAGCTAGTGCTATGAACATAAAAATTTACCAAGATAATTAAGAAGTTACAGCTTTTATGTAAACTTTACGTTTATAATAATAAATTTTAAAATCGCGTTTCAGGGCAAATAAAGTCAAGCTTTAACCGCCCTTATTTGTAAAATTGATAATAAACTTTGTAAAAGAGATAATTGCTTTGCGTGCGGGAGAAAAGAAAATGATAGTGTTTTTAAAAATGAGCTTTCAGTAAGTTTAACGATCACCACAAAGAAAACATATTTTTATTCTGTTATGTGCGGCATAAAACATGTTCTAATTATCATTTCAAAACTATAATGTGTATTTATTAGGATAATTCTATTTATAATGTAAATTCATGTAGATAAGAATTGAAATAAATTGTAATGGACGTAAATTAAAGTTGATGTGGAAGAATGATTTTGTTCGAATTTGTTTTTTGTATTTTTTAGATTCTTATTTTGATAAATCAAATTAATATTCGTTGTCAGGATGGGGTAGCTAGAGAGATTCTTGATTTATATGATGTATACCAATCAAAATAATTTTTCAATCCAAAGATTTAATTAAACTTCAACCTTATTTTTTATAAATCATCAAAATTCTCCTTTCAAATATTTTGTTAAGATTCACAAAATTCAACCTTCAAATAAGTTTAACAAAAATTCAAATTTAAATTCACCACAAAATGCCTAACGGTTTGTTCAATTTTCAAGTTTTGATTCGAAAACTAGGGTAAAAACTAAGAATTTAGCATAATAATTATACTAAAGTACTGTTAAATTTCAATAAGCAAATTTTCTGAAAGATGAATTTCCATCATTTTTGTTAAAAAATTTTCATTTCTCAAAAAATTATTGACATTCAAAAATGAAACTTTTTTTTGTTTCCACTAGTTTTTAATATGCACTTGATTTTAGATCTTTTACTCTAATGTCGATTTTTCGAATAAACAAAAGAGTTTTTTTCATATAAATCTTCCTATTAAAATTAGTTTTATTTAAATTATCGTTAATTAAGCCTATATATAGTATTTATTATCGTGTTATCAACTGATACTCGCACTAAACTAATGTATTAAAGTATACGAAACTCACATAAATCGCTCTAATGTAATAAAAAATGACATCTATGATTTTATTGTTTCAAAAGTTAATTTGTTTTTCATGAATTCTCACAGTTATGCAATCCAAAGTGCTATAAAGTTATGTGCACTACTTAAATAATCTCTTAAAGTCCTCAAATATTGTAAATGTGACAACGAAGCATTTTGCACAAAATGACAAATCAAAAAAATATGGAACGAATTACACAAAGCAATTCAAACTCAGAAGATGACTTACATATAAGTTCAAGTAACAACGGAAATAATGATTGTAATTTACTTCTGAATGACAAAAGAAATGGAGACACAAGCATGTTTGATGATTCATATCTCGCAATGGTAAATCATTTTGTAAAAATCTTGAACATCAATATTTTGCTCTTTTTGAATCTTTGCCCACTAATTGAGCGCCATTTTTCTCCTCTCTTACTCAATTAGTAGATTTTTCACTTAGTACGCTGTAAAGCTTTTCTCCTCTATCGATTTTTTTTCAATATAAATATTTTTTTTCTGCATTATTTTATTCCGTGCTGTAGAATATTCGAAGATGGTCACTAAATATATCCAACGGAAGACATAATAGAAAACCATTCTATCAATTTATGCCTGCAAAGTTGCATAAAAGTGAGTTTAATAAAAAAATAAGAATTTTCATGGTGGAAAAATCTCGTCGAATTTTCATCTTAAAATTAATCTATTTATAGCCGTTTCTCACGATGGAACCCTTCTCAGCGAGATGGATCAAATCGAACAGATTACGCAGGAAATTGAGCAGCATGACCATTTAATGGAAGCAAATTATAAATCAGAACAGGCACGAATTGATACAATTAAATTAATGCCACAATCGCTTGCAGCCAAACGTATAATACGTGCTCGTCTATTGCGTTCCATCAATCGTCGATCACATTTATCAAATCATTCTGGATTAAAAAATGTTAAATTCTTTCCAAATTTATTCGTCAAAAGGGCACGAAGTTGGTATCGACAGGTTTTCAAAAGCTTTGATTTCTGGTATGGATCTATGAAGGAGATTGAGGGACGTTTCGGAAGTAAAATTGGAGTGTATTTTAAAATCTTAAAATATCTTGTTATGCTCAATATCTTTGTGGCAATTCTAGTTTTTAGGTATGTATGCATGCAAACACATTACATAATATGCAGTTTTCACATCCATGACCTATATAATATTTTTCCTTCCTCCTTCTTTTCATTGCAGCTTTATAATACTTCCACAAATACTTTATGATAACTTCCAAGCTAGTTCAAACAATCATACCGCAACAGTCGATAGCAATAACATGAGTCTTCCCAGCTTCGAATTTGTAGATATTTTAACTGCTGAGGTTAGTAATTAAGTTTAATTTTTTTTCTATTCATAAATCATAAAATGCGCGCAAATACTAGTTTTTTTTAAAAAGAGAAAAATTTCTTGTATTTTTTTATTGGCAATATACAATTTGAGGAAGAAAAACATTTTTTTTTTCTTTTCTTTCATTTGCTTGCTCATTATAATAATTGCTAGAAATGAGACGCTCAGGTAAACGCTTACTTTTATTTATCATAACATATATGTGAGAAGTAAATTAATGTGAAGTAGCTGACATTTATGCTTTATTATGAAATTTTTTTAATTTTTAAATTATCGACTTTTGATTTTGACTTTTTCATTTCTTGTTTTTGCTCACAATCTACATTTATTTTGAATGTTTTTATGGTGAGAGGGTTGAGGATGATTGAGAACTGGCTATATAATTCGTTGGAAATTTATTTGAATTTTAAGGATTTCAATTACAAAGTTTGAAAATTAAGATTTCAAAATTCAGCAAAAAAAACATTTGTAAGGCAGTGTTGCGATACAGGCACCTGTCACAGGTGTGAACCGTATAATTACTTGATAATTTATGAGGTTTTCCTAACAAAACAATATAAATTCTAATAAAACCTCACAAATTATCAAGGAATTGGACGGTTCTCACCTGTTCACAAGTGCCTGTTTCGCAACTCTGTCGTAAGGTTTCAAACCTTAGAAACCATAATTTTCAAAACTCTTAAAACCATTGAACAACAAATCATTGTGCATCACAATCCAAACTTGTGTAATCCATGAATGTTAATTAATTTCAATTAATCTCAATCATCTTCAATTCTCAAAATAAAAAGTTTTGTGATTCATTCTAATGAAAAATCTTTTTAATTTTCTCAAATTTTAGGGGTACTTGAGAAATTCAATAATGTTTTATGGTGCATATACAAATGAAACAATCAGTATAGGAGCGAATGGAGAATATAGCTATAGTTTACCATATGCATACTTTTTAACAATGACGATTCTTTACACTGTGATTTTTATCGTAATATCAATTAGTTTATTGCGTTGTTATCGTGCATCATTTATAGAAGCTATTGACAATACGCCAAATTTCTATTGTCACAAAATCTTTTGTGCGTGGGATTTTGGATTACAACATTTGAAAGCAGCTGAGACAAAGCATAAGAATATTTATCGCGAGCTTAAAGATTTACTTTTATCTGAACATAAAAAGATAGAAGATGAACGATTGAGTCAATTAAGAAAAGTATGGAATATAATGATACAAATTACTGCTCATATCACAGTCCTTGCTATAATAATATTTATTGGAGTGGTGCTATGGGGACTTTTTAGTATATATGAGAGAAATTCAAGCCAAGAAGATCAATGGAAATTTTTGTATATTCCGGTTGTGATAAATTCTGCCATCTTAATCTGTTCAATTGTATTTACATGGATATCGAAGGCTGAAGAATATAAATTTCCAAGAACAACAATTCACATCCGTTTGCTGAGAAATTTCCTTCTAGAAATTTCAATTGTGTCAGCATTGTTAGTGTTTTGGATATCGAAGAATGATCAACTGGTTAATTGCTGGGAATCAATAATTGGAGGCGAAGTTTATCGAATAATGATTATTGACTTTTTTATGCATACAATTGGAACATGTTTCTATTACTTCATTCGTTATTTAATTCATAAGTAAGTTCAAGTTCATTTGCATTTGCATTTGTTGTGCTTAATTTTGTCACAGAGATGATTCCGCATCATGTACTTAATCATTAATTCCCAATTCTTCTCTCATTTCAGGTCTGATCCGGATGAGTTCGATCTTCCAGAATTCGACATTACACATTCAAGCCTCGGCCTTGTGTTCAATCAATTTATCTTTTGGGTTGGTCTTCCATTTTCGCCTTTCCTATCACTAATAGCTGTTATGAAATTTATTTTAATGTTTTACATCATGAAAGTCACTCTAATCAAGTGCTGTAAGGCGCCAATGAAATTATGGAAAAGCAAACAAATTCAGACATTCTTTCTTGTTGGAATATTCACCACATTGGTTATCGTTTTTGTCGTACATGGATTAGTTGTAACGAAGTAAGCATGAATTATACCTTTTATTTCTAATGACGATTATTAAGCAACCCTCTCGTTCTCATTTGTGGCTGTGTATCGATATAAAAACAATGTTACTTTTTGCGCGCATATACAAAACTATTTGAACGTCTGTTTTCTTTTTTCATATTTTATATCCTTTTGTTGTTTCTGATAAACGTCATGTTGTCAGTACACACCCTTATTTTGCGTATATGGCAGAGAATTGTATGTTTTCAAACGGTAATTGTTTGTTGTGTGAAGGAGAAAATGTGGACAATTTAGTATTATTAATAACTTAGGTCAGTATAGTTCGTGTCTGAACTGCATAGATTCAATTTTGTGGCGAATAAGTGATATAAAGTGCAATAAACTTTTGTGTAGATATTAATTGAGCAGTTCTGTGTCTATTGCAAAGTTTTTTCTCAAACAAAACTGCAAATTAAGTTTTTAAAAATGTAACGGTTAAAAAAAATTTAAAATAGCATTTTAAAAAAAACATGAAATTTCAAATTTTAAAATAACGGCGAAAAATAGTTTTCCACACAACAAAATCAAAATTATATCCCACACCCAAAATCACACAGCAAAAGCCATGTCATTCACTTCCTTTCTTTCCTAATTGCTTTTTAGATTTAATAAATGCGTATTTGCTCATATTCTGTTAATTTTATTTTAGAATTCCAGTAAGTAAGACTTGTGGTCCGTTTCGCAACTACACAGATATATCAGAAATCTTCATGGACGGAATACTTAAATTAAAGGAAGGTCAATTTTTCTGGAAAATCTTTACATCCTTCACAAAGCCAGCATTTGTTGGTGGAATATTGTTGACAATGTGCGTGAGTGTTTATTATCTTCGAGCAAAAGCCCATGGACAAATAGCAAAAGTTAAATTGTTAAAAGAGATGCTGTATTTGGAGGCAAAGGATAAGGAATTTTTATTGGGAAACATCAGTCGATTGGCGCAGGGAAAGAGTCTATCAATGAATCTACATTATGAAGATGATCACATTTCTGAGCCAGAAATGCCAATTGATGGATTCGCTGATGACGATTGGAAATATGAAAATAATTTAGTTCGTAATTTGAGACTTGATTTTGAGCATATCCCGACAACTAGTGGATATACAAGTAATAAGCTTATGGATATCACGTAAATTAAAATTTTAATTAATTACATTTTGCTTCAATGCAGGATTCTGTGATGATGAAATTTTAAGAAATCGATTAAGTCGTTACTGACGTTTAAGAAAACGAGCTAGAAGATTTTGGAGTTGGACGGCAGTATTAAAGTAAAGTGACCTTAAATTATGCAATACCATCCAAAATGATAGTATGAGATGAGAAAAAAAAATAAATATTTAATTAATAATTACGCTACAAATCAAATTACGCTATTTTTGTAATTTAAAAAGCTTAAAAAAATTGTCAATAAATGAATGACAACTTTATTTTTCTTCCTCTTTGAAAATTGATGTTTTTTTCTATCTATTTTGTAATTAGTTTACAGGCGATTTTGGTAGAATTTGTAGGTATAGTTTCATAAAAATCGATTATTTTCACAAAGAAGAACTTTCTCATATTTTTTTCTGTGTAAATATGACTAATGGAAGTGATTTTCATTGTAATGTTGTTCCTCAGTCAACTTATAGTCGTCTGTATACTTGAAAAACTGAACTTGACGATGAAGTTTTAACAAAAAATGGCGAAAAATTATTCAAACTGACGTTTGTGAATTTAAAACAACACAATTGTTATTCAACAGCATTAGAAATGAATATTTTAGAGTTTTGAGAACCTTGAAAACTGTACAAATGAATTTACCTGTACAAAACAAATTAAATTTTTAACTGACTTTTCAAATTTCAAATCAAGAAACATTTATAAGGTTTTAACGAAAATTTGTAAAATTAGAATTTTAGAAAACCGGTAAATTTTCAATAAATCAATTAGGGGTCGTTTACTTATGACGTCCACCAAAAAACCTGACTATTAGACCCCCCCCCCCCCCCCTCCGTCACAAAAATTCTTAAGAAAAATATTTCCATTGTTCGAACTGTCACAAAATCCTAGACCCCCCCCTAAATGTCGGGCGTCATAAGAGAACGGCCCCTTATTTAAAAGCGATAAAGTAACAGACATTGGGGTCAAATTCATCATAAAAATCAAGAGTTAATAGTTTCAAAATTAATGATTACAAAGAAAAAGACAGGAAGTGCTGCATTGCCAATAAAATCAAAAGAATAGCGTGACATGCTGAAATTCAAAAGTTAAAAAGAACACTTTTTCCTCCTTTTCATCCTCTCCACGCCACTAAATTTCCATGCGCGAACAATTAAATAAAGTAACAGCATAGGAAAAGTGTTCTATTTGATTGTTACTCAAGGCACTGCCATGAATTGTTGTTTTTTTGTGTTCATTCTCCACTTAACTTTTGTTTGCCTTCAATATAAAGGTTCATTTTCATCCACAAAAAGCCGCTGCTACTGATTATTTACAAACTTATTGGTCTGTATATTAGTATGTGTGTCTCTCAGTGCTCTCTTTCGGACACATGTGAACACAACTCATTTACTCAGTAATAAATTGATATTCTTATTATTCAAATACAGCACAGCAATCATATGTTTCTCTCACGGATGGCGAGTAGAGCCAACAAACTTGAGAGAGATTTGAGAATCAAAATAATAATGCACTTGATGATTCTTCTTTCCTCGCAGAGATTGAGTTTCATATGCGCGACTTGTGTGAAATGTTCAAAAGTTCTCTTTTGTTAGTAGTTATTAGTCACTCGAAGTGGAAGGCAAGCTGTAAAGAATTAAATACTTTAAAAAAAATAATAAGTTCAATTTTAAAAAGAAATCTAAGGAAGAAGAAGTTCGTGACTGAAGTAGTAAAAAGTTCACAATTAAGTGATTAAGGCATAGAATTTGAGAATATAAATCCAGAGACAAAAAGAGAAAGTTTTCTACAATCTTGTTGTGAACGGATATGACAAGTTATCAATCAGGCAGAAACTTTGGCTTTGATATTGATATGGATATGGATCAAATGGAGCTTTCAAAGAAACGAGGTAAGTGCTACGCAATTTTTCAGTCATTATGGAAGTGGAGAAAAAAGGAAAGCAGCAAGGAAAATTTTATCGATCGGCCATTTTTCCCTCATACGAAAAAAATAATAAAGATTTTGTATCTTTTATGTACGTACAGACATGTTTTTACTTCATTCTTGCCTTTCTCAATATTTAAAAAAACTGGAAAGCAGTAATCGAGATATCGCATAGGAAATGTTGTCGATAGGGTGTGTTCCATGCCATTTACATGCAAAATATATAAAACTTAGTGAAACGTGCAACATCATGAAATATTTTGTATGTTTAAAAGTTTCTTTCGTGACGTCACGATTAAAGTTGAATTTAATTGCCCAAAAGAAGAGTGCTGTTGATATGAAAGCAGGTTTTATGTTGAATGTTGGACTAGATTCTTTTAAATACTTTTTTCATGCCGAGTTATAAAACGCTCAAAGAAATGACTTGAATTACAATGACCGAAGTTTAAAGCTGTTCAAAAATGAGTAAAATTACTTGTTTTGGGCAGAGTTGCGAAACAGGTCACCTGTGACAGGTGAAAACCTTTCAATTCCTTGATAATTTGTATGGTTTTGTTAAAAAAAAACCTTATAAATTATCAAGGAATTGTAGGGTTCTCACCTGTCACAGGTGCCTGTTTCGCAGCTCTGGTTTTGGGAATCTTTAAATCAAATTTTGTTGGAATTGTAAGGTTTTCTGGAGCTTAATTGATGTTGTAGGGCTTTAATTTTGAAATTTGTGAGGTTTTGAAGCATTTTTGATTTTAATCAAACCATAGAATTTCTTGATAATTAATAAAACCATACAAATTCTTATAAAACCTCACAAATTATCAATGAATTGTACGGTTCTCACAGGTGCCTGTAACGCTGAAACAAACTATTTAAAATTACAATGTTTCAAGCTTCTAATTTGTGCTTTAAAATATCAAAAACCTTACAAATGCAACAAATATCAATGAATAATTCCAAGAAGTAAAATAATTCTCTACAAACTTGTTAAAACTTCAACCTACTTGATAAACACCGCAATTTACTCAATTTTTAATTTATTGACACAACCAATTTTAAACTGTAAATATGTCTAGTCTGTTAACACAGCAAAAGATCGATAATTGGCAGTTAGATTATGGATGATTGGGAGTGGGCAAAAATGGAATAACTGTTGTGTGGGTGATTTCTGAAATGTCTCATGGAAATGTGGTTTTGCTGAGAAAAGATCTAATTTCTGGATGTAGTCTTTAAATGACAAGTTCTACAATTTGAGAAAGCTTTAAAGAATTTTTTGGAAGAAATTTCATGCATCACTCTAAGATCTCTATTTCACATTCCTAGTTTATTAAAAATTCATGTCAGTCTGCCTATAAATTCCAGCAAACATTAAAAATTCCAAAATTCCATGCATGCTCCTCGAATTATTTACACAAAAAAATGTATTAAATTTATAGTTTATTACTTCCATGCATCATCAAAAACTCAATAAAACTCATTAATGTCCATCCACATGCAGTAATATTTTGCACAATTTATTACGATTGATTTAAAATTAATGGGGGTCTTTGACTTGAATAACTGTAGTGACTTGAATAAACAGTACAAAAAAGTTTAAAAAAATTAAAGGCACGAGCAACACTCGTCTGTAATTTGCCAAAAATCTTTCTTTAAACAATGAGAATTTTTGAGGAATTTGCTGTGCCTTAATTAATTTCATTTGCATAAGATTTTACATTACATTTCTACTAGTCAGCATGTATACAGTTTTCAGGATGAAATATCTCTTCCGTATGTCATTTACAAACTGTTTGGTCAATGTGCATTAATTTGATATTTTTAGATTTTTTAAAATGATTATTAAAAGTAGAAATCAGCATGTATGCTTATTAATGAGGCATGAACTTTTGCAAATCGATGCGGACTGGATGTGCTCAGGAATTTAATTAGGAATTTTAATTAATTTTGAACTGGAAGCTTTGTGATTAAAAGTAATGGTATATCCTTTCGTTGATTATAAACTTGCTCTTTGCTCATGTTGCATTACAAAGGATTTGAATTCCTTACTTTTAAATACTAGATCCAGCAAATTAAAAGAATTTCTCACAAATAAAGATCAAGTAAGTAAGATTTGTTTTTCTACAGCCCTTAAAAGCTATTACCACAACAAAAGCACAAAACAAATTAATTAAAATGAGCAAAGTCATCTTTTCAAGCCATAAAATTCACCTGTTATGAACATGAAAACTTCGTAAACGACTTTTTAAGTGCAGTTTCTAAAGTATCACAATAATATCAACGTCATTAAAAATGTAATTGAGTTATTCAAGTTTCAAGAAGGAATTCTCGCTTCTGTTCTTGCATGGAACAACATTTGCTAAATTAAATTGTCTACATTCATTATTTGTGTTTGCTTGCTCAGCGTGATAAGCGAATAATGAATTTCATTTAATTTGATTATTTTCGTTTTTTGAAATGTATTACTATGAAGCAACTTTACTGGATTCATAGTCGAAATGGATAATTGAATTTGAACTGAATAAGGCAAATATTCGAAAGCTATTAAGTGCTTCATGTGAATATAAATGAAATGAAATATTTTAAAATGATCGATAATTGTTTAAATGAAAATTTTAATTGATTGAATATCAATTACTCACTTATTTGCTACTGATTCTTGAACATTGCCAATTTGCTTCCAAAAATGTAATTTGTGTTGTTTTCAAACATTTAAAAAATATTTGTATGGTTTTTTCAACAAGTATGACGAATTTGTAAGGTTTTTGATCAAAAATAAAATAATTTGTAAGGTTTTCAAACATTTAAAAAATATTTGTATGGTTTTTGAACAAGTATGGCGAATTTGTAAGGTTTCTGATCGAAAATAAAATAATTTGTAAGGTTTTCAAACATTTAAAAAATATTTGTATGGTTTTTGAACAAGTATGGCGAATTTGTAAGGTTTCTGATCGAATGAATAAACAAGGGGTGCAATAAAGGCACCTGTGCAGAGGTGAGAACCGTACAACCGGACCTTGATAATTTATGAGGTTTTTCTAACAATACAATACAAATTTTAATAAAATCTCGCAGTTTCAAGGAATTGTACGGTGAGTTTTCGCCCGACCTCCGAACAACGAGGTTGTGGAATTGTCAATTTTCCATAATTTAATTATTTACGCGTAGGAACCAGACAGCAAATATAGTTTAAAGTGCATACAAATAACTAAGGAACAGATTAACAAAGGAGAAAACTCAAAAAAGTCGCGATTTAGTTAAATTTGGAGAAACTTTTGAATTGAACAAAAAAGGTGCAAATTTTTGCACATAACCAATACAAAAAATATAAAACGGAATTGATCATCATCGGAATACCAAAGAACATTTAATTACATTGACAAATCACGATCGGCGGCAGTTGTGAGGAGAATCAATTGTTTCACGTGGGTTTTTTGTGTGTTTACCAACAATCGTGGACAAGAAGGTTCTATCATAACCATAACCTAGACAACGGATTATCGTCAATTGTGAGGAGAATTTTTCTCGCGATGGGTTTTGTGTGTTTCCCCATTTATCGCGGGCAATTCTATCAATCAATTGGTGCTGACTGGATTTCAACAAATCAACATTGACAAACAAGAATCGATCATCTCGGAATACAGCAGAACATATTAATTACATTGACAGATCACAATCGAGACATAACAAAAATTTGAATCTATTTGGAATATCACAAGTTGAATTAAGAACTGTCAAAGGATCTGGATCATCGACAACTGAAGATGGAATTTTTTGCCTAGCGATGGTTTTTTGTTGTTTTGACTTATCGTGGGCATGTTTTCTGTCAACCATTTGGAGTTGACTGGATTTTATTGATTGTTCTTTGTGTATATTTGTAAATTAAACTACCTGGAATTGTGAACGGTCTTTAAATAGCAATAAGCTGATGGACCATAATAAAGTTAATTAAGAAGAAGAAGAAGAAGGAATTGTACGGTTCACACATGTGCACAGGTGCTTGTATTGCAACCCTGGAATATACTTTCAAATCTGAAATCCGGATGAAGCATAAACAAATTCAGTAAAATTATTACATTTCCATTTTATATCCAAACTAGTTCTTTTTAAATGCAAATGTCTATAAGTATGACAATAGAATTAGCTGCATACATTGTATTTAAATAATAGAAAATTATATTGTGCCTTAAGAATTAAACAACAAGCTATTATCAAGCTGGCGGCAGCATTTTTTTCAAAAATTAATTTTTTGTATTATAGAAAGTTCTAGTTTGTGTGACAAGCGAGCAAAAATCTTAATACATTTTGAAGCATTTAATGAATGTAGAATTTTATCACGTATCATTTCATTCATCAAATATTAAATGCTGATAATGAGTTGAGCTGTTAATTTGATAAATAAAAAAAAAACATACACTTTGTTATCACGAATATGATTAAACATTAGCTTAGTAATAATGGATTTCAAGCTATGAATAAACAATTTAATTTGATGATTAACCAAATAATTTTATTGATTATTTTTGTTTTATCGAACACAAGTAAATTGGTGTAGAGGAGTGATTTGGTTGGTTTTATTGACTTAATTGCTGGATGCATTTTTAAATTTTAATGTCAAAAAAGTCGAAAAATCTGCAAAGTCAATGTCACATTCTCCATCGACATACATTTCTCAGTTTATGACATTGAATAAACAGCTGTTTGTACTCATTTTACGAGAAACAGATTGTGAGTTTAAGAAACGCAAGCCTTTAACCTTTCATCATCATCTCAACTGCAGCTCCAAAATAAAGCAAATCATGAATAACAAATACATTCAAATTTTATGAGAGTCACGCATTGCTGGTCAAAAACAAAGTTTTTCACTCTTCTTTTTCCCAAAAACTCGATCAACGACTTTCCTCGTGTGCTCAATAAAGCTTTATTTTATTTCGTGTGGAATTGGAGAAAAAATAAATTTTTCATTTTTCTTATGAATTTTTTGCTAGCCTTGAATGAAGAAAATGAAAATTTTGAGACTATTAACAACTGTGTGGATGGAAAATTTCACTTGGCTGTTCTGTGTGTCATGGAAAATGTTTTTAAGATCCAATGATATTGTAAATAAATAAATTTTTCTTAATATCTTCACATTTTCATGTGTTATAAATGGATCGTGACATTTGAGGAGTGCAAAGATCTTTGAATCGTGTCCAAATATTAGTAATTTAGTAATTTTTATAGATTTTAAGGCAGAACATATTTTTTAAAAATCAACGAACTTTTTAAATTTGAATTTGTCTACAGAAAATGTTTTAAATTCCAAAAAACCGTTGTGAATGTTCAAAATTCCAGAATTAATTTTTTTGCACTCAAAAAACAACACAGAAATTCATCACATTAAACTAGTTATCCTCTCATTGCAAAATTTAATCTCGCTCATCCAATCATAGCTTAATAAATTCTATTTTCACATTTTAACAGTGCCAGAAAAAGGATTTATGAGTTTTTTATGAATCTACCTGACACACTTAATACTAATTACTATGAAGACATATAATTAATATTTCTCTCAGTTTTCCCTTTAAAAAATTAAGTCGACCGTATGTCGGTGCTATGAAGAAATTGCAATAAATAATGTAGAAATTGCGGACGAGAAAATGAATCATTTTAGTTGTGGCAGACAGGGTTTGAGATGTTTGATAAGATAATAATGAAATTGTAAAGAGAAGTTATTGTTACGTTAATTAATTAAATTATTCAACAACAGAGAAAATGACATGACATGTAAAGAAATATTTTTTGCGACATTTATCTTTACTGTGTCATGTACAGTGCCAATTGAAAAATTCTTCACAAAAAAAATCATCTTTTATTCTTAGTTAAATGCTAATTATGTTATTTTTTATGGCGCCTTACAGAATGTAGAAGTCCATTTAATAAATAATTAATCTAACGGTCTTTACAATTTTGAATTTTTAACGACTTCTAAAATTTTAAATCCAAAAAAACCGTTGGTAATGTTTGTAGAGAAAGAAAAGTCGTTAAAATCAAAAGCTCAAATCACTGCAAATCACTTAAAAGCACAAACAAGAACCAACTTAGCATGCATAAGACTACCTGAAAAACCATAATGACACACTTACTCAACATAATACCGGAAAAAATCAAGTTCCGAACAACAAGAAATCAAAACTTTTCACATTATTATTTACGTCACGTGCTGTCAGTCTAAATAATTCACCTTGACATTCTAATGAAAATAGATTGAGAAGTTTATTGACATGTCTCAGTTTATTGAAATATTAAAAAGGATAGAAAAATTTATAAAAATAGCGAATATTTTTAAACTACAACAAAAAAATCAATATCGTCACTACCTTCAGACATAGATGAATATTTTTATGAAAAATAGCAAGCAAATTTTGTTTGTGACATTGATCATGAAAAGCCGAAAACAAGCCACGATTCTCGCAAATAATTTATCATATTAATTAATACGAATGTGTTGAGGAATAAAAAACTGTTTACATTTTTAATTTACGCGTTGTTGTTGATCGTTAAATTTTAACAGAACGTGTGGTGGATTTGTTTTGATGTTTATAGTATTCTTGCATGTCGCACCTGCAGTCAATTATTTTTTCTTTGCCAAAAATTAAGAATTTAAGAAGTTTTAATCAAAAACCCTTCAATTTTCAAAACTGTTGTAAAGTTTTGAAAAATAAAACAATTGTAAAGCTTTGAAAAGTGTTTTTTTTGGCTTTTATTAAAAGTTTCAATCGAAAACCCTGCAAATGTTTGAGAATTTGCAATGTTTTGAACAAACATTTGTACGGTTTCAAAAAATGAATTTAAATTTTTTCGCTTATTCGAGTCAACTTCAATCCCTGAGAAGAGATTTTCTTAGTATTTTTCACAATAAACACAATATCGTGTATTTCAAGAAGAAAATACATAACAAAGAGAATGATCGGGGAAAAATCTCGCATATATATTCTTGTAGGTTAGTTGTCTGCTGAGAAGCTAGATGAAAAGATCAAGAAACGGTTTCTGTCTGTAAATTGTGATAAATCAATTATCGCGTGCCTAATTTCAGTGTGGTTAAAAGCGCAATCACTCAAAATATTGCATAAAAAAAATCCACATAAATAAAGAATTCGAGTCATTGTGCCAGACGATAAAAGTTTTATCAATAAATAACGGCACTACGTTAGAGATAACGAAAGTTTATGTGATTTCGTGCCCTAAATATACAGTACGCTTCGTGATTTCTTTCACTGTCGGCTTTTTCAGTTGTATTTTAGCATTTAATCGAAACATATCGGAAGAAAATTTCACTAGTTCCGTGAAAATTTTCAGATATTAAAAAAAGATAATTTCGCACTTAAGAACAAAGAAAAACTCATTTGAAGGAACAAAGAAAAATGTCATTGCATTGCAAAGAAAATTGACCGAAAAACATTTTTATTATTTTTTTCTGTGTTTTTATTTTTAAAAGTGAAACAAGCTACAAAATTGAAAAGAACATTTCAATAATTAGTAGAGTAATCTAGTCAAAACTAAAGTCACGTGATCAGGAAGAGACTTTTTGTATGCTTTAAAAGAGTGTTTTATTTATAGACATAGAAAACACGCCAAATTTTGAAACGAGAAATTGACTACACAACTCAGTTATTTGCGTGTGTGCCGTGCATTAATTTGTTGACTTCAAAGAGTTTCATTTTAAATAAATAAAAATAAAAAAATGAGTTCAAGAGGATTCTTGCTAAGAATGCCTGATGATGATTCATACGAACAAGCTGATCGAATTCCTTTAAGTCCAAATATTATTGTCTCACGAGCAGACTTTTTTGACGCTCAGGATGGAGGTAAATTGAATTTCTAATTGGTTTAGATCAAGGCGTTGAAACTATCCCAAATATCATATTTATCCCGCAATTCCCAAAAATATTCAAAAAATTCCTGAGCATGTGTACACGATAATAAAGATATACCACCGTATCCTTAGTGTATTGGACGTGTAATTTCAGGATATAATGGGATATCTCAATTCTAATGCATACAGGCTCAGGGATTATTTTGAATATTTTTGGGATAAATGGGATATTTGGGATAGTTTCCACGCCTTGGTTTAGATTAAATTGTTGCATTTATTTGTCTTTACGTCATTCGGCGATGCTAGTCTGAGGATCAATTTTTTAAAATGAAAATAGACTCGTTAACGTCTCTTGAACAAACTTCAGAAGTTTCACGAAAATAACCGAAGGATTCTTCAAAAAACTGGACTTTAGAAACCTTATTTTTAAACCTAAAAGATCTAATATCATCAGGAGCTGCGTTATTCACTTGAGCTTTCCTTTATAATCCCTGAGAAGAATGAAGCTGCCTTATAAAATCCTAACACTGTCTCAAAATCTCTCATTACTTTTTGATGGGATTTAATTAAAAAGCTTATTTATAGATGTTTATTTTAAAAATTCTGGGTCAATAACTCGTCTGTTTGTGATTCCTTGTTGCATCTCTGACGTCATTTAAGACTTATTTTCTGTTTATCTACTCTTTATAAAACAAATCGTAAGCTAAAGTGATTCAAGGAGAGTAATTAACGGGGAATTTAATTGCCAGATTTAGATAAAATATAAAGCAGCCTCAAAGGCATTAAATGTCTTTATAAAAATCAGATTTTTCGTGACATACTTGCTTTTGCTGAGAAAGAGACCTCCTTTTCGATCTTGCTTTATTTACGGACAATTTTCCTTTATGAATATTTTTTTATGAATCCCATTAATAGCCATAACTGTTCTCAGCTCAAAGTGAATCTTCTTTTTCCATTTACACTTTCAAAAATGATTGAAAATTACGCGATTGGAAAAATGTAGACAGCAGCGACCCAAGAACATGAAAGTGTAAAAGATGAGCTGTTATTCACACTTATTAGCATGACTTATTAATAGATAGGCACTGGTAAATGAGTTTGTTTACTGAAATGTTGCAGAGAAAATTCTAGAAATTAAAAGAAGGTTCGAATAAATTCGTGTATGCGGCACGAAAGATAACAAAAGAGCGTCTCTGTTGAATTTTATGTTTCGTAATGGAAAGAAGTAATAAATGGGTTATCTCGGGTAGCATGCAATGCTGTATTGAAAGTTGTTTTTGTTTACATTTTTTTTGTTATGCTTATTACTTTCTAAAGAAGATGGTGAGCAGGAGGTCAAAATTAATGTAACAATTCAAACATGTCAAGCTTTAGCTATCAAGAAAGTAGCAAATTAATACAATTGGATTGCATCTATTCAATTTAAATTAAATTTATTTTTGTTATGACTCATTCTTGATGTAAAGCTATGATGTTATTGTGTATAAACAACAGACACCCACTTTATCAATCCTTTAATTCTCCTCAAAAATTTATTTGTTAGAATAAACTTTAAGATCATTTTAGGGGTTGTTCACTTATGACGTCCGAAGTTAACGATCATTTTACAAAGAAGAACAATGAATTTCTAGAAATTTCTATTGTTCTTTTCTTGCTGACCCCCCCCCCCCTCCCCTCGGACGTCATAAGCGAATGGCCCCTAAGATAATCGATGTATTTACTGTGTACATAATTATATACAATAATGAGCAGAAGATTAATGCAGGGATTGAAAGACAAAGATATGATTATCAAAAGGCACTTACACCATGATCAGAACTCCTATTCTTTCCCTCTTATCAGGGGCGTAGCCAGAAAATTTTTAAGGGGGGGCCCATTTTCGAAAATTAAAAACTGTTATTTTGTATCCTTTAATCTATATTCATTCTTCATAAGTTTAAATATTTAATTCATTATTCATACATTAAATTTAATTTTTCGTGCTGATTTTGACATTTCTTTCATCACTTCCTCTACATCAACTGGTTCTTCTCTATAAATACTTAATAAAACAATTATCAGATTTTCGTAGGGGGGGCCCGGGCCACCTATGGCCCCCCCCCCTGGCTACGCCCCTGCCTCTTATACCTCTTATCCTACTTCTAAACTCAACGATTAACTCCTTCCTCAACAATATTAAAATAATCAACTGCTGTAAACTGTTTGTACATAAGCTCTTTTCCATTTCTGTTTACTTTTTGTCATCCGTTATGTTCTATTTACTTGGCTATGTCTTTCATTTTGTTGTTATTATTTTTTTTGCCTATCTGAATATTTATTTATTATTGAATGATTATATAGTGATAGTAAAGTCACTCTGCTGTATCGATGCAGTGTCTCATGCAAAATAGCACTTTACGTCTTGTAAGCATTTTGTAGTTGTCTACTCCAATTCAGTTAAGATTAAGCATTTGCTGGAAGTAGACAAGCTAGAAATAAAAAAGAAGTTTGAAATGAATTTTAATCGTTCAGATACCTTAAAATTTTCTGAAGTTCTGAATGATCCAAAGTTTTTAACATTTTTAAGACAGTGGGAAATGGCAAGACGACCAAGTGCTGTTCAAAAAATTTTTAAACGTAATTTTAAGTTCAAAACACTAATTAGACTAGATTTATTAATTATTTTATTTTATTTCTTCCAATTTTTATTTTATTTTCATGTTCGCTTGACATTTATTTCTGTTATGCTGTTTATGAATTAAAAATAAATAGATAGTGAATCACCAGCAATGTCATTAACCGGAGCACCAACTTCTCAGATGCCAAAAAGCCCGGAATTAGAAGAACCTGATCAATTGTCTAATCAAATTTCAGCTGCGTATGAAGTTCCACAATTCCCAATCGAACAAATTGAGAAGAAGTTGCTGTTGCAGCGTCATTTGACTGCCAAGTAAGTAAACATTAATTTGTTTCTTTTTGTTTTTGGTTAAATTGGATGGAATTTTAGTAGAATTTGTTATTCATGTAAAGAAAAGTAGAGGAATTGCGACATAACTGCTACATGCTTGCTACTTTTTGTCAATAAATAAAAAAGGAAAGGAGATTAGATTGAGACTCTCAGGAACTGCTGAAGTTATACTTAATATGCAGCAACTTATCCAGTTAAATTCTTTAACAGCACATAGGGGTCGTTCACTTATGACGTCCATCAAAAAACCTGATTTTTAGACCCCCTCCCCCCTCTGTCACAAAAATTCTATAGAAAAAAATTTCCATTGTTTGAACTGTCACAAAATCCTAGACCCCCTCCCCCCCCCCCCCTAAATGTCGGACGTCATAAGTGAACGGCCCCATAGCAAACTTTTCAATACATCATCGAAATTAAAGTGAATTAGTCGTCAACAAACGATCCAAAGCCATTTTTAATTAACCTTTTTCAATATCCCAAATGACTATATTTGTCATCTTCAATTAATTAATTCGTTTATATAAAAAATATTGTCATTAAGTAATTGATCATTTCTGTGTGTTCAAAACAGTCAAATTAATTGCATTTATCGATGAAATGTGAAAGAAAAGAAAACAACATTTTACTCCTGTGACTGCGCACAGTTCTATATTCTCAATATTAATAGTTTTTTATTTTCGCTAACTCCCCGACATTGAAAGTGAGCTGAATTTTAGTTCTCGAGTGAACGTTTTCGTGTAAATTTCAAGTGCATTAATCCACATCGATCGATCTAGCCTTTTACTGTGTGTTTTATTCTGTGTCAAAAGCTGTGAGTTGTTGTGCTGTATTGAAGTTGTTTTTAAAAATTTGAGCTGATAAAGCACATTCTGATAATTCCATGTGTTATGCTGGATGTCTATTTTTACTTTTGCTACTTTTCCTTTCACACATTCATTTTTGAGTCAAGTTTAGATTGGCTTTACGGAGAATCATGAGTGCTTAGTAGATTAGAAATCCGAAGCTTCCAGTGTGGCATTCAGATTGATTATTGAATGATCGCATGAACAAAACGTTTGAAATCAGAGAATGATTAGTAATCTGTGACATGTGATAATGCCAATGGCATGTGACGCATGTTTTGTCTGATAATGACTGATAATTTGTTGGCAATTCATTTGAAAATTAGTTCTCTTATGGAATCTTTGGATCACTATTGTCTGGCTCCTAAGTCAGGTAAGTAAGGTTTTTAATGCCGACAACAAATTTTAATTTTTCGTCATGATCCCAAACTATAAGCAATAATAACTCATTAGCATAAACAGTTTGGATCTTATTTCCTAAGAATAAAATCATCAACAACTTTATCTCAATTTATATCCAAAACATAAAACAACAGAAAGTTCTCAGAAGTCAATCAATTCTTTATTTAATTAAGGATCATGTACTGTTGATGTCTATACTGGGGGGGTCCTCGATTTTAAAAGATTCGATTTGATAGGATTTTTTTTGGAACAAAACATCTACTCAAATCGAGGTATACATATAGAATAGGACCTTCAGATTCACTTCTTCTTAACTGATAAGAAAGTACTTCTTCTGAAGCTGTAAAATACTTGAAAAAATTATTTTTTTAAAATCTGTGTCTTTGGATCTGATCTTAATTTTTGGTACATGCCATCCACAAAGACACACACAAAAAAATTTCAATTCCATGGTTGCATAATAATTGTGGCTGCGAATGTATGCATGATATTCATCACACAATAATTTATTTATTTCCATCGTCAAATGTAATTTTATATTACATGTAATCATCGTCATCGCATTACTGTATTTCTCTTTCATTTTCCGATTCCATTTCTATCTTTTTTTTTCTTACCAATATTCCTATATATGAAAGCCAATTTACAGCGAAAGCGTGCAGGCTTAAAGGAATGAATTTAATTTCATTTAGTTTTGTGTCTTCATTTAGCAAAGTTGCTTGTGTTCATTATTAAAGTGATACTTAATATAAGGATAGGATGTTTGGTCTTGCGTCAGATGTGAAGAGATTGTTGATGGAAAGATCACTTTTGATGTCTAATGGGTAAATTTTCAAATCCTTGAAATGGGATGTAAACTATTTTATGAGGAATTATCATTTTTTTTTGGAGTTAATTATTTTATTCTGCTCATTAAAGGTCTACAAAACCCTAAATTCATTTTGTTTATCGATGTGCTGTGTTTTAGTCACGTTTCTAATTGAATTGGACTTTCATGAAGACTATAATAAGTTGGAAATTTATGAAAATCTGAATGAATTGAGTGCTTTTGAGGAATTGCTTACATTTTGTAGGCATTGAAAATAAGTAAATAGGACGTTTATAATGTAAAGATGCTGTTTTAAGGTGCTTCGTAACTTATGCAAGAATCTGTTGTGCTGCTTTTGCTTCTTTAGCTCTTTGCTAGATAGAATAGAAGAATCCCTCAGTTTTGTGCAGGAAAGAAGGTCACACATAAGTTTGATTCCCTGTCTACTGTTCATGCTGTATGAATAGAATACTCAATTATTCAAAAAAGCCTGAAATTTTGAAACTGTAAGAGAGAAAACTGGGAACCGTTCTATTATCAGAAAAATGAATATTCAGAATAATTCTCAGAACTGATCAATGTAATGCACACAATCAAATAATAATCCATAATAATCCCAAAAGTGAGCACATCCAATTCAAAATAAGTTATCCGTTTAGTCTCCAAGTCAGACATAAATGATAAACTCATTAGAATTGAAATAAAATGAGCTACAAAAATTGTAGTTCAATCATTCAATTGCGTGCAGCACGAAATATAGAAATTGACAATTTGTGATAAGTTGGCTGTAAGGAATGAGCTTAAATGGTAATGTGAAAATTTATGGCACTTGAAAATTTTATTTTATTTCAACTAAAAAGTGATAGAACATTGGGGTGGATCAAAATATCCAGCTTGACATTCTGTGAGTTTTTGTGGACAGAAATTCATGACTCGTATATGCATTGGTCCTGTTATGATATTATTGACTTGCCGAACAACATCAGTATTGCAACATTCCATATATTTCACTTCAGTCTTGATAATTGTCGGATTGCAAACACCTTCATGTATCACAGGTCCTCCATATAAAGCACATCGAAGGTCACCACACGGAGTTTTGCACATTTTCTATTTGTGGAATAAAAGAAAATAAAAAATCAATTAAAATTCCAATTTTGTTGGGGAAAATAATTTATGTACTCACGTGTTGGAGTCAATTGAGAAACCTTTTGAATTCCGATATTTAATTAAGCTGGATTTGTTGATTGATTATTTTGGAAGGACAGAAAATTTTGCGGCTGAATCGTTTGAAGTTTGAAAGTTGAATGATGAAATTGAGAATTTTTATAAATTTGAAGGATACTGAGATTGACAAAAATGTCTTCGATACTTCATGTCATCTTCAATTTTCACTGTCGGATATGACAATCCCAACCGAAACAAGGTATTCAAAGCTTAAAATGTTACATTATAATAAAGAAGCAGCACAAATCGTTACAATGGAATCAAGTCAATTGACATAGAATTAATGAAGTTATGCAGCATGTTAAGATCATAATCTTCACACTGGTTGTTTATTGATTCATGATCGATTTCAATTGACTAAAGCAATTGAAGCTTTATTTATGCATCATGTCTGATATCAAAAAAGAAGCTAGTAATTCTGAAGATTTGTGTCACTTTCAAATTTAAAATCTTGCCTCATTTATTCAATTTATGATCCAGAATTTCACTCGAAGCATCTTAAATACGATCCAGCTTGCAAGGAACGAGCTGAAAAAAAATTGAGCTGATATGAAACTTGCATGAGATCCTTTACATTCCTTGATTAAGAAATTGCGAGCTTTAGTTCACAAACAAATCTAGAAATCTAGTGCTTCATCTATGCTATCCTCAGGAGCAACTCTTCTGCTCTTTTTAAAAACTTAATCACCTCTCAAGTCAAGCAGGCAGCACTTGAAAGTCATAATTGTCACATTCTTCACCAAAGTGCAGTCAATGGGTCATGAAAAATTAATCAACGTTGAAAATTCATTGTTTTTTCTGAACTCAAGTGTTATTCAGTCGATGAATAATTGAAGAAGCCTTTGAGCTTTCTCACAAGTGATTGATTGATCAGGATTAGCTGTACTTTACAAGTTATAAAATCAAAAAGTTTTTCATTTTTTAAAAAATTCCATTTTTTATAATTGACAAATAGACATGGAGATTTGATTTGCAAATAATTTGCTAATGACTGATGATGAAAATTTGCTTATGGGCTCAAAAGATCAATAATTGTGGGAATGTTCAGTTAATATTGTTTTTTGAAGGATATGCTGCTTATGGGAAGAGATTTTTGACATTTTCGATCAAATGTTGAAATTTGTGCGGAAAATTTTAAAATTTGATGAATTTCTTAAATGAAATTAAGAACATAAAGCTGATTTGTTTCAAACCTTTTCCTCAAGAAATAATGCAAGATTCAAGATTTAACTCAGTTTGAGCTGGGTGAGTTTACAACCGTCAAAGGAACATCCATTAAATCAGCAATTCATCCATTGTTTTGTAAATTATATGCAGCAGTTTATCTGAAATTAAACACTGAACAGGATATACTTTTTGAATGTATGGATATTCTTGAAGTTTTTTGCATTTTTTTTTTATTTTTATCTAAAATTTTAAATGATCCACGTTTTTTATTGTTATCAGCTGTTATCAGTTTTTGACATTCAGTAGTTCCATTTATGCTATTCTTCGTAAAATCCTATAAAAACATGAATTTCATACGTAAATTATACTTGTTGTTGATAAAAATTCCCATGACTTTCTACGACAAAAAGCGCACAAATTTCAAAATTTGTAAAAAAATTTCGCACAAATTTTAACATTTACAATCAAGAAATTATAAAATCAATTTTTAAAGCACTTCCAATGATTTTTATATTTTAAATTTCTTTTGAAACCGTATAGCAATTATCAAATTTTATATTAAAACTGTGATTTGATTACAAGCAGCACTGGTTATGTCCAAATATTTAAAAATATGAAAATCACAATTTTGTATGGGATTTTAAATTTTTCAAATTTAAAGCTGCTCCAAGCTTTGAGACTGTTCAAAATGATGTAGAAATGTTTGTACAACCGTTTTACACAGAACTGCAAACGAAATTTTGGTTTAAATGGCTTATTTGGGCTGATTTCTTTTTAATGTGAGCACATAAATTTTAACATGGTTTACCCTATAAAATTTTATTCAGCACTAAAGACATTGAGGTACACAATCTTCAAGATATTGTTGATTTCGTTCACAATCGTTATCACATTTTGGGCAATGTTTGCTACCTGGTGTTGGAAATGGTTGACATGATGATCCACAAACGTTGACTGGAACGCATTTGAAATCGCAAGGATATAAAGAAACACAGATTGCGTATGGATTGCAGCCTTTTTTTGGTACTTGAATGTTGTTGTTGCATGAGTTCATTGTAGAATGCTGAATTATTTTTTGGAACTTTAAAATTTTGATGTTGCGTCTTTGAATGTCGAAAAGAAAATGATCGAAAATTATTTTCACGTGATTTCAGAGCTTATTGAGATAAAAAAATTCTGTTTTTCTTACCATTAATGTTAATTTGTGAATGTTCGAACAGCTGGATTCCAGTCGTAACAAGCAGCTTTGCATGGACATCCATAAACACATCCACATTGTGGCTCTCCACTTTTTGGTTTGTGTTGTTTTCTGCATTCTGATTGTTCTTGACATCTCACAATATAACATGGTTTGCATGGAAGTGCTGTTTCTTGTCGAATATAACAGCATTTATTGCAGTTGTTGGATTGATTGCAAGGCATCTTAGCTTGTAGATGTTTTAATATTTAAGGAACTGATAATTTGGAGAATTAAAAAAGAATTTTGATGTTTTTTGAAGTGAAACGTGAACTGAAAATGAATAAATTTTCTCACAGGTTACTAGAGTCTCAAGAATTTTTTTATAGATTTTCTGATTATGATCTCGCTTTCTTTGTATGAATGTTTTCATTAGACTTCATAAATTGAGACCTGAAAAGCTTTAAAAATGCTAATTGATGAAAGTAAAAATGTCAAAAAGTTATTTTCTTTTGTTCTTTATTTATGGAAACAAGTTTAAGACAAAGTTGAATTTATTTGATGCACAAATCTATGTATTGGTGACATAATGAGGTTTGCATGAAAGTGTGGCTTCAATTTGTTGATGTCCCAAAAGATTCAGCATGTTAATCAGTGATGAACATCTTCATTTTTCCTGGAAATAAAGAGAATTTAAAATTTGAACTTAACGAATTTGAAAGTTTTCGTTAAGCAATAAGAATAGGAATTGGAAGCTCTATTACATTCGAAAGGAATAGTTCAAAAACACGACCAATTCCAAAATCAGTATTATAAATCAAAACTTACTTCCATCCTTGCAAAACAGCTTCTCGCATCTCGAAGCACCTTCAGTAATCAAATTCCCATTGCACATTGGGCTTTCAAAAATTTTATTGTCACAAGGTTCAATGAACAAGCTTGATGGAGGCACAAAAAGAATATTTTGATACCCTTTGCAAACATCTGTGCATGGAGATTCCTTAAAAATGATGTTGCAGCAGTCCATACTTGAAATTTTGAATATAAATTGACAGGAATTAAGGAGCTCAAAATTATCCAACTTTTTACATGAATTTTGAAAAGTTGATTAAGAAAACAAATGGAAAAGCTTCTTGAAATCAAAAATTTTCTTAAATATTTTTACAGAGTAATGGAAATCGATAGACATTCAATGGCAGGTGATGTTCATCAGCCTGATGATGCCATTTCACTTGACGAGCACGATTTCGTTCCACATTTTCAGCGCGTCTCAATTTCAGGCGAAGATACATCAGGCGTGCCACTAGAGGATTTAGAAAAGGCATCACATTTATTAATTCAAGCACTGGAACTACGTGAGCGTTATATGACAATGTCCCATCAATCATTTCCACAAACACTTGGCAGATTTGTACGTAAACGTCAGGAGAAGGATGCAAATGTTTATCATCATGATGATAAGAAGAGTATTGCTGGTAAGTGTCTGATGTTTAGCTTGCCTTTCTCTTCCTTCTATTTAATTAAAACTTTTCTTTAATTTTACATGAAAAATATGAAAATTTTCAAAACTGAAATTCTCAAAAATAATTTAAGACCGACGAGGTAATCGATAAAATGAAAATGTCTGTTGCCTTTGTTTGATTTGTGACTAATTTGATGTTTCTTTATCACAAACATACATGAAATCATGATATAGACAAGATATAGATTACATGCAGTTATTGTCTTTCTGAAAATTGCTATCACACGATTCGTTCGTCAATGACGTTTGATGCTTAGTTTGTAGATTTTAATAATCTATTTCCCTGTTGTATTGTAATAGAATTTTATGGGCAGGGTTGAAATTTGGAACGTCATTAGCGAACGATGCCATATCAAAATATTTTATAGGCATCCAAATGACATGACTCGACTCACGTGATGAGCTTATGTCATGTATTGTATTTCAAAATAAATATCAGCATTATTTATAAACTTTTATATGTAGACTGAACTTGATCCTCAATATCACATTGAGGTAATAAATGTGGTGCTGAGTTTATGTTTTCATTAAGTGGATTGAAAAATGATTTTTTTACACGCTGTTTTTTGTTTGATTATGTTTAATTTAATCATTTATGTCCTTTGGATTTTCAAATGTCAGAATTGTTGTTTAATCTTACATAAGTTTTGTACATCATTGTAATTAAAGTTTATAAACTTATTAAAATATCAAACGGTTTTATTATTTTTAAATTTATTCTGTCTTAATTTGGTAGATTCAAAAAAAATTTGTCGGTTTAAATTCAAATCTTAAAAGTTTGTTATCTACAAATTGTATTTTAATGCAGAAAAAGGAAGCAATTTTGAAAAGTCTATCTGATATTGCTCTAGATCGTTATGGCAAACAAAAAATATTTTTCAATCCTTTCAAAATTTTCGATTTTTCATTTGTATTTATCGTTTCTAAGCTGCTCTGTAACTAAAATTTATTTTAATGGATATCCTTACTAATTTCTCATTTTTTACAAAACCAGAACATCCTGTAAATCCACCTCCTCGTGATGCTCCTTGGGCTATTGATCTTTTAGAAGATTTAGACTGCACACTTAAGGCAGAACATGGAATATTTCAAGTTTATCGTAATGCTGAATGTACAGACAAGTATGACTATCCAACACCAAAAGTATCGGAATTTATACAAGACATGCAGACAATGTGCACGATGATTGCTGATGGACCATTAAAGTCATTCTGTTATAGACGATTAAGCTACTTGTACTCAAAGTACCAACTTCATGTTTTACTCAATGAACTTCGTGAATTGGCATCTCAAAAGGCAGTTCCACATCGTGATTTCTACAACATCAGAAAGGTTGATACTCACATTCACGCTGCCAGTGCCATGAATCAGAAGCATTTGTTGCGATTTATTAAGAAGACATTGAAAACTAATGCTGATGAGGTTGTTACTGTGACAAGATCCGGACAACAAATGACTTTGCAAGAAGTTTTTAAATCTATGAATCTCACAACTTATGATCTCACTGTTGATATGCTGGATGTTCATGCTGTAAGTATACAATAACGATATAAAGGATTTTTTTTCAAATTTTCCGACAAATTTTCAAAAATCAGAAATAACGGTTATTTTAATAAAATGACAATTTCTTTGTATCTTTTGTAGGATCGCAACACATTTCACCGTTTTGACAAGTTTAATGCCAAATATAATCCAATTGGCGAGTCACGCTTACGTGAAGTGTTCCTTAAAACTGACAATTTTCTAAATGGAAAATATTTTGCGCATATCATAAAAGAGGTTGCGTCAGATTTCGAGGAATCAAAGTATCAAAATGCTGAATTGCGTTTATCAATTTATGGAAAGTCGCGAGATGAATGGGAAAAATTAGCAAAATGGGGCATTGAACATAATGTCTATTCAGATAATATCCGTTGGTTAATTCAAGTGCCACGATTGTATGATATTTTCAAGACAAACAAAATGTTGAAATCATTCCAGGAGATAATTGACAACATCTTTTTGCCATTGTTTGAAGCGACTGCATATCCGAGTAAGCATCCAGAATTATATAAATTTTTACAATATGTTATTGGCTTAGATTCGGTTGATGATGAGAGTAAGCCTGAAAATCCTCTAATTGATGCGGACATGCCGAAACCAGAGGAATGGACTGATGATGAGAATCCACCATATTCTTATTATATTTTCTATATGTACTCAAATTTAACTGTACTGAATAACTTCCGTAGAGAACGTGGACTCAATACGTTCGTCTTACGTCCTCATTGTGGTGAAGCTGGTGCTGTTCAGCATCTTGTTTGTGGATATTTAATGGCTGAAAATATTTCTCATGGATTATTATTGAGAAAAGTTCCAGTTCTTCAATATTTGTATTATTTAGCTCAAATTGGAATCGCCATGAGTCCATTGAGCAACAACTCATTGTTTTTAAATTATCATCGTAATCCACTCCCAGAATATCTTGCGCGTGGTCTTATTGTTTCATTATCAACTGATGATCCATTGCAATTCCATTTCACAAAGGAACCCTTAATGGAAGAATATTCAATTGCCGCACAAGTATGGAAGTTGTCATCATGTGATATGTGTGAATTGGCAAGAAATAGTGTCATTATGTCTGGATTTGGACATAGTGTCAAACAGCATTGGTTAGGACCGAATTATACAAAAGAAGGAGTTGCTGGCAACGACATAACACGCACAAATGTTCCGGATATTCGCGTTGCTTTCCGTCATGAAACTTTATTGGACGAATTGGCAAACATCTTTAAAGTTGCAAATGAAAGTACATAGGGCTACGAGAATGAGGGGTTTAAAGAGGACGATGAATGGGATATGGATACTTAAGACTTATAAGTCCTCTACTCCAAAATTGATAAAACATACAAAAAAATAAGTTGTTGGGCACCACAAAAAAAAATCTATAAAATTGTTGTTGACTATAGAATTACTATATAATCATTAATATCCAATAGAGTCGTAGGTAATTTACTTTATAGAGTAAAGACAAAAACAAAATTATTCAGGACCATGCGACATTAAATAAATGCTTCATTAGTGTCTTACCAACAGGGGTGTAGCTACATATTTACGAGAGGTACAGAACATATGTTGAAAATTTTCATTCAAAGGGGTTTCTGACCACAAACTTCTATCCTTTAAGCTACGCCTCTGCTCATCAATATAGCCAAAACAAATGAATTTTTCAATCAACACGAATTTTATTGGTTGTAAGAAGTAACTGGTTTAAGAAATGTTTATTGATCGGGATTTAAAGAAGTGTGTTTTGAGCACTTTTCTGAACAGGCTGGTGTGGCATCAAAACATAATTTGAAATGATCCCAGTCAATCAACAGCTCAAACAAAAATCTTTATTAAATGCTTTTTATTCAATAATCCAGCATATACACACATATATATCAAATATGAACACACCATAAATATTTTTCATCCAAGAGTAAGGGACGATATGTAGAAGGTAATTGCCATTTATAAGATAAGAAGTTTAAGGATATTATAATGTGATGTTTTGTAATATCATTAATTAATTAGAAAATCATAAAAACATACTGAATTTATCTGAAACTCCAATTAATCATGTGTGTAAGCATCTGCAACACTTTTGACTCTTCATGAATCTTTTCTTACTAATTAGTGAACAGGAAGAAACAACTTTTTTATCTCTATAGATTTAGAGTCAATTGTAGCGAGGTTGACTCGATTATGAAATAAATCAGTAGCTATTCTATTTAAAATTGTAGACTCTTGTAACTCTTACTGTTGAAAAATGAATATGAAATAAAATATTTTAGGAATCAAAGTTTTGATGTCATTAATTCCAATTTTTCAGAATCATGATCATATGATCTATTACTGCTAGGGAACATATTGAATTTTTAATTTTTTGGTTGCACGTAATTTCAGAACCAGTAGGCTATTAGAAGTTGCTAGACTATGCTGTCTAGGAGCACCTGTTACATCAAATCAATAAAGCAGCCTATTCACATTAGACATTAACATTGCTTTCCATCGAATTCATAAAAATTGTGTCTGCATTAATAAGTCATTGTGTGATTTTTAATGTGAAGCAATGCATGTGCTTCAATTAGACTATGTAAAGCTCTATGTCTTCAGTAATGATTCACATATATTGTAGTATGAGTAGATCGCGTTACAGATCTAAAAAGAACGATGTTGATTTAAAAAGAATTCATTTGAAATTCATAATAATGAAGACTTTGACTTACAGTTGCGAATGTCTCTAAATTCAAAGATCCAGCGAACAGAATTTCCATCAGATTTGGTCTTGATGCCTTCTGAATCATCAAAATCATCATTTTCTTTTCAGCAACTCTGAATTTATGCCACGGTAAGTCATAAAGATAGCGACTTAGACGAACATACTGTGAAGAGAAATTTCACATGATATAATAGACCCTTAGAGACACAAAGTAACTCACCTGATGATTGATCATTTCGCCATTCATGTAAGCACAAAACAACTGTCCAAGCAATGCCCAACACAATCCATAAGCGACTGGCCATTTGACAATCAATATTAAGACTAGAGCAATGCAAATCGAGAAAATGCTTGTCGATGAAGTCACAAAGCATGCCCAGGTATAATGGCTGTTTATATTATCAACATAGGCATCAAATTCTCTCTGAGCTTCAATTATTCCTTTTAATTTCTGCCTGATAGCTTTCATATCCACTTCGCTATCAGCATTGCAATTTTCAGTAAACTCAGCAAGTTCTTCATAGTCAATCTTAATCAAGTCAACCATTGCAATGGCATGTACAGTAAAGTTAATGAAAGCAATATCGAATGCATTATGGAATAGCAGCGTGTAGATAAGCAGTACACAATGAAATATATAAGTAGAACCAAAACCGATGTAGGATTGAGGATCGAAAATGGAAATGTAGAATGGAAACATCAATCTTAGTTTATGGGTGAAGATGATCATAATCCAAGGATAAAGGATAAAAATAACAACCGCAGATGTATTAATGAATGAGACTATTTTATAGATTTTCTCGCTCAGGCTGATCTTACGATCCATGACTTCTTGTGTCTTCTTATCTTTCGAACGGTACATCATCTCAATCTTGGCGATAAGTTGAACGTAAGAATCAGCTCCGTTCATCAACAAAAATGACTTCGACAATGTTTGACAGAAAATACCAAGTGAAAAGGATATCTTAATCTTCTCAATGCCTTCGTCCGCAATGTACATACAGCAAAAAGTAGTCAAAAATCCCATTGCAATATTAAACAGATGAAAGGTTCGGTGTCTATCGAACTTCCATGTCGGAGCGAAAGGATTGAATCCTGAATAATATGACAATCGCTCGATCAAATGATTAAGTGCTAGATCAAAATTTGAAAAAAAAGGCATAAAGTCAAGCAAGGTAAATCAAAGTGCTACCTAAGTATCTATCAATTGGCTTCGGCATCCTAGATTTATGACTTTTCACGTCTGAGTTAAATGAAAACTATTAACCGAATGAAGGCATGACTTGCTGCATTTTCTAAATAGCTATATTGAAGGAAGTGAAATTCCCATAAAATGCGTTGAAATGTGAATTTTTTACCAAACAAGAAAATTGCGTACAAAACCGTAAATTAGTGTAAGGAGTTTCATAAAATATTGAAAACTAGTTGCTCCTCGTATACCATTGATTATACGCTTACAATGACTAGGATCAATGTTTATTGAATGTTTTAAAAATACCATTTAAAAAATTCAACTGAATTTCTTTCAATCTTTTTTTCTCAGAAATGCTATTGGCAATTCAAGCTTGCATGTATTAGACTAATAAGCTAGGTTGTTCCTAAAAGAGGATGCAAGGGAGACATATTTAACATCACAGTCATAAAATCAAAAACAAAATGAAGAGTTGAAGATCGCAAAACTTCAATATCTTTATTCAATATCGATAAAGCAGTTCATACTGCATTTCATATGAACTTTAAAATCACTTGCAAGCTACGACATAATGTTTGTTCTGATTTGTGGTTTCTAGTCTACATATTGTTACGTCCTCTAGTTTAACTATAATGATTCAGGAGTGATATTACTCCTTCAACAAAGTCTCACAAATGTTGTAGTATGAATAAATTGCGTTGCAGATCTAAAATTTTTGGAAATTAGAAACGAATAAAATTAAAAGTGGAACTCAAAAGAATTACTGTCGAGAATGTCTGCAAGTTCAGCAATCCTGTGAATAAAATATTCATCAGATTTGGTCTTGCTGCTTTCTGAATCATCAAAACCATCATCTTTTGTTCAGCAACTCTAAACTTATGCCATGGCAACTCATAAAGATAGCGACCCAGTCGTGCATACTGAAAATGTGATTTTGAAGATTATAAGCTTTAAAATGGAAGTTTAACTATCCTTTTTCCATGCTTACCTGGTGATTAATAACTTCACCATTCATATAACTACAAAACAACTGTCCAAGCAGTGCCCAACACAAACCATAAGCAACTGGCAGCTTAACAATCATAATTAAAATTAATGCAATGCAAATCGAGTAAATGCTTGTCGATGAAGTCACAAAGCATGGCCATTCATACATACTGTTAAGTTTATCGATGTAAGAATCAAATTCCTTTTGAGCTTCCACAATTCCTTTTAATTTCTGCCTAATTACCTTCATGTCTTGTTCACAATCAGCATTACAATTTTCAGCAAACTTACCAAGTTCATCATAGTCAATCTTGATCAAGTCAACCATTGCAATGGCATGGACAGTAAAGTTGATAAAAGCAATATCAAAGGCATTGTGAAATAATAAAGTATAGATGATCAAAACAGAATGAAACAAGCTAGCTGCAGTGAATCCAACATAGCGATGAGGGTCCAGAAATGGAAAAAAGAATGGAAACATCAAAGTCGGTTCGTCCATGAAGAAAATTGTGACCCATGGATATGCGATAAAAATGAGTACAGCTGATGAGTTGACAATAGAAATTATATTGTAGATTTTTTCGCACAGATTAATTCTTTTTGTCATAACTTCCTGGATCTTCGTGTCTTTCGAACGATAGAGCATTTCAATCTGTGTGATGAGTTGCTGATAAGAATCTGCTCCAATAATTACCAAAAAGCATTTTAAGAACGTTTGAGTGAATATTCCGAGTCCCATAGAACGAATAACAATTTCAGTTCCTGATTCAGCATCATACATACAGAAGAAGGTTGTCAAATATCCTAATGCAATGTTGAACAGATGAAAGGTTCGGTGTCTATCGAACTTCCATGTAGGAGCGAAAGGATTGAAGCCTGAATAATACGACAATCTCTCAATCAAATGGTTAAGAGCTAGATCAAAATTAAATGAAAAGCTTAAAATTAAGGAAATTAATTAAAAGTGCTACCCAAATATCTATCAAGTGACTTTGTCATCCTAGATTTTTCACTTTTTATGTCCAACTTTATTGAAAGCTACTTACCGAATGAAGACTTTTTAGACTTGCATTTTACTTTCACATGATGTTGTATGCGGTTTTAAATCTGAATTTTTTAAGGAAGTTTGAAGCCACAAAAACCACAAATTGCAGAACTTTTAAATATTTATTTTCAATAGCTTTTCTTTTGACATTGAAAATTTGAATGACATTGAACAAGATACAGGCAATGAGAAAAGAATGAAAGTAGATTTCTATGTTTATATTTTTATGCACCTAACTGCTTTATTGTCATGAGCGAGACAAAGGTTTTGCTTTGGAGTCAAAAGGATTCGTAATGATGGCTTTTTGGTTCCATGTTGAGTATGTAATCTTAATTGGTTTGTCCCAATGTCAATTGAAGCATTAAGCAACGTTAAAGATGAAAACTGTAGATAAAGATATCAAAGCAGCAACAAGCGGATAATGATTTATACATAAATTCTTTATTGTTAACAAACTGCTGTCCAAAGAAGAAACATAAAATAAATATCACCATGAAAGGCAGCATGAACTCAAATGATAAATAATTTTCTCGAGTTTTTCTCACTGCGCAGATTCGACACACTTTCATGCTTCTTTTCCTTCTATTTACTCATATTTTGAGTAAACAAAAACCTCTGAAAAAAAAAATTGAGCAAGAGAGAAAAAGTGAAAAGAAAATTTTCATTTTTCTCATTCGTGTAGCATCAATCCTTTCATAAAGTCACAAATTTTCATCCGTAAAATTTACCAAACTGTGTAACACAAGAAGTGAACTTTAAAGTGAACTTAAGGAGAATTTAAAGTGAGATTTAACTTGTCAAGGGTGAGTAGAGAATGAGAGACTTTATTGTCGTATCCAAAATCATTTTTTTATCGATTTTTTCATTACATTTAAAAAATTTTCCACTCCAAACTTTAATCTCATGTCGGAAAAAAATGAAAAATCACAATTTTTATGGAAACATGTAAATCACATGTGTGCCTTGCTCTCCACGATAATTTAATATTATCGACACAAGGCGCTAAGGAAATTATTAAGCGTAAAACAAATTTTCAGCGTCGTAAAATCGATTATGAAAATAAATTTGAGATGGAGAATAAGAAAATTCACATCGTAAGTCACATAAGACAGCAGAATTATGAGGAGTAAAAAGAAAAAGATACAAAAAATAAATTACAGAGTCGCTGAGCAATGAATAAGAAGGAAAATGTGATGCAAGCTGTTGAAAATCTAAGAAGAATATTTTTTTTTGATTTTATTATAAACAAGCAATTTTTTTGTTAATAAATTTTCAATGAATGGCTTCTCGTCTAATTTTGTGAAAAACAATTTCATTAGTCTCGTGCATCTTATAATTAAAAACACAGCATGAGGAGGCATTCGACGTCATTAAAAATCGTTGCTATTCTCGTGCCTCGTCTTTGATAGAAAATTAATGGAATTTTTTTTTTCGAGACTTGATTGAATTTTTGCGGTGATTTTACATCGACATTCTTTGTTGCTGATCTATATGGAGGAAAATTGATTATGACTTGTAGCAGCTCGTAGCACTTCAATCGCATTTCTCTAAATAGTTATTTTAATATCGGATATTAAAGATGAATTGAAACCAAGACCTTACAAACAATTAAGAATGTTATACTTGCTTATCCACTCAGAGACTTAGACCTTAATCAGAGACTTCCAGATTCGCTTAGATATGACTCGAACAATTAAAAACATTCTCAAAGTTGTAGCTACGCAGATGAACTCGATAATCCACTCTGTTACGATGCTTTCCAACACCAATCAACAAAGTTCGACAGCCAATCAAAAAATTCAAAATTAGCACACAAAGCTATAATAAACAATTCATTCTTAGAAATTATAGACTTCAAGATCCTGAAATGTTTACTACTCTCGTTAGTGTCTAGCTCAATGTTCGTTCAAAAACATCAAATCCAACAAATTTTCAAAGCACAGGCTATTTTTAATTACGGAAAATTTTATTTTTTTGCACGTGCCTTACTCAAATTCTTATTGAATAAATATGAAATATTATTTCCATTAAAAATTTCAAAAGATATAGACAACACAAATTCTGTAGCAAATTTCTTGAATAATTTTTATTAAAGCTCAATGGAGTGAATGACAATGAAAAAATTATGATTAAATTCATATCTCCTCTCAATTTTTCGTGTCAAATTTCCTATTGACATGGTGATATTGTTGGTAAATAAATATTGCTGCCTACACTGTTTCTCTAGTCTCTCAAATGTTATTGAATTATCTGAATAATTATATTAAAGCTTAATAAACTTAATGGAGATATTGGCAAATGAGAATGGTTTAACATTTATGAATAAATTAGCTATATGCGCATAAATATACACTTCAAATATTTATCGATAATTTTGTGATTGTTAGGCTTTAGGGAAATATAGATATTCAATAATTAATTGAAGCAATTCGATTGATCTGCTTTACTCTAAACTTTTTGGACGAAATTTCGATGAATTTAGAGTTCAAAACATAATGGAAACTCTGAATTCAAATTTTAACGGTTTTCCAATTAATTTAAGAGTTATCACATCCATAAATATTCTTTAAGTCTGAATAATTTACTAATATTAATTAAAACTAGTAAGATTTACAAAAACTTTTAAATCATCTTAAATTAAAGCATTCCTTAACATAACATTCATCAGAAGTCAAACATCAAGTGCAGTATTATCAATTTTTCATGACGAGAATAATAGGAAGAGAAGTCTTACGGAGATGAAAAATTGAGTATCTCATGATTACGGATTTCTGAAACTTTTAAAGCACAACAAGGAGAAGAAAAGTTTTTGCATATAAAAAAACAACTTTTTTGCCTTTTTTATTTTCATCTCGACTCTTATATCATGAGAGGATATAGAAGGGAAATAAACAAAATTATGGAGTAATTGAATTATGGCAGCAAGATTCAATCAACTCTTTCTAGTTTTCCTGTGCAAATTTTTGAGGCAAACGAGAAATTTTTAATGAAATTTTATGTAGAAAAAAAGCATTCAAGCTCATTTGTTGGCTGTGTAGAAGTTAATTTAATTTTTTATTAATGGTCTGACTAAGAAATATTTAAATATTCATGACTGAAATTGAACATTCGTTTGAGTAAAGTCTCTGCAAAGCTAATTAAGTGGATGGTTTATTTTTTCTTAAAGATGATCTCCAATAAGTAGTAGAAATTAAATTATTTGAAGATATCTGATGAGATTATAGTAAAATTGTTGTATATTGTGGATTAGTGCAAGTGTAAAATCAGATTGTTTTTCACAAACTTTTTTTTTCAAACCCATTTTCAATAAATCGTCTACAACTGTGAAATCTTTATTATTTTATGGCAGCATTAAGGAATCATAATAAATAAACTTAATTATTGAAATCACATAATGCATTTTCATCTACATATTTAATACTTATGGCTTCATTGCACAACAATTAATCACAAGGATTTCTTCTTAAACTCGTTTTATTGTCACAGGATATTACATTCAATTCTTTCTTTAAATTTGTTCTCTAATTTGTTTTTTTTTTTCGTAAAAACTTTTTCTTGCCATAAAACAAAGATAAGGAAAATTTACGATGTAATACTTGCGGCAAAGCTCTAATGAACTAAGCATAAACTATGAGATGAAATTTATTGAATTCTGTTTTTTATAGTGGAATGAAAATTTTCACAGAAATAAAATATTGTTTACTTTTGGACGGAAATAGTAGAAATGAGATTTAATTATTTAGGTTCTTGAAAAGATAAACCATTTCTATCAGTGATGGGCAACCTGTGTGACGTGAGATATGAATGGTTTGAATCATAACATGGCACAAAAAAGGTTTTGCACTTCTCATTTGGAGAATAGATTAAAAATAAGGAAATGTAAAAGTTTTTATCTAAAGCCGGAAGTTTTGTGACCAATTCCGGATTGTAGCTGGAATAGTATTTTCAATTAATAATTTAAGGCAAGAGTCTAGCATGAGTTTTATTTCGAACTGCATGAGTATTCAAAATGGTACATATTACATGTTTCAAATCGGATTCATTAGAATTATAGACATGATAAATTTTGAGGCAATTTTCTCGATAAAATGGTGGATTTGAGTTTGTGGTCTAAAATATCAATGTATCATTGTTCACTATAGTTACGGCTAAGTGCTCATTAAATTTCAATTCTCCACAGTCACACACATCCTAAGTTTTAAAATCATAATCATGAACTTACAATCGATTTGTACTTGAGTATTCTGTATTTTCCAATTTAATCAATAATTTTCCTGTAATACACATAAATCCACATAAATCACAACAATGTTGAGTAACTCATGAGCAGAAAAAGAAGGAAAACGTATGAAAAATGTTTGTAATTTTCTACATCGCAACATATGGAAGCAAACAAGACGATAAGAGCGAGAGTAAGATATGTTTATGGCAATATTGACATCCAGTACAGGAACGTGATTGAATTTTCCGAATTGAAAGTCGTACACACGAAAAAAAATTGCTGCCTCGAGCGGAGATATAATATATTAAGGTATTCGTGAACGCATTTTCTTGGTTGGGATTAAGCCTTAGTTTAAGCATGTACAATAATTCATAAGATAAAACTTCCAGAGAATTAGGTTCCCATTTACATAAGTAGCCCTTCCCTTGATACAATTTGAACTGATTTCAATTCCCTCAACTGTAATTTTTATTATGTGGAACCTACAATGAAGTCCATGCACCACTCGTGCAATCAAAATATTCAGTGATCCATAGATTGATAGACAAATAGACATTAGCAAGCATTACTCTTGCTGCCAATCTTCTTGTTCGAGAAGCGATAAGAAAAAATTGTATTTCTCTATGATAAATGACGATAGAATGAAGATACTATGTAATTGTATGTAATAATAATGATCGACACATCGTACAACGACAATTTTCTCTCTTTTTTTCGTACCTTTGACACAGTGAGAGCTAGAGAGGATGAGAGAATTATTCTCATTTCTCATGCATTTTGCGTATACAATAATTCCATTTATTAAACGAGACATAAATGCAAAGCATTACGCAATGCATTTACCAAAAAAAAAACATCTTCTCAAATTGCCTATACTGATTACAGACTTCCCCTCTTAATATGTATCGTTAGCTGAGCGAGATGAGCAAAATAAGGAAAACAAAAACATTAACTGAGAGGAAAATCTGCCGTTCCTTCATCTCACGACTTTCCCTCCTCATCTCATTTTTCAGTATGTATCAAATTTTCGTCTGCGGAGGGTGAAAAACGAAACATTTTGCGTGATTCTCTCATGAAAAAAAAAGATCCATGATAAAAAAATGACAGAAAAACCAAAATGCTTGCCAAAATGAAGAACTTGTTGGATTTAATTTCGTTTAATGGACATATCATGTAGTGAATTATTGTGATTTTATTGAGCATATAAAAATGAAGTTAAGTGAAAAATTTGGCAGCTGTAATTTGAAGAAAAAATAAATTTCCCTCTTTTTCGGCAGCAAAAAGCAGCAGCAGGAAGTTTTGTTAACCGAAAAAATAAATAACATTGAAAAGTGAAAATTGTGAATTTTAGTGCATATCATCATCATCATGACATTCGAGGTTAATATCACAAATTGTCATTCCAACTTACAATATGGATGGGAAAAAATTTTCACTTCCTTTTTTGCGCTCCTTTTTGGATGTGAAATGAAAATGAGAATAAGAAGGTTTTTTCCTTTCCTTTGCTACAATATTATCGATTTTTTTCCACATCTTCATAGTCGAAGCATTTTTTATTACTCAATCGGCTTCATATTATGTTCAATCTTCCTATTTTTCGTCAGTGAATAAGGAATGAAAGAAGGAAGAACTTTGAGTTTGATTACATTTTAAAGAGAAAAGTAATTTTGTCATTTTTAAGGCTTTTTGGGTCAGAGGTTGATGACGGTTAATCCGAATGCTTGTCTTTTCTTTCAATTTTTGTCCCTCTTCATTGATAAGAGGATTAGAATTTATGTCTCTTTAATATGCCTTTTAAAGTCAAAAGTTTGTATTGTTGCATATTTTGAAGGATGTATTGTTACTTCATGGATAGATTCGCTTGCTTTTAATTCAAATTTTCGAGGAACTGCTTTAGCTTTTAGATATTCACTGAATTTTAATGTGTACCAGTTCAGAAACGTAACAATTTAATCAAAATTCCATCAATTCTATGTGAAGCTTTTATCTTTAATGTATCCTACAACAACAACAAATGCTGAATGTTAAACTTTAATTGGATGAAAATTCAACTTTCTCTGCCATAAAAATCACTGCTGATTGAAAACTTTTTCAAAATTACTAGTTCTTTTTTTTATTCTCAAGTGCCATAAAGCACTAAGCACAAGTGCTGAAGTGTATTGTATTGAGAAAGAAGTGAAACAAAGAAGTAAAATTGTGTGAGAAAATGGAAAAATAAGAGTCGATAAAAGGCATCATCCTTTCACATCTCAATGATCCAAAATATGAAAAAATTTCCACTTGAATGCAACGTCAAGCACATTTACTTATTTCTTCAATCTCGAGTGATTGTAATTCATAGTTCGATAAGCTAATTAATTGATGGATATAAACTCGTTTACGGTATTGTTATTGTTATTGCTATTGCTATTAGGATTCGATTATTAATGAGTGTTTAAGTTTAAGAATGAGTTGTCATAATGTTTTTGAAACTTGAGATGATTGAAAAACTTTTTTGGCAATTTGAACAAGTGTTGAATTAATTCATATACAATAAAGGAATATAAGCAATTTGGGGTCGTTTATATGTGACGTCTTTGGTTGTGTAGCTAAAATTTTTATTTTCGATATTGATAAATGGATTGAGTAGAGGGTGCTAGGTGGCCATAATTTGTAATAATTTAGGACCTCCTTATCAATTATCCTTAGTTTTTAGATATCATCAATTTTTTCAATTCTTAATTGATTTATGAGACATGATCGGAAATAAATCATTCTTTAAATCATTATGTTTATTAAACCTACGTAAATAATCATTATTCATGCTTACCATTCAACCATCCTTTCGGTTAGCCTAACACAACAAAAAAAATGTTTTCGTACCTTTTTGGGTTTTTTACGATTAATATAATTTTCAAAGTAAAATGAAATAAATTAAATGAATCTACATACCCAATTTCTCTCATTAAAATTTTATTAAAAACATACAAGAGCAAAGAAGCAGCATTCCTAGTAGGACGAAGAAATGCGACCTTGAATAGATAATTTTGCATTTGTCATAGTCGTACCTTCTTATTAAATGAGACTTCAATTTAATGGTCATTAAAATGACAGATGAATTCATTTATGTAGAAGCTCTACATTGTGCAATGAAAGAATTCAGATGTGAAAAGCAATGAAGAAATGTAAAGGTCCATTTGGATAGAGATTCGATGCCAAATCTCTAAAAAAATGATTTTAAATTATGAACTCAATGTCTCCATTATACAAAGCAAACAATATAAAAATCTACGCTAACAGTATCAAGTTATGAACAAAGTATAAGCCTTGCTCTTCACAAAGTTTGTCCAAAGCTTTCTTTCTTCTTCAAGTCTTTTAAACAAACTTTTTTTAAAATAAATAAATGAGAAAGTCACTCAGGAAGTTTACCATTAAAGAGGATGTCTTTCATTTCCCAAGCAGCTTCAATAACAGGAATAAAGTCGAGAAAGGCAATTTTCCATTTCACTTCTTCTTCCTTTCTACTTTTTTTTCCATAATGCAAATCATAAATTTTCCATAATTGCATTTTCAACAATGTAAAAAGATGGCGGTAAATGTGCTCATGGCGAGCGAATTGAATCAACAGTTTTATGGCATTCACATTGAAAATTCATAGCTCTCTCATTCTCTGTTTAATTTACACTGTAAATATGCCCTTATCATTAACATTGATGATAATTCTTGAACTGTATCAAAATGTCATAAAAATTGTGTGCAAAATCGTTCCTACATGTGCGATAAATGAGAAATTGATTTTTTTCTCTTTTAGTTGATTTTGTGGAGTAAACATTGATTGAGGCTTTATTAGGGTGGTCTGAGATTAAAATGAAGGATAATGTGAGTGAAACTGACTGAAACTGTTGGTATTATAAAATTTTTGTGAAAACTTGTCAACAATTAATCACAGTAATGAAAGGAAAACAGTAAAGGGGACTAAGCTACATAGTCGAGTAACCTCCAATAGCTTAGTAGCAGAACATATAGCTACAAATCCTAGGACCTAGAAGGTTTTCTTTGAAGGTTTTTTTGTTTGAATCTCATTAAATTAGTATTAAATCAAAGCGTAAACAAAAACTCAACCACGTGATTAATTCCAGAGAAACCACAGACAATATTTATCTGTAAAACTATTATTGCGATATCAGTTCAGTTACTTTCAAAAGGAATCATAATAATATTTAAAAAAAATGCTCGCCATTCATCACACTACGAATGACTGTTTTCCACTCGTTTAATTCAATTTCATTTTGTGAATGACTTAATTGAAATGCGTCATTTGTTGAGACACAATTGCAGTGTGTCAGTCAGTTTGCGTCTAGTCATTTGAAAAGAACATTAGCGAGCAGTAGTGCATGGAGCAAAAAAAAATATATTTTAATTAATTGTTGTGTAAGTGACGTAAATTTTGCTTGAATAATGGATAAAGTGTATCAAAAATTGACAGTAAGTGATTATAGCTTTATATTGTGATTTATAAGGTTGCAAATTTAAGACACAATTTTAATGGCGCCGTGAAATTGCTCTCCCGTGAAAGTAATGATAAAATTTGTTATCATACAAATAAAGAAATTGCTCTATATATGAGCTGAATGTGCTCACATTATCAAGCTATTTATTTCCATATTTACGTTCATGCTCACATGTATGCATTGAAGATTAAAAGTTCTCAAAGCTAACCGCTATTTCATGCGTAAATATTTATTCATTTCTCGTTCTCTCCTTTTCTTGCTCTCGATAAAAAAAAGTATTTTCTTTCATGCTAATTCACTTTTTGGGGTCGTTCGAAAGTTACGTCTAGTAAAATTCCAAATATTTTAACGTTTTAATGTAAAATACTTTCTTCAAGCAGCTCTTGATTCCAATTAAATTTTAAAATTTTGGTCATCATAGGCAAACGACACCCTCAGCTATAGAATAAATTAGGTGTAGCTTTAGGCAATACACGCAAAAACTTCATCAGAGGTTGAAGATGATTAAGGTAGATTTCGTTGCTGATAAAAGGAAAAATTAATTTTAAATTTGATTGATTAGAATCTTTACTTTTTATGTGATGAATTAACTTGCGTCTGATGATGAGAGTTTTTAGGATGTTTGTCAAGGCTGTAAAATTTATTTTCTTTCTGCTATATACAGCTTTATACTTTGATATTATGTTTATCAAGGCTGAGGAAACTTTCTTAGAAAAGCTGTGTAATTGAATTTCATGGTTGAATGTTGAATACCGCGGGATTGTCTTTGCTGTACTAAAATCATATTCAGACAGAAAATATTAACTTGTACACACATTTCCAGCCTGTTCCACATACAATGTCCATCGCACTCAAATATAAAAAGGTCTCAAGTACAAGAAATTCACAAAATTTGTTATATTAAAAGCCACTTGGAACCAAATTGCTTGATATTTTTAGATCTGTAACATATTTCACGTATAACGAATGCTTTTTGACATTAAGGTGCCATCATCGCAGCACTTGAAGCCATTTCAAGTAAACAATATGTTCCCTCAACTGCAACCTCTGATAACACAGTGAACAAGAGACATTCTCAGTTCCTTATCGTCATCATGTATTCACATTACCTTCATGTGTCTACATATTGTTCTGTTTTTATTTAAATATTTTAGTTTTTCTTCTCGTTTCTCAAAAATGGATTCACGTGCGCAACTATTGAAAAGAAAAGAGTGTAAACTGCAATAAATACTTAGTTAAAAAGAGTCATTGTAATAAAATAGACGTCGATTTGCGCTATTCATCGTTTAATGTAAGCTGATTGACTATATAGCGTCAGTCTTTTTCTTCTACATCACATTTATTATCATAATCGAGCAATAAACTTGCATGAAAGAATGAAAATTGGTCAATTATTCAAATTATTGCTGCTGATACTATAATACAGCGTAAATTTGCTTCTGAACGAGTGATCTATGACAGTGACTAAGACAATCCTAATAGAAAATATTGTGCGTGAATTTTAAGCTTGAATCATTTTAATTTGTTCATAAATGCTGTCGAAATTATGAGTAAAAATGGTTAATTTTGCTAGGGTTCAGTTCCTCGGGTATGCTTATTTGTATTGTAAAAGCGAAGGTCCCGCTTAATAATCAGACTCAGAAAATAAACCAAAAACCCCTTTTTGTGAGCATTAACTGTAAAATATCAGCAAGGCATGCATTTCCATACACGAATATTTTAAAACTTATTTTTAAATATCTGTGCCTCAAGACTTTCGAAACTTGGCTATAGAGATTTCCACTTATTTTAATTAATTTCTCATAAAATAAGAAACTTATGCTATTAAATTTTTACTGTGCGATAAAAACTTTCTTATTACGTCATGCTGACATTGATATTCAATAAAACAATTTTTTTTTATCTCTAGTCTGTCCTTAAAGTGGTCGAACGAACATTATCAGTGCCAATTGTTTACATAAAATTTTTCTCATTGAAAACGTTCTTCTTTTTATTATTTGCAGATGACGCGATATAAACAACAAACTGACTTTCCAGATGAGGATGCCAGTAGTATTGGGTCAATTCATTTAAATGTACGAACTAGTCCAAATATGCATATACGATTTGCGAATCGGGTAAGACAAAAAAAAACTCACAAATATTTTAGCCAATATCAAGTATGCTAAAAGTGTCAATTACAGGGCTCATTTTCATCGTTATGGCATCGACGCAGTAGATTAGAGAAATATCTTTTAATAATAGCTTTAGTATTATCCATATTATGTGCCATGTTAGTTATTGTCTCATTAAAAGAAGCAGAAACAAAGACCAGAATTTTGCATGTGAAACAACATCCTTATATGGGTAAGTAGCTGAAATAAAGTAGCCCGACCTTGATCCTTCTAAGTATTAGTGCTGTGAGCATTAAGGTTACAGGTTCTCATACCTTTATTTGCTTAAAAATAAGGATTTTAATTCAATGAAAAATGAAAAAAAAAGTCCATAAAGAAGAACAAACAAAAAAGCTTAATACCTTGTTTACAATATCTATTCAGGTTTTAAGAGTCTCTTCCGAACGAAAATTTATGAAATTTCTGCTTCAATAATTCATTGAGTTACAGACTATGCTTATTATTCAGTTCGGTAGCACAAGAGATCAAAATATGACTTGTCTCCAAACAAAAGTCGTCAAGATAACGAAAATTTTATGGAAATAATACGCAGATGCTTCCTCTTTTGTTTGAATAAGTTCAATGCGGGTCGAATTGAATGGCTCGTGCGACTACACACGTTTTTTGGTTAAATTGCTTTTTGAATTGTTATAAAGTCTTTTCTGACATGTTTGAATGGAAATGACGTATACATTTTATGATGTGGCAGTAAATTATGTGAAAATACTCAAATGCCTGCATAAAGACAATTTAAATACGGCTGTTGATATTGTTTACAATTTAAATGAATGGCTCGGTTTGTAAACGAGTTGAGTTCTTTTCGAGGATTGATCTTAACTTCTCTAGATTCACATCCTATAATTTTTACAAATAGAAATGATAAGTCGTTAGTGAAAGACCTTTTCAAACTTTCAGACCACACGAAGATAACAGAACTACTCAATTACGACGCAAGCCACAAGAAAAGCTTAAACTCTCCTTCAATTAAACAAATGTTCATTGTTAATTCTAGTTAAGTATCTTAAAGAGCTCTCGAAATCCTCTTGAAAACCATAAAATCTAACATAGACAATATTTGTACAACAAAATCCTATTTTCAACAGCATAAACACAAGAGAGTGAGAAAGCTTTAAGAGCTGTTGATATTGAAAATATCATTTTTCCTCTTGTTCCTTCCGTAAACAGGAAATACAGATGATATTCAATAGCTGATTTCTCGGTAATATCAAACAATAAAACACAATACTTTTTTTTTCATAGAAATGCCATGTTTAGAGAAGCAGTGTGTATTTGCAGCTAGCGATATATTGAAGTCAATTGATGATAAAGTTGATCCGTAAGTCAAGAAGAAATTATTCAAAAAATAAGATAAATCATTTCCATCCTATTCATGTTACAGTTGTGATGACTTTTACGCATATGCGTGTAATCAATGGATCCGAAATAATCCAATCCCAGGTGAGATGAATGATTTGTGAATGAAAATTCTTTATATTTATTAAATTTTGTGTATTGATAAACAAACTAGATGGCAAATCCATGTGGGGTACATTTGGCAAATTGGAACAACAAAATCAGTTGGTCGTGAAAAATGTCCTTGAGAAAAATGAAACGTATTTCAAGTCAACTGCTGAAAAGAAGGCAAAAAAGTATTTTGAAAGTTGTCTTGATGTTGATGAAACGATGGAGAAATTAGGTGCAAAGCCCATGCAAAAATTGCTTAAAGACATTGGTGGATGGAGTGTAACGGATCCAAATTTCAGTATTGAGAAATGGACATTACAAAAAGTTCTTCAGAAGCTTCATAATACTTACAATATGGGCGGATTGTTTGGATGGGCAGTTGGTGAGGATGATAGGAACTCATCCCGACACATTATACAAATTGATCAGGGCGGTCTCACACTTCCAACAAGAGATAATTATATTAATCGAACAGCACAGCATGAAAAGATACTGGTAGCATATCTTGATTACATGACAAAAATCAGCATGCTGCTTGGAGCCAAAAACGAGTCTACGGCAAAAAAACAAATGCAGGACATTATCGATTTGGAAACCAGAATAGCTGAGATAACAGTTCCAAACGAGGAAAGGCGTGACGAGGAATCACTTTATAATTTGATGACATTAACAGAATTGCAGGAAAAGGCACCTTTCATTAATTGGCAAAACCACTTTGAAGACGCTTTTCGCTTAGTAAATAGAAAAATTTCGGAGAAGGAGAAGGTCGTTGTATACGCTCCAAAGTTTTTAAAGGATCTCACTCCACTTATTGAAAATTACACTAAAACAGATGAGGGAAAAACGTGAGTTTTACTTAAATTTTAATGAAGAATTAGAACTTTTAAGTAATTAAACAATGGGGAAAGATACTAGTCAATTTAGTTGCTTTTTCAAGTTTAAATCGTGTTCATTAGGTTCTTGCCACTTTTTACTAGCGATATTTAAAGATATTAGACAGTAGCTTACTTTAAAAATCTATAAAATCCAAATTAAAATTCTGAAGTGAGAAAATAAAACAAAATGGCGTAAAAATTTAATTTAAGCAATTCAAACTTCTTTCAATTACTCAATTCAAACCCAATTGAGATAATTAAAAAAAACGTGTACTTCAGCTCTTTCTCCGATTGTTTTACCAATTTTTAATTAAGTTTACTTAATTAATTCCTAATGTAATTATTAATTATTCATTAAAATTCTCCTTATCATTGTTTTCCAGTACTCTTCACAACTACCTTGTTTGGCAAACGGTGAGAAATTTTGCCGCGTGTTTATCGAAAGCTTTTCGTGATGCTTACAAAAATCTCCGTAAAGCCTTAATAGGCTCAGATGGCGGGGAAGAGCCATGGAGATATTGTGTTACAGATACAAATAATGTCCTCGGATTTGCTATTGGCGCAATGTTTGTCAGAGAAGTATTCCATGGTGACTCGAAACCTCAAGCTGAAGAGATGATTGATGAAATAAGGACGGCATTTAAAGAAAATTTGAAGAGTCTTAATTGGATGGATCCTGAGACACGAACACTCGCTGAGGAGAAAGCTGATGCTATATCAGATATGATTGGATTTCCGGATTATATTCTTGATCCAAAGCAATTAGATGAGAAATATAAGGATTTAGAGATTGATACAAAGCAGTATTTTGATAATAATTTAAAGATAAATACGTATAACTTGAAGAAAAATTTAGAGAGATTAGATCAGCCAGTCAACAAGACACGATGGTCGATGTCACCGCCAACAGTTAATGCTTATTATACGCCAACGAAAAATCAAGTTGTCTTTCCTGCAGGCATTTTACAAACACCATTTTACGATGCAGCAAATCCTAAATCTTTAAATTATGGAGCAATTGGTGTTGTTGTTGGACATGAGGTATGCAATATGGATTTTTCTAATAAACATTTGAAATTAAAATCTTGTTTTTTAATTAAAATAATTCTGCAGATCACACATGCATTTGATGACCAAGGAAGAGAATACGACAAATATGGAAATCTGCATCAATGGTGGAACGACAAAACTATCAAAAAGTTTAAAGACCGAACAGATTGCTTTGTATGTCTTTATTCACATTTCAATTGCAATTCCAATTTCATCTAATTATTTATGTATATTTTTAGGTCAAACAGTATGGAAACTACAAAATTAATGATAAGAATCTCAATGGAAAGCAAACCCTTGGAGAGAATATTGCAGATAATGGGTAGATTATTGAAAGTTTCATACTTCATTGATTGTTTTAAAAATTATTTTCTAATCAACAGAGGATTAAAATCAGCTTATCATGCATTTTTGAGCTCTAAAAAGAATTTAAGGCCATCAGATCTTCATCCATTGCCTGGATTGAACATGACCCATGAACAATTATTTTTCATTTCATTTGCACAAGTAAAATAAGCAGTTTTTTTAATTGTCAGCAAATTCTCATGATATTTTACTTTGTAGGTCTGGTGTTCAGCAATTACAGATGAAACAATCAGTTTACAAATTGAAAAGGATCCACACAGTCCGCCAAACTTCCGAGTCGTTGGTTCACTTTCAAATCTTCCAGAATTCGCAGAAACATTTAATTGTCCGATAGGTGAGTTAATGAGTCATAAAACATCTTTAAGTGCTAGTTTTTTTGCTATATGAAAGAAGAGCTATAATTAGCTAAGGTTGTGAATCGTTTCAAGTACTTTTGCTAATGGCTTTATGAGATAAATTTCATAGACACTTGAGTTTCATAGAGATTTGATTTTAAATTAGTTGCACGTGCTTGTGTCTTATGTTAGGAATAATTCTTGAGAAATTTGAATATTTCGAAGAATTTCTGAGATAGGAAGTTGATTTTTAATCGATTGATAATTTATTTACAAATAATCTAAGCTTTTAAATAAACAATCTACTAACCGCACAGCATCATATTGTAAGATATTCACTTTTAACCTGGAGACTCAAATCTTCAAGAAAAATTATTATTCTGTTTCCATTAAATGCAACCCACCCAAAGGGATTTACGATTAAACTGAACACTTTTTAAACCGATGATTATCTTTAATGGCTTAAGCACATCCTCTCGACATGACTTTCTAAAATGCTTTATTTGATTTAATTGTTGGTAAATAAAACACCAGTTCTTAAAGCTGTTTGAGAGATTTTATCGCATGCTTCTCAGAATTTATTACAGAAAAGCAATTCAAAAGTTTTTTTTATGATTCCATTATGAATTAATTACCGAGAAATTCTGCTTCTTTTCATTTTACCGTAATATTTTGAGTTAGTACTCATTTAAGGGCAATTGAGTTGTGGTTTTGTGTTTAATAATTTTCCCGTTAATTTTAATTTAATTATTTATGAATTTTTTTCATTCTAGGATCACCGATGAATCCATCACAAAAATGTGAGGTATGGTAAACAGGAACAAGAAATCAATTTATACTAAATAAGAGGACAATTTCCAAGAAATAAGACTCAATTAATACTGGATGCCAAATGAGCCTAAACAAATGTTATCAGACAAGAAAAACTAATTTTTTTAAGACGAAAGATGAGCAACAAGACGAAGCGAATTTCTTAAATGTACGGTGTTTATCAAGTATTTTTTCATATCCTAATGTGAGCATTTGGAAGTACAATTAAAAAACCAACTTTTTGATAAGGAAAGGATACGTATAAGTAACTATAAATAAGCTCACAGTTATTGTTTGTCTTTTGCTTTTTGTATTTGAGGGTGAGATTTAAGGTGAATGTGGATTTTGAGGGGTTGACATGAACAAGATTTCTTATAAACTTTTGGTTCCTCGGGGAGTCTCAACAGCATCATAATGGTCAAGTCTTTAAAAAGCTAAAACTCAATCTTAAAATATCCTTAATCACGTCGCACAAAAGTTAACTATAAACAAAAACATTCTTAGTATCTCAAACAATGAATTTTGATACATCCATTGGATCATCAATAAATTGATAATGTCCATTCATCATTATCGAATTTCAATATTTTTATACGGATTGCAACATAATAACTCGTAATGAAGGCTTCTCAAAGACGAGGAAATAAAGATTTATGATCTCATAAGTCGTGTGAATGAATCTTGATTCTAAGACAAGATGGAATTCTTATGTAATGATGCTAAAAATAAAATTATTAAGTAATCTTCATTATTCAGAATGAGACTCCTGATGCTTCGAACAAAATTGGCCTGATGTGCTTTTTTATGGAAATAAATTGAAGATCTGTTTGTGCAATGAACTGTTAATAATAAATTTTGTGGGTGGAAGATGGTTTGAACATTATGAACAGGCTGTAAGAGAATATCTCATTAAATGTCAAATTTACCGCGTAATTATCTATAAAGAATGACATGAATGGCTGCGATTCAAGCTATTAATTCTTCTGATCTGGAAGATTGAATTGGAGGAATTTGGAAGTAATTTTCAAGGACATTGCTTATAGTTTTGATGATATTCTGTGAATATAAGATTTAAAATCAAGGTTTTAAGGTTTTCTGAGAAGATTGAGCACTGAACTTTTAAATTTGAGGTTTTTTTATTGACTGAGTTCCGTTTGAGTAAAAAATACAACATTCACGAAGTTAAAAGGTAAATTCAAGAACAGATCGTTCAAAACTTGATACAGGGAAGTCAATTTCTGATTTGGCCATTGATTTCACTTATCTTCACTACTCTTTTGTCATGTGCAATTCTAAATTCTGAAAAATTCATTTAAAATCTGAAATCTTTCAATCTAGTCTCACAAATTTCAAATATTATAACTTAAAATCTAGCTGGTCTCTAAAAAGCCATTTTCCTATTTTGTAATAAAGAACATGCTTATATGTTAAGAACAATTCTGTGAGCTCTCAAATAATTTATTTTAAAAGTATATTTTGTTATGTAAATTTATTTATTTTTATCGTCAGACTTTGAAATTCAGAAATATTTTAAAGTTTCAAGGTTGAATTCAGTGTTGCATTCTGGCTATTTGTCTGGATCAGATAAATTCTGAGACAGAAATTTCTTCATAAAATCGATTCTACATGTAGAAAGAAAAAAACCATCTACATGTAGATTGTGTCTACATGTAGAATCTGTCTACATGTAGATTTAATGTAGATGTCTACGATTCTACATTCTTCTCTGATGTAGACCTGGAAAAAATGTAGAATTATAGACATCTACATCGAATCTACATGTAGACAGATTCTACATGTAGACACAATCTACATGTAGATGGTTTTTTTCTTTCTACATGTAGAATCGATCTTTATGAAGAAAGTTTCTTAGCTAGACAAAAACTATTGAAGAATCTACATTCTTCATCTAGTGTAGACATCTACATTTGCAACACTGGTTGAATTAAATTGAATTGTAAACAACAAAGACCTTGAAATCATTCAAATTTAAGAGTTTCATATTATAGTATTGCAGAGTCTGGGTATGTTCTCATATCATTAAGAATGCTTAATTTCAAAGAAAATTTCCTAAAATAAAAAAATATGAAATTATTGTCAATATTGTCATTTTAAGAAGAAATTTCATGGCATAAAAAATAAGTTCTCAGACATTTTTGACACAAAAAACAATTTCAATCCCCAAACGAATTTGAGATAAAATTTCAATTTTAAATTTATTGATGATGTCGATAATAATTCCATTAAAAAATTGTTTATAAAATATCAAGTGTATCCTCCTTGATAAGTTCATGAATTTTTTCCTATGTGGAGCTGAACAAAAAAATTGAAGCTTTTTATTATGATGAATGATATGATAGAAAATAAAATAAAAAGAAGTCATAAAATATGAAGAGATTGTATAATTTGTACTGTGATAAAAAAAAATTTATGAAATGAAGAAAAATGAAATAAAATAAATTCATTATGTGTACAAAAAAAGATAAATTATTAAAGGTATTTGTCATCATCTTGGTTTGAAAGGAATTGATGCAGTGTAGGTAGTGATTTATTTCAGGAAACGATTTTTTTATTAATTTTTCTGCATGTAGGTTGTGTTTTTCTTGTGAGTAAAATTGTGAAGAGTAATTCAAATATTTTTGGGATTTTAACACTCATTCAAGGATTGTTGTAGGACTTAAAATTAGAAAATAATGAAAATTCTTGCAACAATGATATCAGCTTAGAGTACAAGCGCAAGTATTGAAGTTAAGTGCCTCTTTAGAGTATTCGGTAAGCCGCTACCTTCAAATAAAATACAGAAATTTGTTATTCGTCGGTTCAAATCCTACAATTTTCAGCATTGTGATTTTTTGTTGTTATTGGAAGGCAGTATTGATAATTTGCAAGCTGAAGCCAGTTTCAGGCACCATCTAAGGGAGACCATGGATCACAATTTATCAGAAGATTAAAGCTCTGGATGAAGATATAAGTACTTTAAAATTATCTGACAACGGAAAAATTGAACCAACAGACCTGAAAATCAATTAAAAATAAAGCGAATTGAGGCTGAAAATCGAAGTTATGATAAAGTACTTCCGAACACAATTTGCTATAAAAAATTATCAATCCATCCTGAAAAGTCGATAAAGCAGAGCATTAAAGCTTTCACGCTCTACTTCACCGATAAAAAAAAATTAAAAAGCTTTCAATATTTTTTTTGTCTATTTTCTTTATTTTTTCTTTCTTTTAAATTTTTCGTATAAAAGGACACTTAACCAAAAATATCCTCTTCGAATTACAGGTTAAAGTACAAATAAAGTCTTCATACAATTTAATTGGTAATAAATTCTACTTTGATGCATGCAATTTTAAATATTTAAAAAGTACAAATTAAATTTCATTCATATTTATTAATGTCTCTCTCTCTTTTTAAATTGTTTCTGTTTCGCACATGTTGTTAGAATTTTAATAATGCACAATTAACATTTCGAATTACAATTCTCAAAATAAATTCATTGCCAATTTTTGCTAAATCGTCAAAGACGTTTGAAAAAAAGAAAAAAATGTATATAATGTATAAATTGATATTTTTCTTGATTTTTTTTTTCTAACGAGAGAATACAAAAAAAATTTATTTCACTTTTCAGAGGATATGAAAAATTTCCGTACTAAATATGGATGTTACTGTTTTCAGCGTGGAAGTTGGAAATGAATAGAAAGTTGAAGATTTTTATATAAAAAAATCCTCTGAAAGTGTTAATCGTGTATAAGTGTGTAATTTTTTTTGAGTAGTTTATGCAAAATTTTACTGGAATTTTAAAAAAGTTGTAAATTAAATTTTTTCCTCAATTTTCTTTCATACACGTTAGTTTTTTTTATCAAAGGGGATATAATAACTATTAAATAACCTATGATCACTTAATACTTAACAATTACTTTTTACGTTCGCAATTATTCATCATCTTCTTCCTCGTCATGCATCATCTAATCATTTTTTTACGATTTTTTTCATTTATTTTTATATTTTTTTCTTGAAAAATTTCTCAAAATATCTTTATCGTATCCAAATTGAAAAAAGACGAAATTTTGTCCATAAAAGTTTAATTTTATTTACAAAATATTCGTCCCTTTTCCTTCCAGTTTAAATCGTCTCTACTGCACTGATAGACTTAAAAATTATTCATGCTTTTATTATTTTTTAAAAACAAAATCAATATTTTGATTATGGCATTACAATTTTTTAATTGTCGGGAGTTAAAGCTGATTGGGATGTTTTTAAATTTTTAACGGAAATTTCAGATTTTAAATTTTGAATGTTAACAACGGAAATTTTGAAACTGATCAAACTTTTTTAAATTTAACGACAATTTTAAGAATTAAAATTTTGAATTTAAAATTTCCATCAAATATTTCCCAACCAATTTCAACTCCTGACTCGAATTTCATTATTTATTTTTTCGGTTTTGCATTTAAAAAATAATTTTTTTTACCTTACGATATTCATATTTGAATACACAAATTACAGGAGACGAGATTGTTTTAAAAGTAAAATTGCAACATAGAAAAATTATTATTTTAATCGTTAAATATGATTTTAAAAAATTATAAAAAAATAATAAAAAATAAAAATGGGAGTTTTAAAAATCTGAAAGTTCAAGACATCGAATGTTTATCAACAGTATCAAACAGTCAGACTTTAAGTTTAAATTTTCATCTTTTAACTCGAAAGTTAAAAAATAATAATATTTTATAAATTAAATGTAATTATATGTACGTATAATAATCATAATAATAATAATCAGCATAAAGTATTTAGGTAGGTAAGGTAAGATTGAGTTAAAGGTTTTGTAAAATACTTTTTCATCTTTTTTTTTGAGGCATAAGAAAAATAAATGCTTAAAAATTTATTTCAATTCTTTTCTTTTCAGTACGATAGAAAAAAACAAAAATTTTCATTCAAGTTTTTTAATAAAAAAAAAAGTTTCCAGTCGACAAGATCGGCTTATTACTGCAATTTCAATTTTACACATTTGTTATTCTTTATTTATTAATTTTTTTTTAATAAGGGAGACTAGATGCAAAATCGATAAAATAATTTTCTATATAAAAAATTAAAGTTTTGTTTTGTTTTTAATTTTCCACAAAACGCTCGTTTTTCCTCTCTTTTTTTTTTCTCTTTTTGACAAAAATTTTTCCTTTTTAGATTTTCAAATAATAAAAAAATTAAGCGAGAAGGAGAAAGTTTTTTTCTTGTTTCTTTTAAAAAAATTCAAATAAATTAATTTTAATTTAATAAGTTATTAATTTATTGGCAGTTTCCGCGCTGTGCCTAAAAAACACTCGCATTTCCCAATTATTTTTTCACAATTGACGGTGTGCCACACGCACTTCTTGGAAAAAGCGGAGAGAAAAAAATTATTTACGAGTTTTCTGGTTTTGAGGGTAAAATTTTACAAGTTTCAGTTTCATCACAAAATTTTACCATCAAAATTATTTTAGTTTTTAATGTTTATCGTTGTGCTGTGTGGCTTTTCTAATTCTTAATTATTAAAAATACTATTATCGTTACGTAGAGGAAGAGAAAAAAATTTGTTCATCTATAATTTTATCGAAAAATATTTGCAAAAAATTCAATTTAGATTCAAAATTAACGACTTTTTGAAATTTAAATTTCTCATCTTTACAAAATGTAAATTCAAATTTTAAAAACCCGTTAAATGTTCAAAAACAGATTCTTTATAATTACTTCAAAGATTATTTCAGGTTCTTTCGTTACTAATAGATATTGTTTCCACTTTTTCATGTTAAATTAATTCATAATTTTTTTTCATTATTAATTTTTTTATACAACAAAAATAAAACATGGACTTTTACTTTTTTCCACAATGTGAAAAAAGAAATTCCCCTTAATTCAATACGATTGCCATTTACACACTTACATTATCACCTGTTCATCTTCTTCTTCGTTGTTCTGCTATCGCAATCATTTGCTGAAGCATTGGCTCGGGACTGCACGGTCTTGGATCGCACTGCATTTGTCCATCAGCACCGCACATGCAACGCATGCATGGGCCACTTGACTGGAGGACCTCTTCACCTACTGAGTATGATTTACCCTGAATTTGACAGCCACCTCGTTTTGCTGCTCCTTTATAAGCTGACTGAAGGAAATGTGGCGGTAGTGTTGTTGTTGTGGTTGTTGTACTTGTTGTAATATTTAGTGTCGTTGCCATTTGTACATGACACTCGTAACGTGGACAACAGAAGCCAGGAATTGGCTCCTCGTGACATCCTCCAATTGGTGGTGGACATGATTGTTGTAAACAGATAATATCGCTTCGGAAGCAGAAACAGAAATCACATGGATCATCACGTGGAATTTGTTGAGCTGAGACGTAAAGCTTTCCACCATATCTACACGTTCCTGGACCGAATTGAGCTGGGTCTTCATCTTCTTCAAGATAATCTTCATCGTATGTTGGAATTGTTGGTTGTTGAGGTGATTGCGGTTGTTGTGGGTAACCTGATTGTGGTTGTTTGACTGGTCTGTGTGTAGTTGTTGAATATTGTTCTTCAATGGGTTTCTCGGGTACTTGAGCATCATGGTCGACTGGTTTTTGAAGATCAATTTCTGGACGTTGTGTTGCTTGTAACTCATGCTCAACTTCTGGTTTCTGTGTTTTTTGTTCCTCGCCATCTTCTGATGAATCAACTGGCTTGACAATATGAACTGTAGTTGACTCTGGTTTGCTCGTTGATTCTTCGTCATCACCAACCCTATCTTCAACAGATGGCTTGCCAGTTGTTTTACTATCTTCTTCTTCTGGTTTGTGTGCAGGCTCTTCAGGTAATCCAGTGACAGAAACAATTGGTTCCTCTTCGGCTTCAACGGCTTCAACAGGTCTCTTTGTTTCTTTTTCATGAGTAGCTTCTTCTGTCACTTCTTCAGATACATGAATTGGTTTCTCTTCTTCAGTCTTGTCAGTCGATTCTGGCTCTTCATGCGGTTTTTCCGTAATTTCAGAGTCTTCATGTGGTTTTTCTGTAACCTCTGGTTCTTCGTGTGAGACTGATGGCTCTTCATGTGGCTTCTCTGTTACTTCAGAATCTTCATGTGGTTTCTCTGTAACCTCTGGTTCTTCGTGTGAGACTGATGGCTCTTCATGTGGCTTCTCTGTTACTTCAGAATCTTCATGCGGTTTCACTGTAACTTCTGGTTCTTCGTGTGAGACTGATGGCTCTTCATGTGGCTTCTCTGTTACTTCAGAATCTTCATGCGGTTTCACTGTAACTTCTGGTTCTTCGTGTGAGACTGATGGTTCTTCATGTGGCTTCTCAGTTACTTCAGAATCTTCATAGGGTTTCTCTGTAACCTCTGGTTCTTCGTGTGTGACTGATGGTTCTTCATGTGGCTTCTCTGTTACTTCAGAATCTTCATGTGGTTTCTCTGTAACCTCTGGTTCTTCGTGTGAGACTGATGGTTCTTCATAAGGCTTCTCTGTTACTTCAGAATCTTCATGTGGTTTCTCTGTAACCTCTGGTTCTTTATGTGAGACTGATGGTTCGTCATGTGGCTTCTCTGTTACTTCAGAATCTTCATGTGGTTTCTCTGTAACTTCAGAATCTTCATGTGGTTTCTCTGTAACTTCTGGTTCTTCGTGTGAGACTGATGGTTCTTGATGTGGCTTCTCTGTTACTTCAGAATCTTCATGTGGTTTCTCTGTAACCTCTGGTTCTTTGTGTGAGACTGATGGTTCGTCATGTGGCTTCTCTGTAACTTCAGAATCTTCATGTGGTTTTTCTGTAATCTCTGGTTCTTCGTGTGAGAATGATGGTTCTTCATGTGGCTTCTCTGTTCCTTCAGAATCTTCATGTGGTTTCTCTGTAACCTCTGGTTCTTCTTGTGAGACTGATGGTTCTTCATGTGGTTTCTCTGTAACTTCAGAATCTTCATGTGGTTTCTCTGTAATCTCTGGTTCTTCGTGTGAAACTGATGGCTCTTCATGTGATTTTTCTGTAACCTCTGAATCTTCATCTGGTTTTTCTGTGGCCTCTGGTTCTTCGTGTGAAACTGATGGCAATTCATGTGGTTTTTCTGTGGCATCTGAATCTTCATGAGGTTTTTCTGTTGACTTTGGTTCCTCGTGTGAAACTTCGGGAGCTTCTGTCATTTGTTCTTCAGATGGGATTTCAGCTTTGCCTCGTGTTGTTTCTTCAATAAAAGCGTGTCCAGTTGTTTGAGGAATTTCTACTTCACAAGAGTCACCCTCACATGTTGGTTTAACTTCATGTGGTTTTTCAGCTTTTTCGGTGGTATGTGGAGCTTCAATATCACATGCATCTCCTTCACATTCAACTTGTTTGTCTTCTACGACTGGAGCTTCAGTTTCAAGTTCGACATCTGATGGTGGAGCTTCACAATCCGGTCTATCGCATACTGGTTTTTCTTCCTTAATTGTTGGGGTGAATTTACATTCAGCTCCAGAGCATACCTTATCAACATGTTCTGTCACTTCTTCGGCCTTTTCGGTAGTATGTTCTGCTGCAACAACTGGTTCATCCTTTTCAGTAACTTGTTCTGACGAATCTTCTGGTTGGAGTGGTGATTTTGGAGTTGCTCCTGGAGAATCTTCAATCAGCAGTGGCTTTTCAGTGGCTGGTTCCTTTTCTTCATGCACAGTCTCTTCAGTTGATACTTCAGGTTCTTCGTGTGTAATCGGTTTTTCTGTTTCTTGCTCTTCATGTTCAATTGGTTCCTCATGAATGATTGGCTTTACTGTTTCTTGCTCATTTTCATCTTCTGAGATTCTATCGTCGATTCCATGTGGTTTATCAATAGGTTTTTCAGTCTTTGGATCTTCATGTTCTGGTTTCATGTGTGAATCAATTTCGATTGTTCCAGGTGTCATTGTAATGTCTTCTGGCAATTCTTTTACTTCTTCTGTTGATTGCTCTTCAATTGGTCTCTCTGTAGCCTCTGGTTGTTCATGTGAAACTGATGGATCTTCATGTGGTTTTTCTGTTACCTCTGAGTCTTCATGTGGTTTTTCTGGGGCCTCTGAATCATCATGTGGTTTTTCTGTGGTCTCTGGTTCTTCGTGTGAGACTGATGGCTCTTTATGTGGTTTTTCTGTGACCTCTGGCTCTTCGTGTGAGACTGATGGTACTTCATGTGGTTTTTCTGTGACCTCTGAGTCTTCTTGTGGTTTTTCTGTGACCTCTGGTTCTTCGTGTGAGACTGATGGTACATCATGTGGTTTTTCTGTGACCTCTGAGTCTTCTTGTGGTTTTTCTGTCGCCTCTGGTTCTTCGTGTGAAACTGATGGTACATCATGTGGTTTTTCTGTGACTTCTGAGTCTTCTTGTGGTTTTTCTGTGGCCTCTGGTTCTTCGTGTGAGACTGATGGTACTTCATGTGGTTTTTCTGTTACCTCTGAGTCTTCATGTGGTTTTTCTGTGACCTCTGGTTCTTCGTGTGAGATTGATGGTACTTCATGTGATTTCTCTGTTACCTCTGAATCTTCATCTGGTTTTTCTGTGGCCTCTGGTTCTTCGTGTGAAATTTGTGGTTCTTCAAGTGGTTTTTCTGTGGCCTCTGAATCTTCATGAGGTTTTTCAGTGGCTTCTGAATCTTCAAATGATTTTTCTGTAGCCTCTGAAACTTCATGTGGTTTCTCTGTGACGTCTAATTCATCTGGGATATGTTCAGGTTGATCGTGTGATTTTTCCGTAACCTCTGATCCTATAAGTGGCTTCTCTGTAGCTTCTTGTTCAACTGGAATTTGATCTTTAGGAGTGTAAACCTTAATTGTTGTCTTTTCTTCGCTATCAACAAGATTTTCTTCTGTGCTCATTTCAGGGATTTGTTTCTCTGTTACTTGTTCTTCATCTGGTTTTTCAGTTTCAATTTCAGCACTTTCTGGTGGGATTGGAGCTTTAAGAATTGGTTTTGGGGTTTCTCTTTCAGCAGAGTCGATTTCGTTTTCTTCTGTCATGTCACTTTCTTTTGGTGTCTGTAATGTTGTTGGAATTACTTCTTTTACTACTGCTGGATATTCTGGAGTTTGAGTGCTGATTTCTTCAACAACAGCTGGCTTTTCTTCTTCAGCAGACTTTTCTGTTACTTCTTCTTCATCGAGATCACATGCAGCTTGACATCTAACAATACTATTAATGCAATGACAATCTTTAAGACATTCTTCATTGGCATCGGGAATTTGTTCATTATTTTGGTATGTAACACCTTTGAATAAGCATGCTCCTTCACCAGGAACTCTTTGTGGGAACATATCTTGTTCAGTTTCAGTTGCTTTTGGCGTTGTTGGAGGTAGATATGTAACAGGTTCAGTGACTGGTTCATGTTTTTCTGGAATGATTGTGTTGAAATCGTCTGATTCTTCTTCATGACTGACTGTTGTTTCTTCCAAAACAGCTGGTTTTCTTGAAGTGACTTCATCTTTAACATGTGAATCTGATTCAATTGGCATTTGTTGCATAGTAACTGATTCAGGAACGTCATCTTCTGCTGGCATTGAAGGCAACTCTGTGGCGATTTCTTTTGGTAAAATTTCTTCATAATCTGTATGTATTTTCTTTGTTGTTGCCTCTTCTGGTGACTCTGAATCTTCATGTGGCTTTTCTGTTGCTTCTGACTCTTCATGTGAAACTGCTGGCTTTTCTTGTGATTTTTCTGTGCTTTCTGGTTCTTCGTGTGCGACTGTTGGTTTGTCTGTTGCCTCAGTTTTTTCTTGCGAATCTTCAGGTTTTTCGGTGACATCTTTCTCTTCTTGTGATTCCTCTGACTCATCATGTGGTTTTTCTGTTACCTTTGGTTCTTCATGTGAAACGGCTGGTTTATCTGTCATTTCTGTCTCTTCATGTGATTCTTCTGATTCATCATGTGGTTTTTCTGTGGCTTCAGTTTCTTCATGAGATTCTTCTGACTCATCATGTTGTTTTTCTGTTACCTTTGGTTCTTCATGTGAAATGGCCGGTTTATCAGTTACTTCAGTTTCTTCTTGTGAATCTTCATGTGGCTTGTCTGTAGCTTCTGATTCAACTGGTGTTTGTACAATTGGTAAATCAGTGACCTTTTCTTCATCCTCATCTTCTGGCTCGATTGCTTTAACACTTGAATGTTCAAATGGTTTTTCAGTATCTTCACTAATTGGTGTCTCAGTTTGTTCATCGTCAACTCGTGAAGGAATTTCTACGGGTTTCTTTTCTGGCTCTCCAGATGCTTCTTCTTCTTCCTCTTCAGTGATGGATTTAACCGTTGTTACTGGAGCTGGAATGTCTTTTTCTTGAGTACCAATTGGTTTCATTGTTGGTTCACCAGATGCTTCTTCGTCATCTTCTTCAGCAATTGTTTTAAGAGTTGTCTCCGTAACTTCATGCTTTGGTTTCTCAGTCTTTTGATCAGATATTTCTGGTTCTTCTCTCTCCTCTGTCATTAAAATTGTCTTAAGTGTTGTATGCTCGTCTTTTTCTTCTTCTGATGCATCTTCCTTCATTTCATGCTCTTTGTCTTTTGGAATTTGAGCTGATGCATATGTTGTTTCTTCTTCTGGTATACGGTCTACTTTAACCTCTGGTTGTTGTTCAACCTCATGTGGTTTCTCTGTTACTTCTGGTTGTTCGTGTGAGACTGATGGTTCTTCATGTGGTTTTTCTGTTACTTCAGAATCTTCATGTGGTTTTTCTGTTGCATCAGAATCTTCATGTGGTTTCTCTGTAACCTCTGGTTCTTTATGTGAGACTGATGGTTCGTCATGTGGCTTCTCTGTTACTTCAGAATCTTCATGTGGTTTCTCTGTAACTTCAGAATCTTCATGTGGTTTCTCTGTAACTTCTGGTTCTTCGTGTGAGACTGATGGTTCTTGATGTGGCTTCTCTGTTACTTCAGAATCTTCATGTGGTTTCTCTGTAACCTCTGGTTCTTTATGTGAGACTGATGGTTCGTCATGTGGCTTCTCTGTTACTTCAGAATCTTCATGTGGTTTCTCTGTAACTTCAGAATCTTCATGTGGTTTCTCTGTAACTTCTGGTTCTTCGTGTGAGACTGATGGTTCTTGATGTGGCTTCTCTGTTACTTCAGAATCTTCATGTGGTTTCTCTGTAACCTCTGGTTCTTTGTGTGAGACTGATGGTTCGTCATGTGGCTTCTCTGTAACTTCAGAATCTTCATGTGGTTTTTCTGTAATCTCTGGTTCTTCGTGTGAGAATGATGGTTCTTCATGTGGCTTCTCTGTTACCTCAGAATCTTCATGTGGTTTCTCTGTAACCTCTGGTTCTTCGTGTGAGACTGATGGTACTTCATGTGATTTCTCAGTTACCTCTGAGTCTTCATGTGGTTTTTCTGTGGCCTCTGGTTCTTCGTGTGAGACTGATGGTACTTCATGTGAGACTGATGGTACTTCATGTGATTTCTCTGGTACCTCTGAAACTTCATCTGGTTTTTCTGTGGCCTCTGGTTCTTCGTGTGAGACTGATGGTGCTTCATGTGATTTCTCTGTTACATCTGAGTCTTCATATGGTTTCTCTGTGACGTCTGATTCCGCTGGAATGTGTTCTGAGTCTTCATGTGGTTTTTCTGTGACATCTGATTCAACTGGAATGTGTTCTGAGTCTTCATGTGGTTTTTCTGTGACTTCTGAATCTTCAAATGGTTTCTCTGTTGCTACATGTGACTTTTCTGTTACTTCTGGTTCTTCAACATCTTCATCTATTCTATCAGTTAAGACTGGTTTCTCTCTAACAGTAGAGTCTGTTGTTGTTAAGTGTAATACTGTTGGGTAAAGCTCTTCACTTAAATCTTCCTCAGATGATTTGTCTGCTTTTTCAACCTTTGGTTTCATTGTTGTTGGTGCTACTTGTGGTGGTCGTTTTCTATCCTTATCTCCCTTGATTCCTGTTACAGGACTCTTTGCTGGAACAATATGTTGCTGCAAATCATCGTCGTATTTTTCTGGTGGAATTGTGACAGTCTCATCGCCACAGATGAATGTATCTGAACAGCATTGACCTTCTTTGGGTGGCTCGGCTTTACAGCTTTTACCTTCTTGTCCATGTGGTCTTCCACATTCTGGAATAGCACATACAATATCACCATACATACAATAACAATGTTTGCATGGATCAGCAGTCTCAATATTTGCACCATCAGCATAAGTCTTTCCATTATAGACACATTCCTCTGATGTTGTTTTTGGCGTTGTAATGATAAATCCTTCTGTTGGTCTAATTGTTGTTGAATGATCTTCCAACTCGAGTGGAGTATCTTGTTCATGATCTGTGAGAGATGAATTTTAGTAATGAATTTGACAAACAAATAAGGAAGTTGAATCTGCTTACCGCATGAATATCGAACAGGACAGCAAACTCCCTTATTATAAATTGGTTGACATCCGTCAATATGAAGCGTACATTCTTGCATCACACAAGCTGTCTTATTTCTAATACAATAACAGACCTCACAAGGTTTATTGAAATTTGATGGAACTTGAACACCCTCTGCGTAGTACTTATTACCTATCGTACATCCATAACTGTCTGGAATGGCTAGTTCATTTGATGGTGAGGCTGTTGTTCCATCCACAAGCTCAACTGGCACTAAATGTAAATAATTATATAAATGTAATAAATATATAACATATTTTCAGAAATAATTTTTGATTTTACCTTGAGGACATGTAATGACAGGACAGCATTGATCCTCTCGTTTTTCTACAACACAGTCTTGTCCGATTGGCTTTGTGAAGGGACACACTCTCAGGTAGCACATGAGCATGCGATTATGGCAAGTACAATTTAGACATGGCTCATTTGTAATTATTCTATCTCCTTCACCATAATGATGATAATTATAATAACACCCACTCTCTGCATTACCGACAGTCGTGTAAATGAGAAAAGAAACAAAAAAGAAGAAAAATGCGTTAAGGAAGAAATTTTCACATCTTTTACGACTTTGCTAGATGTAATCAAATAAATAAAATTTAACACATTCTGTTGCCTCGCCCCATGTTTATACTCACCACTGTCATAAACTTCTAATGCGGTTTGTTCATCATAAACGGGTGCTGTAAGGAGAAAAGAAAAAATATGAAAATTAATAAATTTATTCAATTTGTTTTTGTTTTCAATTTATTTTGTTTTTTTCTTCGTGAACAATAAAAAAGACTTTATTTGAATTGTCTTGTGCTTACTCTTCTGTTTACAATTTTCAATCTCAATTCATCTTCATCTGACGTCTATCAACAACACGAGCATTGAAGATGAGGAAAAATGTGAGGAAAGAAATTTTTAAATGGAAATTTTTGTTATATTGTTTTGTTGTTTTGTCTGTTTATTTACATTAAGATGCGGAAAATGATGCGACTTTTTTGCATCACTTTAGAGAAGCAAAAATTTTTAAAATCGTTTTTTGTCAGAAAATTTGTTCTAGTTCTAAAAAAGCTATTTCAATGTAAAACATATGGAAATTTTGATATGATTCATTGTCTCAATTGGAAAAAATCTATCTATCATTCAAGTGCTCAACATATTCCTCAAAATAGAAGAATCTATACAATTGTTTCAAGCCTTCCTTTTTTCCATCACATAAAAACTTATGTAAAGATACAATTTACAAAAATGAAAAACAGTAGGCATTTTGAGAATCTGTTGGGACCAAAGATGATACTGAAAATCCATAAAAGAAAATTGTTGCACAGTATCATCCTTAATACAATAGCTTGATTGTTACACCATGGAAATAAAATTTTGTAACAGATGCTCGTGTGAAAAGAATTTTTTTTGTCACCCACAATTATTGCTTTTTTTCAATTTTCATGCTGGATTCACTGACTTGAAGTCTTAAAAAGAATTTCATGAACATGATAATAAAATTTTTTTATGTGAAGGTAGAAATTCTTTACTATATTCCCAATATCATGTTTCTGTGAGTCAAAAGCTCCTATATTCCGTACATCATACCGATTGTAATAATGTCACTAGTGATCGATCGTGCACGAAAAAACAAGAAGAAGAAAATAGGAAAATCAAATAAAAATAATAATTTTTTGTAAATTTTGTGGAATTTTGCACGGAACATGTGTAAAAAATTGTTCATTTTGGTTGACTGGTTGATCTAAGTTATAAAGATATTACGTGACTTTATTGGTTTTACATGACTATACCATGGTGAATGCGAAGATTTTTATAGAATTTTTTCGATGGTAGTTTTGAATTTTTCAAAAACAGGTAAATTTTTTGATTTTTAAATATTCATTGATTTTCAAATTCATTATTTATTAAGCATCACTTTAGCTATGTATTGAAAAAAATCATCATGAAAAAACCTTTTTATGCGGTCGATTAAGGAAGGAAATATCAAATTCCAAGATTCACACAGCAACGTGATGAACGTAGAATACGAGCCTTTTCATCTTCTAGTAATTGAACGACAATTTTTTCTCAGTGCTCGAAAAGATCCAAGAAAGAATGGAAAAACTTTCTTTAAGGAAGCGAAAAGTTCACATTTTTTTATGGATAAAAGGTAAATTTTAATTTACATCTGCCTCTATGTGCCTTATCATTCTTATTCTGTACAATTTTCGTCTTTTAACCACGCTTGATAATAAACTGTTGTACTAAGAAAAGCTTATCCTCTATACCAAAAGTAATTTTTCCCTTTAGATTAATTCAGCTTTTTAAAATTGGGTAAGGTAAGGTTTAATCGTTGTAATTATTCAAGAAAGCAGAAAAGGTTTACTTTTCATTTTATAAGCTTTATTAAAAGCTTTGAGAAGTGGTTGGGTTGAAGTGATTTTGCTTAATTTGATTATTTTCGGTTAATGCAAGGTTAATTTTTTGTCATTTATTGGCATAGATTAGATCATCTCGGTGGATAATTTAGAATTTTTGAGATCAAAATTTAAAAAATGTGTCTTTTTAGAAATTTTAAAAACTTCCAATAAATTAAAATTATGTCATCTCAGAAGTTCGATTATCTTAGAAATTCGGTCATGTAGGAAATTTAGTCTTGTTGGTAAACTACAAATTCACTTCCCTCGGAAAATTTTTCCTTATTTTGGAAGTTTTTCCTGTTTTTATGGCTATACATTTAAATATTTCTTGATAAACTCACAGATTCTTAAGAAACCTAGGAGCATTAAACATCAAAAGCTACACAAGAGAGTATTTTTGTCTATTTTTATCACAAAACAATTGTTTCAATTTAATTCAGAAAAAACAAACAAAAAAAGACTCAGAAGCGAGAAAAAATGTTGTTCAATCAAATAACAAAAGCACCAAGAATGCCATAAATAAACTTTCTTTACGCTCTTGAAAAGTTTAATTGGAAAAGTTACTAAGAGAAAAGAAAATAAAATAAGGAAATATAAAAAAAAGGTACAACAACCTTACATGGAAATCTTGTGTATCTGAGGATTATAATGCTATTGATATTAAAATTTCATCCTGTAGTACTCCAGGAAAAAAGATTTATTTTATTACATTTTGAAGTGTGTAGCAACAATAGAATGAGAAAAAAAGATATCAAATAGCGCAAAAAGCACGAATGCTCTATTAATCTTCAAACGTCATTTCACGCAGAAAAAATCTACCAGCTAGAAAACTTTATTTCTCCCAAAAAATAGACATAAATTGGATTTTGTTATTGACACTTTTCATTTACATCCAAAATGCTCTCGCCGGCAATTTCAGAATTCTCTAATTCATTTGACGGTAGCTATGAACATTACACAGAATGAAGAGAAGTGGGATGGATGATTTTTTTTAATGGATTCATTTTCCAAATTAAAAGCAATCGTGTTAATTAAAGTGAGATTTTTTTTTTGTGAAAATTAGATGTGCAAAAAAAAATATGAAGCTACATTAAGTGGCACCGACTAAGTGTATTTAGATTGTGTCGTGATTTTGAATTGGAATTTTGGGTTCCTTGAACTTGGGAGCTTTGTTGATACATAGTGTTTTATCTAGGGTAGGAAGCTCACACCATTGAATGCTCAATTTCTAATAAAAAGTCTCAAAATGTACGAAAAACAGTTCCTTCAAGCGTTTATTTTAACACCCAACCTTGAACTCAAAAAATAAAATTTCATAACATTTTATCTCATACAAAGTGCCAATAAGAGTATGAAATAATTTTCTTTTCTTTACCACACAGGTGCAAATATCATTGAATAGAGACGAAGTGGAAAGTAAAAGAAGAGAAAAAAAAAATTATTCATGTTAAGCGTAAGTGAGCTAGTAAGTGAATGTTTTTCTTCTTCTTTTCATCTTTCGCTGAGCAACAACGCATTCCGTTTAACATTTTTTTTTTATATTTGAAGTGCTTCTTCAATTACGATATAATTAAATCTCGAAAAAAATGAGAACCATCATAAAAGATTCAATTAAGAATCTTTTTTAAGAATCATTATTGTTCTTAAATGCGTCTTTTGATGCGAGGTGGAGAAAATAATTTCTAATTGAATGAGAAAGAAGCTTGCGTACATTGATGGTCGGAGATGGATCTGAGAAACATTCTTGCATGAGATTATAATCTAACTGTACCATGTCTGTGTGTAACATTTACCATTCTTAACATATTCTGAATGCTCATCGTAATTATTTTTATAGAACTTGCCTCAATTTCCACTGTTGCTTCTTATTCTATCATTATCTTTCGTCGCGCCCGTTTGCTGCTTACATCTATTTACGTATACAATACTTTAAATTCACAACATCAAACTATCAACATCATGCGTGCTGACACCTTTAATAGCATCACTATAGTGAGATAGATCCGTAGATAATTAAATTTGCAAATATTTTTAGCGGTTTATTCTTATTTCTTTTCATTTCTTTAAGTATCGAGCATCTACATTCAATTCTGATTGACAATCGAATGTCCATAGACATTAACGTATATGTGACTATATGTTGAATCAGAATGATGATCACGATGATGTTGATGGTTGTACATGAATAAAATATTGACTTAAGGGACTAGAGTGTCAATAACCTCGGGGCTTTTGCTGTCTCTGTGCTTTTTTTGCCTGTTTTTATTTATTTTGTATAAATGGAAAGGATGCAGGAAGCTAAATTGGTTGGCGTTGTGCTTTTTGGAGCTTGTATCTCACATGACTGACTATGGATTAGATTTTTTTTTATGGATATGCCACATCGAGATTTTGATCATTGATTTCTCTGTGGTTTTCAAGATTTTTGGAAAACTTGGAATCGCGTTCTGTGAAGCAACAGTGAGCATAAAAAGGTGGAAGATATCAAAGCAAACAAAAATTGCTAAGAAGAGAAAAATTCAATTTTAAAACTCAAATCCCAAAACCGCGTGCAGATCTGAATTCCGTAAAGGAAATTTTAATAAATAAGAATTTCATCCTCATATGCTGTACACATATCGTAATGAAAGCATAGATAGATATTAAAGTAAGTGAGAAATATTTCATCTTGTAGTATGATGAATCACATCACATCACATCTTTTTTTCATGCATTCTTCATACAACAATAGACACAAATTCTTACTCTGATATAAATAAGGTAAGGAAATTTTCAGAATGACAAATTCATTTTCTTCACATTCCTACCATGAATGTTGTGAAGATGAATTTCGCACAAGCACATCCTTAATAAAGGAGGGAATAAAAGAAGATATTTTATAATCAATCATAAGAATGTTATGGAGGAAGGTTGCTTTAAAAATACTATGAAGATTTGCATTATTCCCCTTATCGACACTATAGCTTTTTCATGACAACACCAACATAAATTTATATTGCATGCTGATAAATATTTCTAAGAAATTCCAATCTCCACATTTTTAAGATAACTCATAAAAATAAATCTTATAATCATGAGATTAAGAGGAGAGACAGTCTAGCTGTTGAAGCATGCTATTACGCTATTCATCATTATAGGCTTCAAATAAACACAATTATAGTCCCAACATCAACGCTACACGTTGAATATGTAAACAAAATTTCATCATTAACAGCAGTAGCTGCGGTGGCATGGAAAAAAATTCTCATTGTGAATGCTGGTATATGGTAATTATGATGTTTTATGTAAAACGC